GAGACGAGTGTAACAGGCCTTCCTGCACTGCTGCTCTTTGCCACAGCATCACAAGATGTCCTGATCCCCATGTGCTCTGGCTTGCTGAATTGCCTGAATCCTGGTTCTTGCTGGCTTGACTGCCCACCTGCCTCATGCCCAGCTCCAGCCTGCCCCTGCCGCCATCCTTGTCTTCTGATTGGCCATTTCTCAGGGAACTTCACCCACCCTCTTGACCTCACCTTGCTCTTTCTTTCTTTCCTTCCTTCCTTCCTTCCTTCCTTCCTTCCTTCCTTCCTTCCTTCTGAAACTTAGCCCTGTGCGTTATTGGATTGTATGCTTGTCTGAACCTTATTGTCTCCCTGGCTTTGACCCTGGACTATTACTCAAACATATATCTAGTTTCTGGCCCACTGCACCTGCTACAGGACTCCACCTTGCACCTGGTCCTGGAGTTCCAACCTTAGCCTCTTGCTGCCCATGCTCCTGACCTTACGTGTATCCAAGTTCAAACTTTCTCAGACTGGGTTTATCATGTGTTGCCCAATCCTGGGTCCTCAAAATATGAAGAAATACAGACTGTGCCATTTGCGTCTTGTATTTGTTTTGAAAAGTGGTCTGCAGGTTAGACTTTGCAAGAAGGGCCCATTTCTTCAAGCTATCAAGGTTTACTGATGGGCTTAAAAAAACCCTCCAAAAATAGAGAGTCACTGTTGTAAGACAGGCAAGGTTAAATTAGTTGACATCTTCCTGTGCTCCTTGGGGAGAGGATGCTTCAGCAAACTGTCAAGATTTAGAATCACAAATTGTGACAAGTGGTGCTTGAAATGTCTCTCTAAGCCAGATAGAATGAAGCCTGCATGAAGGATTTGCACCTCCAATTAGCAGCTCCTTACCTTCAGTGACAACTTGAAATGCATCCCCAAGGTTACTCTTACAGAGTTGTCATCCGGCAAGGCCTTATTCATTCAAGTCATCCCAAACTTTTCTGAAGTTTTTCCTCAAGTAAACACTTTTTAAAAGGTCACCTGTAAAATGCTATCTGATCCAAATTTAAACCAGTTTTTAATATGAATTTGTTGCCAGTCATTTTTTATATATGTTCTCCATAAAAAGAAATCAAGAGTGGATGGGAACAAAAATAAAAGCACTGGGACTTGTTTAGGAGAAAGCTAAACTTATATTCATTCCTGCACCATCTTTCTGCACAGAAGTGATGCCACTTGTTATAAGTTGTAATAAATTATTCCCATTTCAAGAAGACGTTGTGACAATGAAAGTCCCACAGAATAGCTGTTCATTTTGCACCACCTACTGTCCAAGCAAGGGTGTGGAACATGTTTGTAAGCAGATGGATAGGACAGTGTCCTTTGAAGAGGGAACTAAAAGAACAAAAGGTCAAGAGTGTACACTACTGAAAGAAAAGGGCAGTGGAAAAATTCAGCTGCCTGACCAAGTGAAATGATGTTCAAGTCACATCTAGGAATTCAACCAACACGCCTGAATTAACAGTTGAATAAGAACCTAAACAGCTTCCATTATAGATCTGTCCAACATCAGGGCAGACAACAAAACAGAAAGAAATGCTAACAAGACCCAACAATGAGGCATCTCTCGCCCCCTTAGTGCCAGGGCTAGTGAAGTTTTGAAACATCAGGCAAATCTAGACCGGCATGTTTTCACACTGTCTTCTGCCAGTACTCAAGGCCAAAGCTAGATATTCCAGCCTCACCACTCCACGGCTTTCAATACCGTCTAGTTGAAGAAGACAAACGGCACAACTGTATTGTGTATAGCAGTTACTGTGCCCAGCTCCACACCTCTTCACTGCCTGCTGCACAGGGTGGTGGGTGGTGGAGGAACAGCAAGGAAATACTGAATGCAATGCAGACACACAGTGCCTGTTTCCAGTCACCCGGACATTCGGGGAAATATGGGAAGACACATGGTTCCAGTATCCTGATCAGCTATTTTAGGGAACGTCCAATAATAGCCAAGGAGCCAGTGCCGAAAGGTAAAAGGGAAGGTAAGAGGTGCTCATGAGAGGGTACCTTCAGAACCCCAGCTCCACCTTGGAGCACTTTTCTGAGGTTGGAGCTAGGACTCCAAATTATCCTATGACTATCGAGGCAGCATCTGGCAGTTCGTGCCTCAACAGAATTAAAATCAAACAACATGTGTGACATCTGAAAGACATCTCTTCAATGTTCTACCAAATGAAAAAATGCACATTCATGCAGCCATTTTTCTTCTGGTCAGGACAGTTTATAAAGCACTGTAAAATATTTGCAGTATTCCCAGCAGTTACTTAAAATAAATTAAGCCTGCAAATTTATGCACACTTACCTAGGATGAAATTTATTGTAAAAAATGGGTCTTCCTTCTGAGTAGACATGTTTATGGTGGAGTTGTACACCAGAAACAAAGTACCTGGACAAGAAATATTGTCAGCCCCCTTTTTAATTTGTGAATAGAGAATAAAGACAAATAACTGCAAAAGACAATTTCTGTACTATGGAACACCCCCCTCAAAAAATCAAGCTATATGTTATGGATGCTTTAAAAATGGCACTAAGCTTACCCACTGTGCTGCCCTATTTCCATATTATCTTAACACACCAGTGATCTCTGAAGAATATACCACTGCAGTGCTAGCATTATGTGCAAATGCGCCAGCTCATGTAGTAAGTGCACTGAGATGTGACTGGGTTTGTGCAGAAAGCTTACATGGGCATTGGCTTTACAGGAGGCTCATGTTTCTTATCCACAAGCCTCATTTACACACTTCTGTGCTGGAATTAACTGTTGAGAAGCACAGCCTTCCCCACCTCCTCTCAGACACCGATTCATTTTGGGTCGTTTTCCTAGGAATTGTACTTCCTCCAACTAATATATGTAAGCCAAATAAAAGAAAAACATGATGACAAAATTAAATCAGAAAATGCAAATAGGTCATCAGATGGAAGAGATCTTTGAAGAATTAACATCAGCCAAAAATCATACAGAAAGAAGCTACCCTCACACCGCCCTGCAAAAAGTCTGTTGACCTGAGAAATGCTGTACTGAAGAATGATTTTTTTCTATAATAAACATAAACCTTTTAATAAATGTCTGATTGTCTCTATCAGAAACACAAAACTGTTCAGTTAATCCAAATATAAAGGATCTTGCGATATGCAATACATCGAAGAATTCACATATCCATACATTTTCAGTGTGTGTGTGTGTTTATAAAACCTTTATACTACCTGCAGAACTTCTTTCCCAAAGTCTTCAAGGCACCACATATTCCAAAATATAATACACATATTTGCTGCAATAACTCTCCTTGACAGCAGATGCTGTTGATGTGGAGAGAACATCTAGGCATACTTCAGATTCCCAGATCCAGGGTTGGAGCTAGGGATCCATAGTCCCTTCTCTGTCTTCCATCACACCCAGCATGGAGAGATTTGTGTTCAGTGTTTCAGTGAACACAACATCAACCTCAGAGAGGGGTCAAAGGAAGAGTATGGTGGGGGGGGGGACCCCAGGATGCAAAGTATCCTAAGGATCTCCCAGCCTCCTTCACTCCCCTCTGAAGTGCCACAGCTCTATGGCCAAAATAGGCAGTCTTGCCGCAGTGCAGAGCAGAGGGAAGTGGGGAGCCCCTCTGTGGTACTTCCCAATCCACATTGGGTATTTGTAGGCTTCCAAGTTCGGAGTCTTCTGAGCAATGATTGAATGGCAGCTTAAGGTTAATTCCAACCATCATCCTGCTACTAGGTTTCTGTATTGGGGTTGAAGGGCCTTTAGGAAAGAAAATCAGCAGTGCTAGATTACCTTTTCTGGTTTCTTGGACAGAGATGGTATCTACTTTATCTGCTCTAGTAATTCACACATAACAGCCCTAGTATTATCTACTCAACAGAAAGCCTCACTAATTTCAGTAAGACTTACTGCCAGGTAGGTATCTAGAAGAGTGCAGCCTTAATCACAGCAATAACACCATTTAGCACGAATTATTTCATACTTTTCATTATATGTGCAGAAGCTGGCCATGTACAGCATTGGCACCAGTACGGAATGTCTTTCCCTGGCATATGATCAAGAAACATGAACCATGATTCACATTAGCAAGCATTTGCTTTGGACCTCCACATCCAGGACAACTTCTCCCCTTAAAAGCCCTACAAGGCAGTTATAGGTACCACACGGTGCTTTGTAACCATGTTGTCCTTGAACTCTCCTGCATATATGGGATTTCTAGATAGGGTATGAAAGTAGCAGGTACAGAACTCTGTATGAACCTGCAGCCCTTTTCTAGGATATGTCTGTCCATTCACTCGCCGTGCTTTTTCGTTGCTACTTCTGCATTAAAACCGGGAGTGTATGGCTCTCCACAGTGAGGAAAGAGGTCTTCTGCAAGCTCTCGAGTCGTCCCAGGTCTGCCGATACTCCCCTCTTCTGCCTACATGGCTGCATAAGGATGGTCACTTGCAGGAGGTGGAAGCCCTTTCTTCTGGCCAAAAGGCAGAACTAGCTCTAAGCAACCTGTGGGAAGGGCACTCTGCAGCAACAGGCGAGGGACGGCATCCCACACCTGGCATACAGACTCGTAAAGGGATTGCCGACACGTACTCTTATGTACACACGTGCTCGCGCACGCTTAAGGACCTGCTTAAGCCCCCCTTCGCGTGACAGCACAAAGGGCGACCCACCCAAAACAGTCACATCCCCCTCTTGAAAACGCAACGAGGCTCTTTAAACATCCTTCATGGGCTGTTTGCTTCTCCCCGCGCCTCCATGCAAAACGCGGCGAGAAACACGGTTCAGGTCTCTGGGCACCGCGTGCCGCCCGCTTTTGGCTCCAGGGGCGCCGCACAGCGCCGTGGAAAAAAACCCACGAGCCCCGAGCCCCTTCCTGTCCCGCACAGGCGGTGCGCCGTCCTCCCCGAAGCCAGGGGGCGCTGCAGGGGAGCCGGCGGGGAGAACGAGAGCCGGAAGCTAGGGCGCGTCAGCTGACGCACGATATCCGGTCGCTCCTTCCGCCCCGTCTCCTTTTGCCCTGGGCCGCGCACGTGTGGCTGAGTGGTCGCGCTCGCTTCGGCAGGGACGGGATGGCGGCCAACACCGCCAATCTGCCGATGCGGCTGCTACGCAAGAAGTTGCACAAGCGCAACCTCAAGATACGGCAACGCAATTTGGCCCAGCAAGGGGCGGCCGAGCCTGGTACGGTGGGGGGAAGCTACTGCGCTGGGATGTGGGTGGCAGATGGAAGAGGAGGAGAAGTAATGTCACGCAGACTTGTCTGTTGTGCGAAAGGCCAGCGAGGCGCCGGAGTATAAGTCTGTAAAATAGCTAGTAAAAGAAGCAACTGCAAAGCGAGATGTTCGCAGTTGTAGCCCGGCTCAAGCCTGGAGTTGACTGTTGGGCCTTAGGCAAGGCTTATTTCACATACAATATTCTCAATACGATAAAGAGATGATCGTGATGGTGGTGATATTGATCTCCTTTATGTGCCCATGGCAAATAGGAATCCAGTTAGGAGGAGAAAACCACCTCATTCTTTCAAATGTGATGGGGAAAAAATATTGACTAGCCTTATGTGGTTTTTGTGTCAGATTTGTATGGCAGGGAACGAGCAGCTACTCGAGACTGAGGACTACTAATTTATCTAGCAACTAAAACAATGTAAAATTTGTGTGACTAGCTATGGCCTTTCAGTTTCTGGTATGCAAATGTATGGGATTATACAGATAATCGTACATGTAAACTGCATCAAAGCCTTAAAATAGATTACAATTGAAGTAAATACAAGACAGAGTGGATAGACTTCAAGTTTGCCAAATTTGCTCGGTTTGTTTGTTTGTTTTTTTGGGGGGGGCTTAGGACCCCAAGATTCACAAAGCGCTGCCACATGCAAAACACAAGCTCTTAAAACTAGAATCTGGAGATTTGTTTTGAGTACAGAACTCACATTTTTTTCACAAAACAGTTCACTCCCAATTGCCCCATATAGTCATCATTTCAGCAGACCAATTTAGCTGAAAAAATATCCCAGTCTTGTACAGACATACATATTTTCTATGTGTGACTGGTGTTCTGCATTTTGGTGAGCAAAGGTATATAATTAGATAAATAAGAATTTTTATGCTCTGTGTTTTGCAAGACTGAGGGTTGTAGAGATTTGCTTTCAGTGAAAAGCGTTGCCATGTAGTTTTGGTATAAACGGGTATATGCTAGTGCCTTGGTACACAAATGTAGGACTTCTAGGTAGATGATTCTGTGGCTATTCCCTTTGAATACATTTTTTAAAGTGTCAAACCATGCTTGTATCATGGTTTGTTTCATTAGGGGCAGCAGCTGAAGATATTTCAGAAGAAGTTTCTGACATCTCAAGAGCAGTGGTGGAAGAAAACAAAATGATGGATGTAGAGCAACCAGATGTAATACTGAATGCTGAACAGGCTGGATGTACACAAACTGAAGTGAAGAAGAAGAAGAAGAAAAAGAAAAGAAAAATTGCAAATGATACAGAAAATGGTATTTTAAATTGTTTTTCCTTAATTCGTATTCACCTTTATTTATCACTCCATGTTATATCTGCAGTGTTGATACCTTCAGTATAAAGTGTAAGCTGAGTGTTCTTCATGGTCTCTTTACATCACACACATGGCCAGTCCCAAGAGAGCACTGAGACTTGAAAGACGGTTCAGACCCAGGAGGGAGCCCCTTCAGGTCCCTGGTGACAATGGTAGATGAGAGGTCCCTATTGGGATTGAACCATCTTTCATGTTTCAGTGCTCTTGGGGACTGGCCTATGTGTGAATACATAGATGACGACTCAGAGAATGACAATTACAGGTAAGCAACCTGACTTTCATTAGCAAACCACAGTGATACATATATGCTCAGGATGTCAAGTCTGCATTAAGTCAAAACAGATGGCTTTTGAAGAGATTTAGGCAAATTCATGTGGGACAGTTGCATTGATGCCCTGAGGCTTGGTAAGTACCAAGTAAACCTCCAAGCCCAGAGGATGCATATCTCTGCTATAAAGATCCAGCAGAGAATTGCTAATAACCTGGTTACTCCTTGGCTTCATTTTTACCTAGCTGTTCTAATGGATCCATATTGAAGTCAGTGTAGTAGATATAATGTGCGTTGGATCTGAGTCTTCAACATAAGTCATATAGCTCAGTTGAAATTACAGCCATTGTTCCTTTCTGTTTTTACGGACACCCACTGCTTCTTGAACACAGACAAGCCTCCAACCCACAAAAATGTTTATTTCTGGATTGGGACCGAACTGTTATGCAAGCTCAACTAGCCTACCCCATTGCAGAAACATGCATTTCGGATTGCACTAAACCTCTTTTCTGGAAGCGGTGGGCACCACTTGTAGGAGGCAGTAAATGGCTGCCTATGAGTTACTGGCTATAATGACTGATTCAACTTTGTGCAGAATTACCTTGGTCCACCTACTGTGGCTTAGATGCAGAAACGATGGGTGGTGGTTATATAGTACTATGGGTGGGGTAAGGTTGTCCATAGCTTAAATGTTTGATCTTGAGGCTCAGTACACTGCAGGGTTGCACTTTGAGCTCACCAGTCAGGCCGGCCGATATGCAGATATCCACTATTAACAGTTCACTAATTTCCTCGTGCAGGTACAGAACCTAAAAAAGCAAAAGAAGAGGATGAGGGTGCTCTTGTAGATGAGGTCTTAGATGGGGAGCCTGAAGAAGAAAACCAGGATGGCATGAATGAGAAAGAAGCTGATGAAGAAGCTGGTGAAGATGCTGATGGTCCTGTTTTGCCTCTAGGACTGACAGGCAAGCCTTTTCTGTTTGTGTTTCTCACAGTGGCATTTTGTATTTAGACAGTTTTTTCCCTCTTATAACAGATGAATATTTAAAGTTTTATTTGTTCATTTTCTGTGAATCTTTGTCTTTATAGAGATACCTGATTTTTATTGACCTTTGCGATTGAGCCATCTTAGATTTGCCATTAGTTAGCAAGTGATTTATTTTAGATATTGGTTCAGTGACTGATAGATAAGACAGGGCATCCAGTCATATCTGTACAAAGAAAAGAGATGCAGTGACTGGAATAATGCAGTTATTGTTAGGTTTTAAGTATGATTTATGTGCCTTGTAGGTAGTTTCCTACCTGTGTGGAAGCCCCTTTTCAGCAAGCCCTACCGGCATCCTGGCAGGACAGCCACACTGTAATGTGGTAGCAGTGAAATGTGAGAAAGCAAACAAGAAACTGTATATATTCATCACAGGCTCATGCGATGGGGCAGCATATAAGTTGTCTAAATAAATAAACAAACAAAGAAAGAAAGAAAGAAAGAAAGAAAGAAATGTGAGCCCATGCCTGGTATGCAAACTTTAATGTTGAAGCCAGCCACATGAACTCCTTTAGGCTTTTTAATATTGTTTCATGTGACTGTCATGTGACTGAATAGGTTACGTAAGCAAAACTGCACAGTGATGGTCTCATTAGCTGGCTGAAGCCAGTTAGAAGGTGTCTGTGATGGTTGTAGAACACATAAGAGCAAGATCTGGAAGTATCTTGATTTTAACTTGTAAGGAACTGTTGTGAACCTACCAAAAAGCTTCAGCTGTTGGACAATGTAGAAATGATGATGATGATGATACTTTAAAATGTTTGCATTCACATATGTCATAAGTAGATTTCTTTTCTGCCATCTGTGGAAATAAGAATTGATTCCGGAATACCTCATTGTTCAAATTCAGGCATTATTTGAACTCTTGGTAGGCTAACGCACAAAAGAGATTAACATTGCTTGTATCTTCAGGTGCTTTTGAAGATACTTCATTTGCATCTCTTAATGGTCTTGTCAGTGAGAACACTTTGAAAGGAATAACTGAAATGGGTTTTACACACATGACAGAAATTCAACATAAAAGTATCAAGCCACTTCTGGAAGGCAGGTAAGAAACAACCTTTACAAGCCAGGTGTGTGTTGCAACTCTTCTTGAGTCAAAATCAGTGAATATATGAAGAGAAGGTATCTTGTTCAGGAGGAATAAGTAACTTGTCTTTGCTCATTTCTGCTCATTTGCATGAGTGTTTTTGCTGCTGAAATTGGGGGAAAATTGCACTCCCATCTTGAGTGCATCAGCCACAATCACTGCAAAAATGAGGCATACTGAAGCTCACAGATATTAGTGAAATTGGGGCTGTAATCCTTTGCATGACAACTGGAGAACAAGTAAATTCAGTCTGATATAATTTATACAGTCTGATATTGTACAGTAAACTCAGTTTGATCTTAATTTATAATTAATGAATCGGATACATTTATTTCTATGGCAGGGCTAGAATATGGCATTAAATTGAGTAAGCCTGCTATGGAGAATGACTTAAAACAGTTGATTAGCATGGCATATATCCTTTATATAATGAGTAAAGATGACGTTTTCTGTCTTGCAAGTAGCATGTGATTTAGCCTGCACTCTTATACCCAACAGCTTAGTAACTACGGTGACTCAAGAGGCTAAATCCTTGGTTTTGTGCACCTTCAGGCAGTGGATTTTGGCTTCCTGAAATAGGCCCTTTCCCCTCCCCTGCCCAGGAAAGATAAAAGGAGGGAGAGCATCAAGGCATTTGAGCTCTTTTGAGGCAATGGCCTCAATGGCTACCAACATCATATACTCCCCCATCTTGGGGATGGCTGACAGGCTAGGTGATGGGACATGCTAGTGACCATGGGAGAAAGTTCTCTTACAAGTGTCATTGAAATTCATTGTGCACATGTATAGGACTGTGATTTTAGCCTGTATATAATGCTTAATATTAATGAGACTGTTCATAACTGAGAGTTATTTATTCCAGCTGACCTGGTCTCCTGAACCATTCCTAAGCTGTATTTTTTTCATTGTTGTGTATGCAGGGATATTCTAGCAGCTGCAAAAACCGGCAGTGGCAAAACTCTTGCATTTCTTATTCCAGCAATAGAACTAATCTACAAGTTAAAATTTATGCCCAGAAATGGTGAGAGTCATCTTTGGTTTATCACATAAAACCTTAAAAATAACTTTGGGGATACTGTTTGGTGTGATTTTCATTTGAGGGGTGCCTTTCTAAATATTTTTCCCTCCCCCCCCCTTTCAGGAACAGGTGTCCTCATCCTTTCCCCAACACGAGAGCTTGCCATGCAGACATACGGTGTTCTCAAAGAACTGATGACACATCATGTGCACACCTATGGCTTGATAATGGGAGGCAGTAACAGATCCGCGGAGGCTCAGAAACTAGCAAATGGCATAAACATCATTGTGGCGACTCCAGGCCGACTTTTAGATCACATGCAGGTAGAAAGAGGGGTACCGAGTAGCATGTTTGTGGTTTATTTTGTGTGTGCTCGATGGCTTGACACACTGTGTTTAACGTCTTGCAGAATACTCCAGGGTTTATGTATAAGAACCTTCAGTGCCTGGTAATTGATGAGGCTGACAGAATTTTAGAAGTTGGGTTTGAGGAAGAAATGAAACAGATCATAAAACTTCTGCCAAGTAAGTCAAATATTCAAACTGTCTTATAATACATAATAGTGAGCACAGCAATCCACAACTACTAGAGTTCTGTTATCCTGTTCACTTGTCCAGCATTCATTGTATAGTCATTTAACCATTGAACAGAATATAAAATAGGAATACCTTTAATCCATTGAGTTTACTAACAGATTTATAATGGAATTGTACATGTATGTATTTGTGATGTCATTATGTTCAACAGGGCGCAACTTCCAAGGAAGAATGTTTGGAATTGCAGCCTTAACATTGTATTTGGATCAGTACATGCTGATAAAGAAAACATTTAATGTACCGCTATTTCAGATGTGATACGAAATTATTTGGCTTGTAGTTGAGAAAGTTTGAGCTACTGATTTCAAAAATGCTTTTGAAGCATTTGCATTCTTTGGACATCTCTAAAGAGTTTAGTGATGTCTTACCCTGTCAGCATCTGAGAAACTTGTGACTATATTCCATTCCCATCTTTTTCCACTTTCAGAGCGTAGACAGACCATGTTGTTCTCAGCTACACAAACCCGCAAAGTGGAAGACCTAGCGAAGATTTCTCTAAAAAAGGAACCATTGTATGTTGGAGTTGATGACCATAAAGAAACAGCAACTGTAGAGGGCCTTGAACAGGTAACTTGAGCAAAAATATTAAAGCATTAATAAAGCTTTAATTAACAGATACTGTTTTTCATTTATACACCTGTCATCCTTCCTCTTTCAGCTGAAATTAATATACAAGTATAGGTATGCCTTTCTTTTTTCCAGAGTGATTTTAGCTATTGAAATGATGTTTTCCCCTTTAAAATATACATTTTCTTTATCAAGACTGAGTAACATGCGTCTCGAATGGCGCTGCTGTTTCTGAAAAGAAACATGGCAGGGGTGCTTGCCTATCTCCCTAGGCTGATTTACATGGAGTGTTCTTGTGACAAATACAATGTAATCCTGCCAAAATTACACAATTGGGTTGCATGTTAATTGCAGTCTTGCAGGTTCTTTTTATAGCCCTAGCTGCAGTGAACTTGAAAGTATACAATGGCACAGATTTTGAGAATTTAAGAAGCATAGTGTTGTCCAGACATTTTGGACTGCAGCTTTCATCAGCATCATCCAGCATGGTCCATGATCAGGATTGTTTGGGTTCATATTCCAAAACATCTGGAAGGCACCAGGTTAGGGAAGGCTGAATTCAAAAGCAAATGCTACTTAATCACTGAAACCTTCATTCAGGTAGTTTGATCTATTACAATCTGTAATATTTGAACAGCTTCACTGACATATCCCACTTAATTTAGTTGGATTGAGTCAATATATGTAGGCTGGAGCTGTAAGAAGTGTAACTTCTGTTTTTCCCTTTTCAAAATAAAACTTCTGTCAGTTCTTTTCCATTAATTTAACTGGAACTATTCTCCCTTCTTGAATTCTCATAAGAATTATGGTGTTCCCCAAATAAAAGTGAGCAGGAAAGGGGTTAATGGATACTGGTTCTTTTGCCAGATTAAAATGCGATGTAAATCCTTAATTTAAATGGTTACATACAGATAACTGTTTTTCAAATAATGTTTAGGGTTATGTAGTGTGCCCGTCAGAAAAGAGATTTCTCCTGCTGTTCACTTTTCTTAAGAAGAATCGGAAGAAAAAGCTGATGGTATTCTTCTCCTCATGTATGTCTGTGAAGTACCACTATGAACTACTTAATTACATTGATCTGCAAGTCCTGGCCATTCATGTAAGTATGCAACTAGCAATCATCTGCTTTAGAATTAGCACTGCTTACCTGTGACTGCTTGGTAGTGATGGACAGAGATGTGTTTTAGGTGAATATGCAATACATTTTAGGTTTATATGCAAGGCTGTCTTCTGAAGAATTTGAACCTGGCAATAATGCATAGTCTATTGGTTTTAACATGCCTCCTTTCCACTGGATTGGGATTAGAGTTTTGATTGCACTGGCTGAAGCATTTTCAAGTGGAGTTTCAAAAAACTTCCATTGCTGGAAGTTTGAGCAGGGATGGCCTCCTAGCTCTTCTCTTCTGGTCCTTCTGTGCTCCAACCTCTGAAACAATTTTTTGGAGTACATCAGTGACTTCTTGTATGTGTAGAATGATCAAAGATTTCTTCCTGCTCCATGGGGGAGGTGGGCAACTTACCTATGGGGAAAACATCAGCATTTTATGTTTAGGGGGAAATGCAACTAAGGAGAGGCATGGCAGAGGTGTACCAAATTATTCATGGAATGGAAAAAGTAGATGGGGAGGCATTTTTCTCCTTCTCCCACAATATTAGACCCCAGAGTCATCCCATGAAGCTGATTGGTAGTAAACTCAGGATATAAACTTCACATCGCATATACTTGAACTGTGGAATTCATTTCCACCTGTTGTAGTGATAGTCACCAATCTGGATGCCATTAAATAGAGACTGGATAAATTCACAGAGGAGAAGACTGCCAGTGGCTGCTAGTCTTACTTGGCAGGATGCTGTCAGAGGCAGTGTACCTATGTCCATTTGCTGGAGTGCCTCCCCTGGGTGGAGGGTCCTTCTCTTGGGTTCAATGGACCACTGGGTGGCCACTGTGTGAAGAGTGTGCTGGATTAGATGGGCCCTTGATCTGATCTGGTGCAGCTCTCTAATGTATCTGCCACAGTGCGCACATTAGGTTAGCAGTGGTTTCTGCTAGCACAGCAACACCATTGGACTTTTCCCAATATTTTTGGTCAGCCAAACAGCTGTAATTGTTAGTTGATTGCAGGTTTACTTTGGTTTCCTGAGGCCCACCTGTGCTTCTGTAGCCTGGTGTCCCAGTCTAACTTTTAGACTTAACTGATGTGTGAGGTTTTGAAGTTATTGTAACCTGCAGATGGCCCTTATGAAGGTTGGGAGTGAGCAACAGGAATGTGAGTGTCTCAGCAAGATTTCAGCAGTGGACTCATAAATTAGCCTCTGAATGCCATCAAGGGAACCTTTCTCTTAAAGCTGTCTTTACAGCGCTTATCTGAAGAACAGGGTTCTGTCAGCAAGGTTGAAGTTGTTTGTTAGAATGGTGTCTGCTGTCAGGCAACTGTTTTAAGTAGCTGGTCTGCCCAAGTGATTTTTCCAGTGTCCATATAAGGAAAGATTATGGAACATACTTTATTTCTGCATACATTTCTGTGAAAATGAAAATTAGGTGATTGTTCTGTGAACAGTTAATGCTCAGAGCTGTTGTCATGGAAATCTGAGTAGTGTGTGTTTGTTGAAGGCTGCAAATACAGTGGGGCAATCTGGACCTACTTGTAAGGCCTTACAAGGTATTATCCAAATGTGTTATTGCAACCAGGAGCTTTATGGAATAATCAAATAACGTTTTAGCCTTTGCCTCATGGCAAAGGATTTCTAAAACACATCCATGCAGATAGCTTTATTACATGCTGCCGCTCCTCTTTTTCTTCTTTTCCATTTTTTAAACAGACAATAATCAAAGCTTGTTCTTTTCAGCTTTCATAAGTTAAAACTCAGTCACCACAATGGGTTTACCATAATTCTTTGTCCTGTGTGCTAGTGGGGAGTGTGCAGAGTCATTGCTTTTTAAGTAGCTCAATACTTTTGCATTACTTTCTGACTAAAATGTTTGCATGTAACAGGTAACAAGATGCCATGATTTGCATTATATAACATAAACATAGTGAAAAGATGATTGAAGGATGATTGACAGACCAGAATAGAGTGTTGGAAAAAGTCATTTAGGAGAAGAACAGACAGAGGCAGATTTTGGGAAACAGGGAAGAGCATATAGTTAGTAGAGTGACCGTGAGAAAAATTGGGAACCAGGGTAGTAAATCACGAGTTCTAGAGTTCCCAGCATTCCTCAACCCACCATTCTGCTCAATGCCTTCACATTCCTTTACAGAAAGATTGGGAAGCCCAGAAAAAAGCAATATCCCACTACTTTCAATATTATTTAATAGCTAATAAGAATGTTTGAACATGCCATGAGTTGAATCTAAAGCTTTCAGACTATGCATTGTGGCAAAATGGACATCTCCTTTTTGCAGGCCCCACCCCAAATCTTTGGGGGGTTGATGGATTTGAGGTGCTGCAGCAAGGAGCATTGCAACAGATTTTAGTTTTGTTGGGCAATATAATTTGTAATAGTTATATAAGCAGGCCAAAATTTCAATTTAATTTGAAGTTACTTTTAAGTTAGCCTGATAGCTCCACATTACAGAATTGATTTGAGTTTCAAGTTCACTTTCAAGGAATTCTGCAGTTGTTTATGAATCTGGAATACCTGTTTTCTTCTAGGGGAAGCAGAAACAAACCAAACGCACAACCACATTCTTCCAGTTCTGTAATGCGGATTCTGGAATACTCTTGTGCACAGACGTAGCTGCCCGAGGGCTGGACATTCCTGAAGTTGACTGGATAGTTCAGTATGACCCACCAGATGATCCAAAGGTATTGCATCTTCTAGAAAGTTGTGCCATTTCAAGGATATATGGATTTAAAACTATGAAATATTAAAACATACCTGGCACTTTATTAGTCTGGGTTTGTTAATAAGTACAATTCCTGAAAAGCCTGTTTAACTTTTACAGTTTATTCATTACATTTGCATCCTGCATTTCCTCCTCAGTGCTCAGTGTCCAGTAAACAGATTTCCCTGCCAAGAATACCCAACTTTTACCTGCTTAGCTTCAGTAAGAGTACTCTGCTGCTTCTTCATTCAGATGGTTCCCTGTGCTGCTTCTTAATGTATTATTTAGATCCTTCTGTACAATTAACTCCATTGTGGATGTAATAAAGACTGATAGCTTATGTAACAATCTGAAGAGTTAAGAAGAGAATATTTAGCTTGGAGCTGCATCAAAATCCTTTTTTTAAAAAAAATGAAGATGCTCTAGAAAACCTGGTATATGGGGACCAGAAACCAATATGTTACATTTTATAGAGTTGCACGTTGTTTAACATCTTCACACATTACTTACCTTCTCTTCCTTTTCCCTTCATCACAAAGTCCTTACTGCATGCTGCACTGAAGCCTCACTTGGACAGAGGCATGGGTCTGGTGTCCTAATTGCGGATCTGCATGTTTGCTCTCTGCCCACAAGATGATCTGTCAATACGGTGCAGTAACAACAGCATCCTAGGGAGGACAGCTATGGCAGCCAGCGCAATAATTTGAAATTACAACATATTCAGTTACTGTCACATTTCAGGCATGTAGTCTTAACACTGAGCATAGTTCCAATGGTGCCTGAAAGGCAGATAGAGTGGCCTTTAAGGGAGCCATCAGGAGGTGTTACCATCTGTCTTGGCAATGACAAAGAGCGGGGGGGGGGGGCTTGGGCCATCTTGGGGGCCCCCGGCGGGCCCCGGGGCGGGGGGGTGGGTGCCACCCCCAATATCAGTCATGACTGCTGTTCTGGCTGCTGCCAGTCAAAAATAAATGCTTGTTTTTCCCCCCACTGTGTCCAGCAAGACCCTGTTTTTCTGATTTTGATTTTATTTTCCATGAATACAATATGAACTTTTGGGAAGCAGGAAGGACTAAGTCTGATTGCTTATCTGTGTATGTATTAACTTTCTTGCTAGGCTTTTGTGATTACCTTAAAAAATAACCATTTGCATCAATATATTTGTTGCTCTCACTTTGCTTCCTTTTTTAAAAAAGGAATACATTCATCGTGTTGGTAGAACTGCCCGGGGTATAAATGGAAGAGGACACGCTCTGCTTATTTTACGACCAGAAGAACTGGGTTTCCTGCGTTACCTAAAGCAAGCCAGGGTAAGTCGATATGAAATTCTAAAGCGCAGCTGTAATGATTAATCAGATATTTCAAGACACCAACCCTCTAATTGCCTAAAGAATACTTGATGAAACAAACTTAGTAGAAATGCAGAGCAACTGCTACAAAAAACCCCTCATGATTAGCATACTGTTTCCATCCCTTGAATGTGGGGCCGAAAAGAACACAGAGAAAATTAAGTGCAGGTGCCTTAAGGGGTTGTGCAGATAATTCACTGCCCGGCTTTCAGACCCTGGCTCCCGGTTTTATCTCTGCAAGGACAAAGAGAATTGACTTCTACCTCCTGCAATGTCAGGAGCAGCCGTAAACTGAGAGGAAAACGTACTTTGTATGTTTTTCATCATCATGGCAAGAGCATCCTTGGAAATGTTGAGCAGTCCTGCTGTACATATTGGTGAGAGCCTGGGGAGTCATTTGTATAAACTTGTTTTCCTCTCTGAAGATGACTCATATGCATCTTTTATGGGAGTTATGCAAATACAGAAACTTTTGGGATGCATTTGCACAGGAATTCATCAGGCTGATTGTCCTTGGTGGTTATAAAATGTGAGATACCTTTAGTTATACAGGCACTGCTGAAAGTAATTGCAAAGTAGCTGCCCATGCTGCTTTTCTAAAATTGAGGATATTTCCTGAACATTACCTTGCAGAAACCACAGCCCAAATTAGAATGCTTCTCTATAAGCAATAAGTTCAGTCTTGTGGAAGAACAGGGCACAGGACTGCAAAGAAATAATGGGCTCTAGAGGCTACATGAAACTAAGCATCGGGCTCTCCTGTGGCTCTCCCTGTTCTGCTTAGCCACTTCTTTCCATTTTGTCTCAAAAGCATGAACTGTTATTTAAGCAGTTACTTTCCTTCAGTAATTTCTGCATATAACACCTCTCCTTAAATTCCTGTTAGGTTCCATTAAATGAATATGAATTTTCTTGGTCCAAAATTTCTGACATCCAGTCTCAGGTAATGTATACTTTATTACCAGCAGTAATAATCTCGTATACTTTGTGTGCCCAGAGCAATTAGTAATGTAAATATATATTTTTTTAAATCATTGTACAACATTAAACACATAAAGACATAGCACCTTCACTTTTAAGCTGTTGTGGGTGAGGTTGGAATTATGTCCAGATGATTTTTAAACCAGGGACATTACGGTGACTGTAGCCATCTGTTCTATAATGGAGGCTAATTGCTGATAACTTAGCATTGACTAGGTTAACATAAGAGCCAGCCTGCACTCATTGTTGAGATGGGTCATTGAACCGTGTATTGTGGTGTTCTGTGAATCCTGCTATACTAACAGAAACAACCCACAAAGACCAACCGTGGTTTGTTGTATGGATTGTTTGTGAACCAATGAAGCATGGTTTGTGTGTCTGTGTTTACACAGTGCAACAGCCCATACTTCAGCGTTGGGTGTGGGTTATCATATTTTGCAAACCCACCCACTGTATCATACACATGTTTCACATAAGCCACCAGGCCTATGCCCTGTGGCCTTCCAATTCACAGGGGCTTTGCCCTGATGGGTCCAGCATAGCATGGGTATGTAAACTGAGCTGACAACAGCTATGTAAGTCCGAGAGAGAATGGTGGTTTAATAAAACCTTGCTTTCTTGAGCAGTATGATTTGTGATTTAAGAAAGAGCCTATAGGTGGCAACATATGCAGTATGTATGGTGGATTATGGAAGATGGAGGCAAGGATATTTTTGATGCAGCTGTCAGAGTCTCACTATACTAGATGAAATTTTCATGCACTATTGAACAAAGGAAATAGATAATATTTAACTGGTACATCAAGTAACCCCTTTTATCACAGTTTTAAAACTTCAGTATTTCAAGACATTGGGTCCGCTTTGCCAAGTTTTGAAAAATACACTTTGGTAAATTTGTATGCTATTTCAACTGCATTTTCCTAAATGTGCAAATGATAAATGTCAGTGTCAGCTATCTGCAAAATGTTCTGTTTGCTCATTTATTAAATGACAGGACATATTGATTGTGCCTCTTGCCTTTTTAATTTTCAGCTGGAAAAATTGATTGAGAAAAACTACTTTCTTCACAAATCAGCCCAAGAAGCATACAAAGCCTATATAAGAGCTTATGATTCTCATTCTCTAAAGCAGATCTACAATGTCAATAACTTGGATCTGCTCAAGGTTGCGCTCTCTTTTGGCTTCAAGGTTCCACCATTTGTGGATCTCAGTATCCTTTTATAGCAAGTTATTAACTCTTTCACAGATACCCTTTTGATGGGTTCCGAATATGCTGACATCAACTTCTGTTAATCAGTAAATCGTTTTTTAGAAATACTAGTAGAGCTGCTTAAATGGAAGTTAGAAGCTGTAGTTGAAAGTAAATCAAACATTGTTAAAGTGTTTGAAAAGCATAGCCAACACAATATCAATTGAAAAAGCCAAGTAAAAAAGATATCTTGTCCTCTTTCCTAAGTGCAGAGAGTGGATTCTGGTCACCACTCCAGAGAAAACATGTTTCAGAGTTTGGGTGCAACACAGGAAAAGGCTTTTCCTTGGGTTCCCAACCAGCGAACCTCTGCGGGAGAGGTATCTTCACAAAAGCTTCTCTTGCTTATCTCACTAAATGAGTAGTTTTGGATTGAGATAGGTGGTCCCCTAAATAACCCTTAGCAGCCCTAAGCTGCTTGGAATTCACGCCCTGACTTAAGCCCAGAAATCAATTGGCAGCCAGTTCAGATCATCAGTGGGGTGGGGTGGTCCAGTTGCCATGCATCAGTTGGCAGCCTAGCTGTTGCATTTTACAGCAGTTTTGCAAATGGGAGCAGTCAGTTTGATTTTGGACATGATATTCTTCTCTGGCTGGGGGTGGGGGGGTTGCCGGAGTAAATACTATGTATTTCACTTTCCTCTGTCAAACTGGGAATACTTCTTTTGGAGTCTAATTTGCAAACTGGTTTTGTTCTTGATTGGAATTGTTGGGGTAGCCTTTGGAAGCATGTATACGTTAGCTACAAGTTTAATGTAATGATGGTATCTTAGAAGGAACTAAATTAGTTCTTTCTAGGAAAATCAAGTCAGAAACTCAAAAGCATTGATGACCACAAGGTACTTTTTTCTTTTTTCCTATAGACACTTTCTTCTATCTCATCACAGTCACAAGTTGATTCTGAGCTGTGCATGCTGTGACTTTTTAGGGAATGGTACATGGGCCTTCCACTGTGAAATAGTCACCATCCTTAAGAATTGTAATATCTTAAGCTAATCTTTATTTTTATGAAATTGCATTCCTTGACACAATTCTCAGATGTTAACAGCAGCCATGGGAGGAGATTGCAAAAAAGAGGTGGTGGAGGAGGATTCGGCTACCAGAAGTCAAAAAATGTTCAGAAATCCAAGATCTTCCGGCACATTAACAAGAAGAAAACAGATAGCAGACAGTTTTCCCACTGAAGGGCTTACTTGGTTTTTCACAAAATGGCTTTTGAAAGCGAGATTGAACTTCTTCATCCTATACTGTCCAGCAGAACACATAGAACCTAGTAGAGATTTTAAAGATTGGACTTCAACACATGCTCTGCTTGGGCAGGATGTATTCCATGGCGGACATGGGCTCTCCCCTCAGCCTGTGCTCCCCTGGCAAATGTAGAGGCAGTGGGATCAGCCCTGATCACTCATCAGCAGGCCTGTGCCTGTTGCTGGCAGCTCCATGCAGGTTTCCCAACCCCTCTGTGCAGTGCAGGGTACCAGGCCTCCCCAACCCAGCCTGTGTTGAATTTTCCAGGAACAGCTCTTTCTGGTCACAGCAGAGTGGGCCAGACCAGATCTGCACCCCTAAGGAGCTGTGTTATGCTATTTACATGTTAGAGTGTCCTGTATTTTCTTTCAAGACCTCCATAAGTGATTTTGGTGTCTATGGGAATTTCAGTATGGTAGGCTATATGTTGCTTTTGCGAGAGATAATTAATACAATTCTTTTTTCTACTCAGATGTTTTTGTACTGAGAGCTTCCTTACACTGTCTTACAAAGCAGAGACAGATCTCTGTCTTGGTGTGCTATGGGACATTCAGAAACTCTTGAGAGGTTGACTGGCCACTGGGACCTACTTCGAAATTCTAAATGCTTTTCTGTTTTGCTTGCCTTACAAAATGGCATTCTTTTCCTCCAAAGCTTCAAAACATTATTTTACTTTTTGAAGACCAAAGGGTGTTTGAAGAAGAAAGACCTTTTTATCTGACACATATATAAAGTGATACCTTGAAATGCTTAAAGTTTAGAGGTATTGCACTCTATAAGAATTGAACTGACTGGTTAGAACTCAAAAAGAGGAGATCAAATGGTGATCTACTATGTGGTATGCATTCAAGCCTTTATTGCCCCGGGCTGATAGCACCTTCTTTGAATGTTGTTTTTTTGCCAACAAATACTTTTCCTTGTCACTGTTAGAGAAGAGGGATATTTTGTATGGGCATCCATATTATGAAATCTTTCCAGAGTAAATTGCAACCAAACATCCAGAAGCACAAGGCACAAGCACATAGCCAGGTGCTTGTCCTTTTTTCAGTAACATTCATGAATTGCTTGCATACTGATATAAATTGTGTAGGAATGAGCCACTGCAAATTCTCAGAAAGTTCTGCTTTCAGCATGACTAGACTGTGAGCCCTTAGGGCAAACAGAACAAGGATTCATCACCGTATTTGTGTACCCAGTAGTATTATGAACAGATTAATAATTCTTGTGACTTAAGAATAGTCAGACTTCCAAAGGGTAACGTATGAAAATTTAAGTAAAAGTTTTTTGGAAATATTTTCCAGGTATATATAGTAGATTTCCATATATGTGGGTATCTTTTGCTGGAATAAAAATATACAGCACCTGTATATTATTTGAAAAACATTTTAAAATCCCACTTGAAAAAATGAGCTTTACTTTTGTCAAAGGTAATTGCTATATATACCGGTGTGTAGGATGACCCTTAAAATGGAACACAAAAGTTGGGGGTCATCTTATATGTCTGACATAAATAAACAGCCCAAACTACTGACCTTGTCTTAGGTGCAGTTCACCTTATATGCCAATATATATGGGTATTTTTCTGAAACATACTTCCTGTTTGCTTGTTCCACACATTATTACCATATATAATGTAAAAGACAACCCTTGAAACTGGAAATGACAAAGCAAAAATTGAGGGTCATCTTACAGGGCTGACATGACAAACATCCGAAAAAAACCCAAAATATCAACCTTATATGTGAGTTGCCTTATATGCCAGTATAGATGATATTTCAGTAAAATGTGGTAGTTTCCACTGTTCCATCTTCTTGAGGAGATAACATCTTGGGAAGAAGTTTAAAAGTGGGGACACCCTTGAAACAGAGATCCTCAGGTTTCCCCATGGACTTTGGCTGTAACGTGCGATCCTTTTCATGAGCTAAGGTTGCCTGTGCTTGGATGCATTCGACAGCTTATCTATGGGAAACATAAACACTTGAGCAATGCCCAGGGTAGGTACCAGCTGGACCTCACCAGCAGACAATCCTTTGTGCTTGACTCACTTGAGGCTCCCCATTCCTACAGTTGTATAAATGGGATTAAAAAACACAAAAATTGAGGAATATTTTTAAAGATAACTGGGCAGCCTCTTCAAGGTTCCCCTGGGCCATTTAGAAGAGACTACCCATACTCAACCTTGGGTAAAGGAGTCTTTAATTTCTTGGTAAGTATGTTCTTCCACTTGCAAGAATATGGGATTATAAATATTTTGTAATCTTGGGTATGCTGTGCAATTTACATAGGCCCACATCAAACAATAGTCTGATAATGCTGGGAAACTTTGTAGCTTACTTATGTTTGGTCTTACACACTCGTACCTTTCTGTGCCACTAATGACTAGCGTGTATATGTAGTCAAGTGCCCTTGTTACTATTTTTTACCTGAGCTAATTAACTTTTATAGGCTTACTTTGCAAGAATGGACCTACTATAAAGAGATCTCTTCCATTTTTGAAAACTGGCTCTAGCGATACACCAATTCAGAGTCCTTCTCATTTGATTGTGCAGAGGCTATTGAATTAACCTCTGCTTATTTACAGGAGATAAAGCAACTATGAAATAGCTCTGTGAGACCAAGGAAATTTAGTATATACAGTATATGCATGCTACTATATAAATAAAGTAGGATAGACCTACTATAAAGAGATCTCTTCCATTTTTGAAAATTGGCTCTAGAGATACACCAATTCACAGAGTCCTTATTTGTGGAGAAGCTATTGAATTAACCTTTGCTTAAAGCAAGTGTGAAATAGTTCTGAGAGACCAAGAAAATTTGACTTCTGTATTTTGAGCAGCACTGTTTCTCATTTTGGATGGCAAGTCGGTTTTGAAAAGGAGAGGATCCTGGAAAGGCTTCTGGTATGGCATTTGAGGGGAGGCAAGGAGTAGGTTGAGCTGCTCAAAGGCAATGAAAAAGATTTACTGAGTGAGTGTGACCCAAACCAGCATTCTGACCCCATCTGATGTATGCTGGAAGCTTGGGAGGATGGCTTAGTTCCTGCTGAGCATTGGCTCTCATACCAGTAGCATTACAGGACACTGTAAAAGGCTATAAAAATGAACTGGAAGCATAAGGTTTCCTGTGCACTTTTTCTGTTATCAATCTTATGGGTATTTAATAGACCTCAGCCATCACACACTCAAGGCTTGTCTCATAAAGATGACTGATGGTTTGGCTACTAATACAGAGTTTCTTGAGGAATTGCCTCCCACTCAGAAAACCTTGACGAGGAAATTGGACTTTGTAAGCCAGTTAAAGAGAGGTGATCAAAATGATCATGTGGGGAGATTTTAAAAACAATCCTGCTAGAGACCCATAAAAGAACACACAGTTGCCTTGCTGCAGCTCCCAATAATAATGATGAATAAGGTACATACGTTGCAGGAACATCTCCCCAGATTGTTAGAGTGCTCTGCTGTTTTGTGCAGATATAAAATACCAATTATTATCAAAAATCATTCAAGATAAAGTGGTATAGAGGGAAGATGTACTAACAACACAACCCAAGTTTCGCAACTGGCCTCTTGTCTGCCTTTTTGCAATTGGGGACGGGGGGGGGGGGGGTTAGAACCTGCTAGACTTCTCATGAGCTATAGATTAACAGCTCAGTTTCTCCAAATGAGCAAAGGCAGCACATTGGAAGATTTTATTATAAAGGTCACTTGTTATCTCTGCATCTCCCCCACCCCCACCCCTTCTTTTTAAGTGTACTTAAACTGAACAAGTGAGTTTTTGGCACAATCTACTGATTATTGGAGGTTGTGTGATTGTCACTATATTCTGTAACATGGCTCTTCTTGACTCCACTTACCTTTGGTGTGGTGGTTAAGAGTGCAGGGCTGGGACTCAGGATTCTGGATTCTAGTCCACACTCAGCCATGGAGCTCACTGGGTAACTGGCCCCGTCGCAGATTCTCAGTCCAACCTACCTCACAGGACTGTCATTGTGAGGATAAAATTGAGGAGGAGGAGGAGGGGAATTATGTAAGCCACCTTGAGTTCCTTTAAAGGAAAAAGGTGGAATATATAATAAATGAAAAGTTATAAATTTGGTTTTGAAAACTCATGCTGTCCCTCTTTCTAGAGATGGCCCTGTGGTGCTTCATTACAGAAGCCCATCTTCCCTCCTTTCCTTGAGTGATCTTATCCCTATGTACTTGCATAAATATCTGAAATATCCTCTAATACAGGGTGGTCCAACTTTCCATACCTTGTCGGCCACATGAGGACTTCAACATGGAATCCACATTCCACACAGTGAATTACATTTCCATATTGTAAATTAAAGTGTGTGCAATACATTTATTTAATTTAATATACTCAGCCTAGCTAATTAACTATTAAACAAGGGAGAAGACTGAGATGAGGTCTCAGAGTTGGCTTTTCACTGGGAAACAAATTAAATATAGCCCTTCTAGCTGACAAAACTGGAGGTACACTATCAGAAAAGTGAAGTGAGCACCAATATCTTACGCCAATAATAGTTGCAGACTGAAAGCTTTGTGGACCTCTGCAGCCTGGTAACTGCTGCAGGGATCAGGGTCAGCTGCTTAATTTAAGATTTTAGACTAATTTAATGAAAAAGAGCCTGTGATCTTTGCAGAGATCAAAGGCAGCTCCTTCTCCAGCCACAGCCCAACCCAAGGCCCACCCCCTTTCTTGTTTCTTCCGTCCAGGAACCTGCCCATGTGCCACCCCCTCCCCAGCCGCCCTTCCTTCCTTGGAATTGGCATGCTGAGCCACTTGTACTTGAGCCAGCAAGCTCTCCTCAGCATGCCCCATGCTGGCAGGCGCAGAAGCACCTGACTCCTGGGAATACTCATGGCAATCATGCCCATGCCATTGCTGGGGTCCGGATTTTGGGGAGGGGGGGGAGGGGGGCTCCAGGAAGCAAGAGGGCTGGCAGAACAAAGCCTTGGGGGGTGCATGCAGGACCACCCCAATATAGAAGGTAAATATCGATGATATCTGGCTTGTTATTCCAAATCTGTAATCAGTCACATACTACACTGTTTTTCTGCACTGGATATCCTTCTGCACTGGATATCCTTTCACATCCTTGTATGTGGAAGACTCGGGGAAAGTGTTTCCTGTGACACACATCTCCTCACTCTTGCAGGGCAAGCTATGCTGCCTGCACCTGGTTGCAAATGACATGGGGCCACCTTATTAACTAAGGGTATGCCTCATCATGCACAGCCTCTTTTCTAGCTGCCAGATGTGTATTTAGGGTGTATGCAACTGGAGTAACACCAAATTGAAATCTCAGGCAGTGCTGAGGTTGCCTGGGCTCCCTGCTAGGGTCTGCTAGGTCACCTGTAAAAATGCATTCCCTTTCACCTGTGCCGTGGATGTCTGCAGGAGCACATGGGCACCTTGTGCTCTTTTCATAGGCATGACCCAGAGCTCCTAGGAAGCCTTCCCAAGCTCCCTGTGCATGCTATGCTAGACACAGTCCTTTTCAGTTCCCCATATCCTCAATTCCCGAGGCCCATCATACAAGGCTTTCTCACTACCCACCCTATCGCTGGCAAAGACATTTCCAAACAGCAGCCCAGCTGGTGGCTTTCTGGGTGGTTTATCTTCTGCCTGCTGCAGCCAGATAGAGGAGGAGGCCCACCCACCACCCTCTGCAGCTGTGCTAACCAGATCGCAAAAGTCCGACCCCTTAGGAGTTATCTAAACTGAGCAGAGGGGCTCCTCCCTGCTTCCATTACCAGGACCCACATAGGGTGTGCACAGCCAAAATGACCCTTGAGGCTGGGTGTTTGATTGGGAGAAGCATCTCATACCCGGTGCATCTCCATTGGACCAGCCAGCCACATGGTAACAGAAAAGCCATGCTGCATCAGACACAGGATCCATCCAGTCGGGCTCTCAGGGGCAAACCAGCTCCCTGCAGGCACCCACAAGCAAGACATGAATGCAGCAGCCCCCTCCTGCCGAAGTTCCCAGTGTGTATCGGCACAGTGCCTCTGCTAGCATGGAGGAAGGCAGTGTGTAACCAGCAAGACTAGAGGCCACTGATTGCCTTCCATGAAATTGTCCTGCCACATTTTAAAGCTGTCTAAAACGGAGGCTGTCAGTGCATCTAATGGAAAGGAATTCCACCCTGCAGTGATACACTGTGGGAAGAAGTTTGGTTTTTTTTCTTTGTGAACCCCCCACCAATTTCTTTTTGGTTTGACATGGTTGACTTCCAGTAATATTTCCCTCACTGCCTCCTCCAAACCATGCATGTTTATCATGTCTCCTCTCATTTGCCTCTTCCCCAACGTCAGCTGTTGCAACCGTTCCTCACAGGAGTTACTTCAACCCCTTTCCCAACTGTACAATGTCCTTTTTCAGGTGCAGCAACCAGCATTCTATGCACCAGCTCTCTCAACCACTCACTCAGTTTCAATTTGTGTATACCTGAAGCTGGCCTTTGTTGCCCCCACTAGCATTACTTTACATTTTCACAGAACTGCATTTTTCCATGTTGATGCCAGTTCTTCCAACTTGGAGAGATCCTTTTGGAGTGCCTCACAATCCCTTTCTTTTAAGCACTCTAACTAGTTTGGGTCATCAGCACTTGCTGTTGGAATATTTCTGTTCCAACGCAGGAAAGAACCATGAGCTGCTCCAAAGAGCCTGACAGTCTCCAAGACCCAGGGACTGTGAGCAGCCTACCCACGCTCCTCCCACCCCGCCAGCAGCCCAAGAAGATGCCAAAACAACAGTACTTTTAAAGCCAATACAGCTTTATTGCAGATAGGGTGGGACAGAGACGGGGTGCATGGGCAAAGGAGTCCAGGGAGCACCTCTCCCACACAGCCTGGCTGGTATCTTCTTATTTAGCGGTACTTGGAGACAAGGACCTTGCACACTTCTTCCAGGAACTTGTCCAGGGAGACAATCAGACTGGCCTTGAGATGGTCATGCAGGTTGGCAGCGATGCTCACCTCAAGGCAGTGCCTCAGGAACTGTGGAGAAAGGAGGAGAGCAGAGCATAAGGTACACACACAGGTAAGCAGGCAGACAGGGCAGGGCGAGCCTCCAACCTATGCTCGGGGAGGAAGCCTTAGGCTGGAGTGGCTCGAAGGGGAAGGCAAAGGCAGGGCAGTCCCCCAGCAGCAGCAGTGCTGCAGTCCCCCAGCCCAGCCTTTGCACCCTGCTGCTGGGGAAGCGACTCACGCCGAAGTTGACGGGGTCCACGCGCAGCTGCTGGGCATGCAGGTCGCTGAGCTTGGAGAGGGTGCCTCCTATGTCATCCAGGTGGTTGACGGCCTGGTTGAGCGCGTTGGCCACCTTCTTGCCGTGAGCCTTGATGTTGGCCGAGTTGGGGGAAAAGTCGAAGTGCGCGAAGTAGGTCTTGGAGGTGGGGTGCGCCAAGAACATCCTGTGTGGAGAGGAAAGCCCAGCCGTGGTCAGGGGCGCCTTTTCCTCCGCCCCAGCACAGGGCGGACGGGGCCGGGGGAGCTGGCTTACCTGGTCAGGGCATCGGCCGCGATTTCTTCGGCATGGTTATGCACATGGCCCCAGAGGGTCTTCACGTGGGTCTTGTCGTCCTCGGTCAGCACCATCTCTGCGACTTCTAAACTGCGGTGCCGGGGAGGCCCGGGCAGTCCTTTTATCGGGGCCGCGGACCAGCAGCCCGCGCGTCCCGCCCCTCGCTCGGGCCCTGGCGCTTCTCCTCCGCCACGCCTCCGCAAAGCCTCGAGGAGGCTGCGGGAGCGGGGCGAGTCCCGCAGGGGGCTCACCGGCAGCCGCCAGTGCCCAGGGAGCGCTCCAGCCCCTGCGAGGCTTGCGTCCCCGCGCACACGCCCTTCCTCGTGCCGAGCCTTCCTCGCCAGGCAGTGCTCGTCCGGGCAGCCCTGCAGTCGCAGTAAAAGTTTGGGGCGGGGGGGGGGGGGGCTGTGTTAAACATCGGAGCGGTACATCTGTTTTACTGGCCTTGTAAAGACGTTGCAAACTTCTTTTGAACATTACTTCCCTGAGAAGTTGGGGCCTGCAGAGGAACCCGTGGCTAGAAGCCTGCTTGCCTGCCTGCCTGCCTGCGGGGCGGGCGCATCTCTCCGCGCCGCCGTCAAGGCTGGCCGCCGCCGCCGCGGGAGCCCGTGCGCGGCCTGAGCCTGAGTAGGGCGTGCGCTCGCCGCCTGGCGCTCCCAGGCGGCCACCAGAGCGCTTTGCGCCGCGCTGCCTGCCTGCCTGCGCACGCGGAGCCTGGCTGCACCTCGCAAGGGCTTGGAGGGGCTTCTCGGCGCTGCTCCGTTCGGCTGGAGCGCGAATGGTGCCGCGGGCGCTGCCGAGGCCGCCCGCGCGACGGGCCCTCTTCCCGAAGAGCCTTAGAAGAGCTGCGCTCTCCCTTCCTCCGCAAACGCCGGAACGTTATCTCCGCAGTTCTTTGCAGCTGTTTTCTGGCAGCCGTTAAGCGCGGGTGAAGCCCAGTCTAGTCGTAACCACATTTATTCAGAAGTGCCAGTAACTGCAATGGGACTTGCTCCTAACAGCCAGCATAAACTTGCACCGAGGTCTGTCCTCAGGCATGCCCGCGTCTTCTGAAGTAAGTTGGCTGGTGACCAGAGAGAAGCCTTCTTTGCGGTGGTGACAATATTGTTTGTTGAGTTCATTTTCTTATTTAGTCTATACTGCCCGGTAGCTGAGGCTTGCTGGGCAGTATACAACTACGCAACTCTGGTTTTAGCATCGGGCAATGACTTTTACAAGAGAAAAAGACATCTAAGGAGCTTTAATGAAGTTTATGGTATTGATGCAGTGAGGGGATTGGCTCTAAATTTAGTTATCCTTAGAATACACTTTCTGAAATCAGTAGGGCATGTTAGCAAAGACTAAGTCCCGTTTGTTTCTATGGATGACTAAATGTGGATCCAACACTATGTTTGTTTCCAATTGCTTTGGATGTTCTCCGGAAGGACATCACAGAAATACTTTAAACAACAAACTTCATGTCATTTTTCTATCTTTTTTCTTTTTGGAATAAAAATATTTTACTCATAATTAATGCATACAATCAATTGCCACTTGTTTAGGTAGCTGTAAGGGAAGATTAAGAAGTAGCTCATGGAGAATATGACTGTGAGTCTATAGAAACTCCCATGTTTGGAATTAAAATTAAGAAGTAACGAGCAAATTCATATGGTAGGATCTGTAATTGTTAATGGGGGTCAGACTAACAGATTTCATAGTAGAGAAGATGGTTTATAAAAGCAGAGGTGAAATGTCAGCGGAAAATACAGGGTTTGAGGTATTGGTGCTGACAATTTACATCATTTTATCATAGCATAATTTGAAAAGTATCCCAGTTGCTTCAGCTTCTATCTTCCATTAATTCCAACAAAAAGCGACTTCTTCAGGGCGACTTCTTATATATTGTTATTTATTTTATATTGTTATTTTATATTTTATATTGTTATTACTGTTATTTCTTATGTTGTGAGATGCCTCGAGGCTTCGGCGAATGGGGTGGCATATAAATGTTTTAAGAAAGAAAGAAAGAAAGAAAGAAAGAAAGAAAGAAAGAAAGAAAGAAAGAAAAGAAAAGCAAGCAAGATGGTATCTGGACCATGACAATAAGGAAAGAAAGAAAAACAATCACATAAACTTGCAGAGTGGGTGGCAAATAATGCCATAATCTAATTTTTCAACAAAAACATGACTTTTAGGCACACATTTCAGCATCGCAGTAAGTGTGGGAACAGCTGGTGGCTTTGATGTCAGCTTTTCCAATACAGCATATGTACTTATTTCCAGTTTCTATTTTGCCCATGTCCTTCCTGCATATGTGTATTTTCATGTGCCAAACTGACAGAAGAGTTTTGCAAGGAGATTCCCATTTTTCATATCTTTCCCCACTCCCCTTTGTCTTGAGGTATGGGGTCTATAGAAAGCATACTTATGCTATTTTGCATTCATGGCTGGATCCCACACTTCATGCGTTGCAACAAAAGAAATAATAAAAGATAATAAAAAGTTGATTCTATCAGCTGTCAAGACACCAGGCTTCTTGGGATAGACAGGAAATTGAAGCAAGGGCATTCCGCAGATTATGACTGTAGCCATCATGGAGAAAAAGTCAATTTGAACAGTCAGTCTGCAATCCACAGCACCTAATAAAAGCAGCATTTTGCATAACAGTAATTGCAAACATCCTAAGAACTGTAACTCCTCTCCCTTTTCTTACTTAACAATCACATTGTGGAGAGAATAATGCCCATCACTTGATATTTGCCTTCATTTCTATTTAGTACAACAATTGCTTTTCCATTACTTAAAATTTATTTTAAAAAAATACATGGAGACTTATTTCATCATCTAATTCTATCTTTTTCTCAAGATTACAGCTTTGCTTTTGAGTTACGGTAAGGGGTTACCATAGTAACATGCTACAGGACAATAAAATTGACTTTCCCAAAATGAAGTTGTCATTGAGAAAAAAGTAGCAGCAACAGAATGTAAGGGGAGATCCCTCTCCAAATAAAAGCCCAACCGCAGGAAGTGATTCTCCTACAGATACAACCTTTCTGTGCCACTCATGCATGCCATGAAATCCAGCTATGCCAGTACTGCCCTTCCAGTACATCCTTCCATAAACCTTCCGGTAGAGCCTTCCCTTGCCCCTTGCCTAATTTGCTTTCACAGCGTTCTCAAGTAATGCTGCCGATACATCCCGCTTACAAGCTAGCCCCACTGAAACAGATGCTGCCCTCACGGCAAGCACAGTGATTGGCTGCCAAAGCAGGGCCGCTCAGAAACTGCAGAGAGGTATCAGCATGCTTAGCCAAATCCCAAGATACGCCAAAATATAACTCACTAAAAAAATAAAATGGGTGTCTGCAAGGGAGAGCTGAATAAAGCTGTGTAATGGAATTGGCTCCAGTTGGGTGGAAAGCCAAAAGGCCAAAAGTGAGTTGGCCTCCTTGGGCCCCTTACAATGTACATGTCTGTATTCTTGAGGAGTGGATGGCTGGCTCTGACTGGAATCTTGGACTGGAACAAAAAAATGTAGAGTGTGATGGTCCCCCACACTGCTTTTGTTTTTCTTTCTGATGTTAGAAAGCAACAAACAATGATATGCAATGTAAATGTACAGCTTATGGGAAAACTCCAAACATAAATGTCACCCCTTGTCCAAAAACCATTTCTATTCTACCCCTAACACTTGACATACTGATTTTTCCTAGCTATATTGTATGGCTGGAAAATTCTATGACAGCTTCTTACTTCAGAGTCTAACAACAGAACAAAAAGCACAGGAAGTCATTTCATAAACGTTTGTCTAAACAATCCAGGAAAGAAACAAGATTGGAAAAGAAAGTGAGAGAAAATTGGGGGTTTCCATTCTTTCTGTCTTTGAAATGTCTCTCAGCACTTCTACTATCTGGAGACTTCCTAAGACACCTTAGTTGTATCAGATGCAAAACCAAACAAAAAGAACAAAACTCCCTATTTAACAGGGTAGGAAAGGAAAGTAATTCATCTAAAACACCAAGGACTGCATCCAATGTTATACAAGTTGGCCTTCTGCTTGTGCAATAGGTCAGTTTGTGATTTATTACACTGACAGCCCTGGATACAAGCCTGTTTGTGAAATCTTGCTGTAATGAATTGCACCTATATTTACTCATAGTTAGCAGAGACCCATTGAAATAAAACATAAGTTAGTAATGACTAACTCAAGTTGCACTGCTTTCAGTAAGAATTTCAGAGACAAAGGGCTGGACTAAGGATCAGCTTTCCATGGATGGAAGGACTCCGCTCATTGAAGAAGTCTGCCTGATTGTCAGGGATCTTTCTCAGTGCCCCCTTATAGCTTACTTCATTCAGTAATACCTCCTGGAGGAGGAGGTGGAGTGGGTAAATTTGCTTCCATCATCCCAGTTGCACTTACCTAAATCCAGACCCAACCTATTGTGTGTGAAGCAATGCATACAAATAAATAAATAAATAGCATATTCCAGTATGGTGACACTGTGTTCATTTGGAAGGCATTCATGGCATATCCTTTTCACCAGCCATGTGGGTGAGAAAACTGTTTCCTACGGCCATGTATTGAGTATTATGGTGAATAGTTTTTCAAATGGTATTTTTCTTGCAATGTAAACTTAGGCTTGTTGCAAAAGTGATACATAAAAGTAAACATGTTGATAAACTGTTCTGGCAATTAAGGTGGATTGTGTGAATTATGTATTAGTACAAACTGGTCAAATTTGCAGAAGTTGCTTAAAAACTTTTTTGGGAGTTTGTGCCATAACTTCTAAAGTTACTACTAATATATTTCCCCATCTGTTCAACATGTCTTATCATCCCATAAAGTGAGCAATGCAAGACACCAACTTTTTTTTGGATACACGCTGCTCTTGTAGAAGTAGGATATAAATAAATATACACTCATCATCTTCATCATCATCTGTACTTTACTGAAGAAAGAATTGGACATCCTTACTTTGAAATCCAGTGAACTGACATGATAACTTGTTAGGGTATGAGTGGATACAGACCAGAGAAGGATGGTCCTCTCCCCTGCCCCCGTAGGGGTATCGGCATGAGAAAGACATGCTGGACCAGGCCAATGGTCCGTCCAGTCCAGCACTCCATTCACACCATGGCAAACAGGACCCCTTAAGCAGGACCCCTTAAACAAGACGTCCCCGTCCAAGCTCCTCAGCAACTGGTATAGCACACAGCCAGCAGGCACCAGCAAGCTAGAAGCCATTAAAGACAACCTCCTCCACGAATTTGCCCAACCCCCTTCTTAAAGCCAATCAAACTCCTGGCCATCACTCCTCCTGGCTGCAAATTCCAAATTCCATTGCTTAAGTTGCACTGTGTGGAGCATGTTGTTTTTTCTGTCCTGAATCTCCCACCAATCAGCTTCATGGAATTACTCCTGGTCTGAGTGTTATGGGAGAAAGAGAAAAATGTCGTCCTCTCTGCTTTCTCTACATCATGCATACTTTTGACCACCTCTATCATGTTTCCCCTTTCCCACTATTTTCCTAAGCTTGAAGAATCCCAGTTCTAATCATTCTTCACAGGGGAGTTGTTCCAGCCCCTTCATCATTTTAACTGCCCTTTCTTCGCAGTTTTTCTAACTCAGAAATGCTCTGCTTCATGTGTGTTGACCAGAACTTTGCTCAATATTCTAAGACTGGTCACACCAAAGAGCTGAGTAAGAGGAATAAGAACTGGGCAGTTTTATTTTTGATTCCTTTCCTAATTCTAGCCTGTAAAGCTGAAGTATACGGTTGTTACCACTTAAAATGAGATGTTAAAAGAATATGTTGGCAGTCATAGGGGTGTAATAAAACAAAACAAACCTTGATTTCTGGAGGGGTGGGGTTGAGGGAGGCATTCCCTCTCCAAAAACGGCGGTAGTACCAATTTTGTTTCGTATGTGCATTATAGAAACCCCTCCCCGCCCCCAGAAAGAAACCAAGCCCCTAACCATGGATGATTACTTCTATCAGACTGTTCACGCCTCAGTAAGAGTGGACCGGGGACACAACTTTTTCCTCCACCTGTGAGAGAGAAAGCCCTGATTTTAGTGGAGATGTCGCCATTATAGTAACAGAAGTGGGCGCACGTGTTGTGAAGTAATTAGGTGGAAAGTTTAGAAGCAGCTGCTGTGATTTCCTGGCTTGTCTGGCAGAGTGTCGGTTTCCTGGCCGCATTCCCAGACGCGACAGAAGAAAACCGACATCGTCGACAGCTCGCCAGGACCCTCTTCGCCCTCTCGCCCGGCGGCAGCGCAAGCACAGCCGTCCCGCTCGCAGCAGCAGCAGCAGCACGTGACGGGAGCGGGGCGACTTTTTCCAGGCGGCCGTCGCTGGCGCTGTGCTCGGCCGCGGGAGGCACCGGGCGAGCTGCCCGCGGACTGGACTTTCAAAAGCAGTTCCTGCAACGGGGGCGGCGGCGGTGGGTGGCGTGCTTTGGGCTGCAGGACAGAAGGCCGTTTCGAGGGGGCTCCGCCTTGCTCTGCCCCCCCCCCCCCCCCAGCTGCCTGGGGGCTTCATGCGCGCAGCGGTGAGAGCGCCTCTTCCCGCCCGCTGGCCATGTCGCTGAACGCCTCGGCAGCGGAGGGCAACCGCTCCTTGCCGTCGTCGGCGTCGGGGGGCTGCGGCGGCCCCGCAGGAGGAGGGGGCGGCGGCGGCGAGGACGAGCCCTTCTCCCTCCTGAGCCTGCTGGCGCTGAGCCTGCTGGCGCTGCTGACGGTGGCCACGTTCGTGTGGAACCTGCTGGTGCTGCTGACCATCGCGCGCGTGAAGACGTTCCACCGCGTGCCGCACAACCTGGTGGCCTCCGCGGCCGCGGCCGACGTGCTGGTGGCGGCGCTGGTCATGCCGCTCAGCCTGGCCAAGGAGCTGTCGCCCGGGCGGCGCTGGCGGCTGGGCCGCGAGCTGTGCCACGTGTGGGTCTCCTGCGATGTGCTGTGCTGCACGGCCAGCATCTGGAGCGTCACCGCCATCGCGCTGGACCGCTACTGGTCCGTCACGCGGCACCTGCAGTACACGCTGCGCGCCCGCTGGCGCGCCTCCGGCGTCATGATCGGCGTGGCCTGGGCGCTGTCGGCGCTCATCGCGCTGGCGCCGCTCCTGGGCTGGGGCGAGAGCGCGTACGGCGCCGAGCAGCAGCGCTGCCAGGTCAGCCAGGAGCCCTCTTACACCGTCTTCTCCACCTGCGGCGCCTTCTACCTGCCCCTCGGCGTGGTGCTGTTTGTCTACTGGAAGATCTACCGGGCAGCCAAGTTCCGCATCGGGGGGCGCGGCAGGAGCAACGCCGTCGCGCCCCTCCCGGAAACTGGCCAGGTAAACGGGCAGCCGCGGGGATGATGGGCGGGGTGGCTGCACTGGCCTCGGTGTCGCTCGCCCCCAGGAGTTAGGCGCAGCCGAGAGGGGCAAGCCGAGTACCGGCCGAGAAGTTTAGCAGAGCTGGCGGCTGTACCTAACGTTAGCACTGCTTAGCCGTAGACCCACCGAAATGAATGGGATTTAACACTGACCTTAATTTTAGCCAGTACGTAATTCCAAAATAAAGGCCCAGCTGCCTGTTGTTGAGCATTTCTCAAGGGAGAGATTTCTTGGGTTTTAACTTGAGCCAAGGCAAGCATTGACCTTGTTTTCAGTGTCAGATCATAGCCCCTGAATGTAGCACCTTATAAAAACAATAAAGCATGTGAAGGAAGCAGGTAGCCACAACTTCCCCAATGAATCTGGGGGTGGGTGGGGGGATTGCTGATGGTTTACAAGTGTGAATTATAAAGGGAAAGAGGCAAAAGAGCTAGAATTAAGAGGGAGGTGTGGAAAAGTGAACAGGTACTTTATTGTAGAGGTATTGCTTAATCCATCAAGCTTCACTTTATGCCCTTGGAGTCCCTTTGATCCAAAGTATGTGGGGCCAAGTAAAATTACATAGTGATGTTCTGGAACATCATGAAAAAAATCATACTACATCTTGAGATATTCCAGGTCTGTTGAACTTAAGCACGCTTAAGGACAGATGAAATGGACTCTGACTTTGATTAGAAATACTGTATAAGGATAGATGCTTAAGGACGAAGTGCTTGGGAGCATCTCGCTGTGATGTGGCAGGGGATTGGGTAGTTCTGTGATAAGAATTGCAAAGGCCAGGCCAAGCCCGGCCCCCACATCAGGGATGGAAGATAGGCCGGTTGGACATTAGCTGGCTGCTATGATGGAGCTGTCCCGGACATAACATTATGCATATGTGAATGAGCATACAATATATTTATTTATTAAAAGCTTTTCTAGCCCATCCTCTGCTGGCGTCTTGGAACGGCTTACAAAAATGAGTAGAATAAAACAATCACCACAGCATCCAACAATTGAAATACTAAAACCCCAGTTAAAATCAATCAAACATTAAAATAACAGGAAAATAAAAAGTTTTTGCCTGATGCCAAAAAGAATATAATGTCGGCACCAGGCAACCCTCCCTGGGAAGTGTATTCCACAGTTGGGGTACCATCACAGAGAAGGCTCTCTTCCAGGTGCTCTACTTCAAGGGGGCTCCCGAAGCAGGACCTCCACCTCAGACCTCAGGGGGCGGGAGGGCGAAGGCGTGCCTTCAGGTATCCCGGACCCAAGCTGTTTAGGACTTTATAGGTCATCACCACACCTTAAATTGGGCCTGGACTTGAATTGGCAGCCAGTGTAACTGATGGAGGACCAGTATTATATGTGAAAACCGACTGGTCCCCATTAACATCCTGGCAGCTCTGTTCTGAACCAATTGAAGTATCTGGACCATCTTCAAGGGCAGTCCCATGTAGAACACGTTACAATAGTCCAGCCAGGAAGTTACCAGAGAGTGGGTCACCATTGCAAGTCAATGCCCATCCAGGAAAGGCCACAGTTGGTGGATCAGCCAAAGCTGAAGGAAAGTGCTCCTCGCCACCACTGCCACCTGGGACTCCAGGTCAAGGAGCACTCCCAAACTGCAAATAATATACCAGGTATGCTGCCTTCTTCTGTGCTTTACCAACAAAATCCAACTTTAAGTTATACTCATTATCTAAAGAAGACATCCTACATACAAAATATTCATTAGTGCTTACATCTGTTTTAAGATGAGCCCCCCTCCAAAGTTTTGTGTTTTCTTTTGTCTGCTGACACAACAGCATTTAAAAAATGAAAATTATTTCATGCAACTATAATTAGACCTTATGTAGGTTTAGTCAGAAGTAAATTCTATCATGTTCAGTTGGACTTCCCCACATAAGTGTATATTAAAATGCAGCTCCCGTGTACTTGTCTACTCAGAAGTAAGTTGCATTAATTGAGTAAATGTGAAAATTGCTTCCCCACCCAATCTGGGGCTGATGAAACAGCCCAAACCAGAGTATTTACAGGAATGTCTTCTGCATGTTACCTGCTTGGTCTCTTTGGCAGCTTTCAGAGACTCCTGTCAGTGCTCCCGCCAATGGAAACTGGACTGGTACTCCATGACAGGGCCTTCTCACTGGTGGCACCACCCCACTTATGGAATGAATTCCCCAAAACATTATCCTAATGTCTGCATTGTTATCTTTTTGGTTTCAGTTTTAATGACAGCTATGCAGACTCTCTCATAGGCCTGGTTCAAAATGTACTTTAATGCATTGGATTGTAGTGACTTTGAGATAATTTAAAACTGTCTTTCCCAACATTGCCCTGAATATTTTTGGAGTATATGTCCCATCAGCCCCAGTCAGCATGGCCAATGGTCAGAATGCTGGAAGTTGTAATCCAAAACTCCTAAGGCATTAGGTCAGGGTAGCCTGATTAAAAACATCTTGAATGAACCAGATCGCACTGCTGTTGTCCTTTATGTTATAACTCACATTGAAAGCTAGCCTCTCTTGAGTGAATATATACAGTTTAGGCACAATCTTATGTGCATCTAGACAGTATTACAAGCTGAGGAATGCTGGGAGTTGTAAATTTCTGTCAAAACATACGGATTTAATAATTGTGTCCTTAAAATACTAAATAACAGAATGCATAAATATTTTTTCACACATATCTCTTCTTTTCTCCTGCACTAATTTCGTGACATATTAACAACCATTTAAACCATGGGTTTATTTATTATATTTATATCCTGTCTTTTTTCCTTCCAAGGTACTCAAGGTGGCTTGCATAACTCTCCTCCTCCTCTTAAGCTTATCTTCACAGCAGCAGTCCTGTGAAGTAGGTTGGGCTGAGAGTCTGTGACTGGCCCAAAGTCACCCAGTGAGCTCCGTGGCTTGAGTAGGGACTAGAACTCGGACTTCCCGAGTCCCAGCCCCACACTCTTAACTGCTCCGCCTCACTGTCCCATTGCGTTCCTTTGTGTGTGGGTTCAGAAAGGTCAACCCCTGTATCTCTCAGATTCAGCAACTGCTTTATTCATCTAGTCTTCATCATTCTCTTAGATGGAGCTGGTCTCTATGCATGCAGCTTGCAGGTAGGACCAAAGCAGAGAAGGTTACAGGAATTAACACTGCATGTTACCTAAAGGAGAAGAGGGCTTTTGAAGGAGGTAAGAAGAGCTCTGCTAGATCAGGGAGTTCCTTTAGTGCAGCCTTTCCCAACGTGGTGTCCTCCAGATGTGTTGTACGACAACTCTCAGCAATGCTGTAGGCAGTGTAGCATATGTGGAAGGGACTAGGTTGGGAATAGGGGTTAGGAATAAGACAGAATAGTGTCTAGACCAAACAGCATCCTACAGTTCTCTGCATGTAAAGGCACATTCACCCAGTAATTTGTGCCAGACATTTCATATCGGACAATAAAGCCAGTGCTGGTGAAAGCAGAGATAACATTCTCCTTGACATGACACATTCCTCATTGCTTGCTGTTCCAATTCGTGCATGATCTCTACTGCTTTCAGCACAGCTTCTTTGGATTATCTTGCTATTAACAACTTTGATGGATTCCAGGTTGAAATTACCCACATAAATGTTTGTGTCTCCTTTGTGTGCCAAATCCATTTGTTTCCTTATACATCAAACCACAACCTCCTCTGTTTCCTGCTTATGGGTTTAAATTCTTCTGAACCTATTTCTCAAGCATCAACCTATGATTTTTGTTTGTTAGGCTGCTTTAGCCAAACTCAGGCTTTCTGCATTACACAGATAAGGACATGGGGACCTACTCCCTGCTCTGCCAGATAACTGATGTGAGCAAGCAAAACTGGGTCATACCAGGGTCTTGGGAAGAATCTGGCCCAGTTTTACTGGTGGAACTAAGCACACAGATAGTTTGGAAGAAGTACTTCCCATTGCTTCAGGAATGGGCCTTTTATATTTTAGAATAACAGACATTTAATGATAGGATATAATTCTGAACCTGTGCGTTTCACCACTGCTTTGCATACAGCAACAGTCTTCAAAAAGATGACCTTTTAAAGCTTTTAGGAGTGTATTACCTCTGTTCTAGTTCAGCATCTCAGTTTGCTGAAAGTTACCTCTCTAGTCATGAATATATACCAAATACTTTGCTAAAGAATCCTATACCATTTCTCTGGGAGTAAACCACACTGAACACGATGGGACTTACTTCTGAGTAGACATGTATATGATTGCATTGTAGCTAGATCTTTTAAGAAGAGTAAAAAAGAATGCATGTGGAAGTGAGATATAGAAGTGAATACACAGAAGGTAGAGGTCTGATGTCTTGCTTTTATAGCCAACAGCTAAGCCTGCAGGAGGAAAATCTCTATATTTCTTAAAGCAAATTTCCCCATCATTTCAGAAATTGTAATAATGCTTTTTTTAAAAAAAATCCTATAATTGTCACATTTAGTTTACAGAAGTTTGATCATTGTCTGCAGCAGTAATAAGATCAAACCTGAGAAAATCTGAATATGTAGGAAGTGTTTTAGACAGCTGATCATGGAGAAAACGTACTTTGTGGGCATACTCTTCACAAAATTCAAAGGATATCCTGATGAGTCTTGTACCAAGAACACAGGCTTAAATAGAGATGTGAAAATTGCAGGCACTCCATTGCCCAGCAAAATTTTATTCGCCTAGTAATTTGAAATACTGATTCAGCTTCATGCAAGCTGAATATGCTGTGTAGTCCAAATAGAATAATGATTTTATTATTTATTAGGAATTCAAAGTAGAAAATAGTACAAAATTGTTATGTAGAAAACATTGATGTGATTTTCTAACACTTGAGTGAACTTACAAAGTGTCATTTTCAGACTAGCTTGGTTTCTATCCCCTAAGCTGCTTCATGTCTCATGTCCCATTTCCCCACCCTTTAAATCAGCTAGTTCAGCTAGCCTGAGAGTCTGTTTCCAAGTTCATTTTGACTGTATTTGACTGGGGTCCTGTATTTGACTGGAGCAGGACTGTAGTAAAGTCCTTACATTCATGAACCCCCAAGACAGGTCTACACAGAAATATCTGTGGTGTGCTGGTCCCATGCTCATAGGTCTATGCCAGGGCAATGAGTGTGCTGCTCCAGGCTTTCGGAGCACAGCTCTGGGAAGACTCCCACTTCCAAACTTCTGACAGGAGATCCCACAGCAATAGTCCAGAGTGTCCACAGACTCTACCACATTTGTATCTTTTTATGTACATATACCAGGACTTTGCTGTCCTTCCCTGACCTTACATGGTAGAGCAAACCAAAATGTTGCTACAGTGGCCCAGAAAGGTCCTATCCCTTGTTTCCAGAAGGGGAAATATAGTCAGGTAGTTTCCTTCTCTCCCCCCCACCTCTGCATGTCAAAAGGTTTGAAGCACTGACCAACTTAGGAAGAACATTTGGCTGTACCTACCCTGAGCAACAGTTGTGGTTGAGTGCCAGTGTCAAATTCTTCATGTATTTTTTTTAACACTGCACTTACATGTATATCCCTCCATCTTCCCTTTTGCAAGGAACCAAGATGGTTTGCAACTTTCTCTCCCTTCCCATTTTATCCTCCCAACAACCCTGTGAGGAAGATTAGACAGAGAGTCAGTGTCTGGCACAAAGTCACCCAACTGAACTTCATGTCCAAGGGGGGACTAGAACCTGGAGCTCCCCAGTCACACTGCAACATGCGAACCTCCATGCCATGGTGGCTGTCCCTCTTCTGTCAAATTCACGTTGGAACTAAAGAATCTAAGCACCTGATAGATTGGTGGACATTACCAATAACTGTGGGCAGTGCTGGTGTTAAATGTGCCTACTAAAACAGTTCTTGGAGGCCACAGTCAAAACGAGACACCACAGTCAAGGCAAATTTATTTATTTATTTATTTATTTAAACATTCATATGCCGCCCCATTCGCCGAAGCCTCGGGGCGGCTTACAACATAATAAAAATTACAAAGTCACAATATAAAATAACAATATAAAAGAAATAACAATATAAAAGAAATACACAAGACAGTACCTGTGCTGTGGGGAATACAAATGTACAGAATATTCAAGATGCGTTCGTTTGTTCTAAGCTTTTTATATGCCCTTTAGCCAAAAGACTCCTGCAGTTAAGTAGGAGAGTCCCTGCCAGTAGGTGCACGATCATTAAAGGGCACATACAAAGGAAAAGGAGAAGAGGGTGTGGAACATCCATTCTGATGAATGAGAGTTGCCTTTAGCTGCCACCCAGAGGGGAGCTGGGGCTGCTCTCCTCTTAGCATGCTAGAGGGGTCCTTTAGCCATCAAGAAGGTTGCACGAAGGTTGCATACAAATGGAGAACAGAGCTGGTCTCCTACAAATGCACCCTTGAGATAGGCAGAGCAACATTGAATGCCCATTATGGTCTCACTTCAGTGGGAGTGTGAACAGCTCTTTGTTTTATTCTTCAAAGGCTGGTTACTGAAACAAGTTGAGGATGGACAGCAGAAAGATACTATTCCAATCAAAACAGTTCCATATATAAAGGTACTTTATGCAGAGAGATTTGTACCATGCCTGCTATCAGTAAAAAGGGCACTCGGGGTGATCACCAATAACATGCAGAACTATAAAATGAATGCAACCTAAAGACCCTCTTAGTTGTGGTCTTTAGGAATAAAAAAAGACCACACTGCTGGAATAAAAAGGACGGCAGAGAAGAAGTCTTCACTGTTCACCCAGTAAAGTTTCATACACTGAAACTAAGATACGTCCAAGAGTTTGTTCTCATAACAGGGATGTTGCAGGGATGTTGGAGAAATCTTCACTGGATTCAGGTGAGGTCAGAATGCTCGAAATGGCCAGGGACCAGTGTGGCATAGTGGCTAGATGTTGGGCTGTGTCTTGGGAGAGCCAGGTTCTAGCCTTCACTCAGCCATGAAGCCCACTGGATGACTGAGCCTGCCATGGACTCTTTGCCAAAGCTTTCTCACAGGGAAGCTGTGAGGATTAAAAGCAGAGGAGGAAGAGGATTGTGCAAGTCTCTCTCTCTCTCTCTCTCTCTCTCTCTCTCTCTCTCTCTCTCTCTCTCTCTCTCTCTCTCTCTCTCTCTCTCTCTCTCTCTCAGGAAAAAAAGGCAGAATATAAATAAAATGAATAAATTCAGCCTGTGGATTCTACAACTGAGTGGCTTTTTTGTGTATCATGTATATTACATAGGCTAGTAGAATGGTTTTGTTCACTTTGGTACAAGATTTGCATCAATGTAGACTTGCACAAATGCATTAACCTGCCTAAGTTACTGCACATTAGAGCTAATCCACATTAACTAATGTAGATTAGAGTATTTGCATAAATGTGCGCTAGTGCTAACGTAAATTAGCATGTAGATTTTAAAAATCCAGTTCCATCAATGGATGATGGAAAGACAGACATCTGATGATCTGCAAAACAGAATGGATTTTACAAATCTGCACATCGTATTTGTTAGAAGATAGTACTAAACTAATTATACTGACTTCTTCCTATACCAACTCAAATCAGAGTAGTAATCAAGTCATTTAGGGTACAGTTCAGTATGTTACCCATAGCACTCCAGACTTGGAGCATTATGGTTGTTGTTAGCTGCGAAGTTGTGTCTGACCCATTGTGACCCCATGGACTTGGAGCATTACCAGTATCCATTTAGACATGAGCATCCATGGGGCCTTGCAGTTTCATCTTCTGGAATTGGTTCATGATGCTGCTCCACATTATTTCCCAGTAGGAGTAGTAGGATAGGAGGTACTGGCTGTTTCTGGGATGCAAAATTCAACATAGAAGCCCACTTATTCCTTATTTAAATAGCTTTCTCTCCACTCTTCGGAGGTCTAGTTCATTCATAGTTTTCAAGCTCTCAAGTTTGGAGTTATGCACAAATGTTGTGTTGCCATTCTTAGCCAAAGATGATTATTATTTCTTTCAAAACAAACCTGTCTTGATAAGAATTCCTCTTTCCATTTATGTCAAGGTGAAAGAAGTTTCTCAGCCACAGATGGTGTTTACAGCTCGTCATGCGACTGTCACTTTTCAGACAGATGGAGAAACATGGAAGGAACAGAAAGAAAAAAAAGCTGCTATGATGGTTGGCATTTTAATTGGTGTGTTTGTACTTTGTTGGATTCCCTTCTTTGTCACAGAATTAATAAGCCCTCTCTGTTTCTGCACCATTGCACCTATCTGGAAAAGTATCTTCCTCTGGCTTGGCTACTCCAATTCTTTCTTCAATCCTCTCATTTATACAGCATTTAACAAAAATTACAACAATGCATTCAAGAACCTTTTTGTGAAACAGAGATAAAAGGCTGCAGAAAAGACAACTGCTATGTTTATTTTGCGCTACTGATATAACTTACGCAAGGTTTCTTTGATATGTGAAACAGAGCAAGATGCACACATGGAAATTAAAGCAATAACAGAAGTGCTTGAGGTATCAATCAATGAAGTTAATACAGCTCATTGCAATACAGAAACAGAAGCCTAGAATGTTTGTATGTGTGGATGGGTTGGAATTTAATAACTGCAAAGTCCTCCCCCACTTTTGGCTATGGAGGTGTTATGTAAATCCCAAACTCACAGTTTTCTGGCTTCGTTCCATTAAATCATTTTCAGACAAAAATACCATGTTTCTTGCTAGGTGAACAGTCACAACTTCAGCTTTTAATCTCATGAGTGGAAAATCACAGAGTTCCTGCTGCGTTGTATAACTTAACTGCTTCAGTCTCATGAGTATCCAGATGGCTGCTCCCATAATGACTCTGAGTAAAAAACTCAGTGACTGTTAGGATCTTAGAATTATTGGATTCATGTGGCAGAACCTCTTTTAGTTTAAGGTTGCAACAAAACCAAGGGAAGATCAGTAATGCAGAATGACCCAAGAAAGATGAATTTAATTCCCTGTAAGCATAAAAGACCCTGAAATCTAAGTTGTTTCAGGCTTACTTAACTTTTCTTAACTGGATATGCATACACAGAGTCACCATGTGTGTATCTCTCGGCCAGTTAATGCAACTCAACATTCTTATAAGCAAGGTCTCACTTCCCTGGAGATTAAATGTTGGCTTATTCTGGAATGATCATTTTACCTTTCTTTTAGTCTGCCTATTCAAGGATAGGAAAGCATATTGCATTAAATGAGCAGTAACTTGAGACCGTCAATTATAGGCTACTCTTTTTCAGAAAACTTATTGGCACTACATTCCTCTTCTAAAAGAGCACTCATTTGCATTTTGCACATTAAGTGGCTACCAGGCCGCGGAAAGTACATGCAGTCTTAGAACAAGCACACTTGTTTTGCTTTGCTTTTACTAAGGTAAGTGAGGTGATCTTTTTCTGTGAGCAAACGGCAGATTTGGGTTCTCCAAGGATTAATGGTGTAGCAATAAGCAAAAGTAATAAACATTCAGGTTTTGTCAATTTACTGAAGTAATGACTAAATAGATGGTGAATCTCCACCACAACCAGATGTAATACAAAGGGATCATAAACTGTGGAAGGGAAAGTAGGACATTTGTGTTTTGGAGTCCTAATCTCAGAAGCTAGTAATATGAAAGTTCTCTAACCTGACCATTGAACGATAGGTTTCCTGTATTTGAAAGAGTTCTGGTGCAGAACTTCAAGCTCAGAAGCCAGATCCAGCCCTCTTGGGGTGCTGGCTTGGTCCTCTGGGGTTGCTTAGATGCCCATGGCAGCTTCCCCACATCTGCTCCATTTTCTTCAGCCACCAATTGTTTGGTGGTTCCCAGCCTTTGTGCAGTTCTGTTCCCGTTCTCAGAAGGGGAAAGGCCTATCTGAAGGCTTTGTGACTGGAATGAAGAGCTTTAGGCTGCAATACGCTGGCATTTTAGTCCTGCATCCCTTTGCTCCCCTCACAACTCACTGTTAGAATGCCCTGCTGAAAGTTTTCAAGAAATGGAATGTGGTGTTAGAGCTACAAGAGGCGGCGTTCTGCCAATGGAGAGATGTACCCACAGACGCATGCAATACGCTGGCACTGTGGTGACCTCAACATAGGCAGCCTCCTTGTGCTGAGCTGGAGCGCATGGACCCACTGCAACATGCACACTAGTGGAATTGAGTGCACAGGACCTCTTGTGAACTGTATCGTTTTTTGGTGATTGTTGTACATAAGACCAGAGAGTGTCAGCTATTGGGTGGTATGATGATGCAACACCAGTGACATTAGGTAACACAATGGAATTCCCCAGAAAACATTGGCTGCAGTGCCTCCCCTCTCTCGCCCATCAGTGCCAGCTTCAAGGTTGGTCTTGCAAACTCAAAGCTTCAGCCTGTGTGGAAAACTCTGCACGAGCTCTAAGAAGTGAGGGTGCTCAGAATTCAGAGTCCCTGGTTCGACCTCAGAGCTCTTATCCAAGGTAGGAGCTGGAACTCTGACTTGCCATATGGCCATTTAGACAGTGAGATTGGGTCCTAAAGCTCACACTGCCAGTATCTAAGCATTAGTGAGGCATTTCCAGCTATTAGAATGGGAAAGGCTGTACAAAGGCCAAGATCCCACTAAATGAGGATTAGGAGGAAGAGGGTGGGGCAAGGGAATGGCCTGTAGACACCTCCATAAGCCTGCCTTTGGGTTCCTGCTATAGGATATCCCATTCCCCAGGTGCATAATTGGAAGTACCTTCTGTTTGATCACACGGCAATTTAGAGTCCATTCTTTCTGGTCGCAAAGCAGACAATGTGTTCGATGTAACTAATGTGGAGCGAGGCATCTATTGCCATTTGCACTTAGTCAGATTCTCATTGTGTGAGACCTCATATTTGAAACCAGTGAAACAGTAGATTTTGTAGAGGTATTTCTATTTGCTAAATCCATTTGTTTTGGCTGCTTGGACAAAATAAACTTCAAATCCCTTCCTAATCTTCATTTGAAACACACAGAGATACTCATAGTTTAGATCCTGAAGGAGCCATCCAATTCCAAAACAACAGCATGGAAGTTTCTGTGGAGAGTTGCAGGTGCCCTTAAGTGGCAGCTCATCATAGAGGTAGCAAAACTCCATTTTTGTATCCCTCACTCTTGATCAAGTGGTTTTGATTTTTATTGTCCAAAATGTTTCTGTAATGAATATTGTGTACATAAAAAGAAACTTGACTTAAAATGCTTTGTTTCTTTATATAAATTATGGTGGAAGAAAGATTTAAAATGCCTTTTCCTCATGGTATGTTTACAAACAAGTCTGGGATTTTAGTTCAGTGATTATTTATTGTATTTCTGTTTGAAACATAATACATGTTTTCTAAAGCATGTGTATTCTTTCTCACTTGTTAACAAGAGCACAGGAAAGTAAAATAAGAATGCCAATCTTAGTGGCTTCACTACATACACTCACACACACAAGAAATCAAGTTAGATCCCAACTAAGGTAGTAGTATTTCCCAACCGCAATGACACTGCATTGAATTTTTAAAATTAATAAATCCTAGTCATTGGATGGATCAACTTGAAAAAAGGTTGTGGAAAATGAACTCAGTCATACAAAAGAACCAAGCGTCTCAATTTCTTCAAGAACTCCTGGCCTTTAACTTGGCCAGCAGCATTTCATTCTTGCGGCATTCCTGTTGATAAAAGAAACAGATGGAAGCTTTAAACATTACAAAAGAAAACATAGATTTAAATTGTACAATCAAACAATGCAGTCCTCTGCATGGCTTTTCAGTCATAAGTTCCATTTTTAACCAATTCCAGAGAATGTAAGTGAACTCTATTGAACGGTCAAAGAGGAAAGTATTGAAGCAAAGGATGCAACAGTTTCCCATGAATCATGTTGGAAAGCAAAAGGCATCTGACGTGTAATACACTATTTTTCATTGCTTTTAGCCTTCAACTAGTAACACTTCGTTCTGGAATCTTACAGTGCTGAAGCATGAGTGCACCACCACACACACGCACACTGCAGCATCACTAAATCCTGCTCACAATCAGCCCAATTCAGGGATATGGTATCCAGCTACCATTGTTGTTGTAGAGCAGGGATGGGCAGAAGGTATATCACAAGATGTTTTGGACTTTAATCCTCAGAAGCTGCTCTCAGCATGAACAAAAGTAAGGAATTCCGGGAGCTTTAAGTCTCAAGCACCCACAACGACCTTCCATCTGCCCTGATGTACAGGACAACACTTGAGGCAGATTCTCGCTGTGTATAGAAACACTACCACCACCACCACCACCACCACCACCTCCCTCCTTTTACCTCTTTGAACTCTTTGACTGTTTTGAAGTAAAGCCTATGTTTTTCTAGTAGTTCTAGATATTCGTCGTTTAACTGGTCCCTTCTCATTTTGTTTTCTTGCTTTTTCTTCTCCATCTGTTGAGAGAGCAAGGAGAAAAGAGTTAAGAGACCATGTCATGCACAACGACTTCATCCACGTGATTAACAAGCAAACACAAGCTAAGTCCAGCGTTTTGTCACCTAAAAAAGTCTTGCAGAGCCCCTTGTCCAAGCTTCCTCAGACGGGAAGCAAATTTGGAGCGTGCCTTAGCAGAGAACACACAAACAGCAATGGATTAAAAAGTGATGCTGCCACAAGTCAAGTCATTCTGGTAGCAAATTTACTTACTCTTCCTGCCCAAAATCCAGAAAGTAAAAAGGATTATGAAACTTGGCCTCCGCTTAGAGTCTTTGGCAAAGGGGGAGATCATTCCTCATTCTACCTCTATTTATTATCTGGAAATAGGTAAAGAATATCACAGTATGTCTTAAATGCATCTGCTTTCCACTGCTGAGTATGGCAATTTCATGGAAGGAAGACAATAGGTTGGTTCACATGATCAGACAGCTCACCATGGTTTATTTAAGCCCCAGTGGGCTGTGGGAATGCTGGCCAGCTGGTGATTTTGAATGTCCAACACCTGACTGTGCCTTGCTGTATTATGCAACCGTCCTTGCGAAGCCCATTGTCTCCAGGTTTGTATTACATCGCAAACCACGGCTGGGCATGGAAGTGCAAACCCCACCCAGCAAGTGCCACAGCACATAATAGGCTGTTCTGTTTGTGTGAACCAGGGCACAAGTTTTCTGTGAATGAAGCTGAAAAGACTAGGTAAAGACAAGAAAGAATAATGGAAGGACATTCTGGCAGAGAAAAATTACCTCATTGTGTTTAATTCTCATCTCTGCCAGAATTAAAATGCATTTTAACAAGTGAAGGACATGTTGCAGAAGGACATACATTTTCTACATTTCAAGGAATTTGTTTTTAGGGGAGGGAACGTGAAAGCAAGCCACTTCCACCACACTTGGCATACAGGTGTTTCTCTACCCATCTGGTTTTAGCAGAAATGCCACAATATGGTATGTTCATATGCAGAGCAGAAAGAAGACAATGTGGCAACACAAGGAATAAAAGCATCTACCAGATGCTCAGTCATTTGCACCTGACTGCAGAGATGTTAAAAGTTTCTACTGGAGTCTCAGAACATTCCAAGTGTCTGAGAAAATGAAGTGTTCTGACCTTCATTCGACTCTGTTTAATTCCTTCTACGATCTGCTCCATCTGCCGTAGAAATTGGTCTCGAGCACTAGAAGATGCCATGGCTCTGAAAGGAGAATGGATACCAATGGCAAAAGTTAGTTAAGGGAAGTAATGAGTGTCTACACTTGGTGTTTTCATTTTGCATGGATGACTTTCAGTAAATAACTTTTTTAGCAAGTGATAGGAAAATAGAAATCAGAAAGTGACTGGTTGAGATTAGAGTTGGAAAAATGTATTTTCCCAGATACTTTTCCTATTGCAATATGCAACAGTTAAAATCAAGGGAGAAAAAAACTTTAAGCTTATGGGATATACCATAAGCTTTGTCTTCAAGGTCACCAAACAGAGCTGGATGCAAAATAGTGGCTTAGGCAACCAGGCACAGAATTGCAAAACAAGGTGTTTCTGATCACATGCTCAACTTGGGCATTTGTTTTGGGCATTAACACCTGAGTTCACACAAAAATCAATTCATACACAAATCTACCCCCATTTCCATCCCACCCCCCAAAGCTTTGCTTTTTATTAAAGAAGCCTAATTAAGGAAGGGGGAAAGCCTTTTTGTGGTTGTTATTGTTGAACCATTGAGACTTGGACACCCTTGCTGATCTGATGCAAATAGTTCAGAGATTTGTCAGTCATTCCTGATGGAGCCCTTCCCTGGATTAAGTGGGCATAGTAAGAAAAACTACCATATTTGGCTCATATATTACTCAAAGAATCACTCCATTAACTTTATAAGTTCTTGGCTGGTAATAAGCAAACTTTCAGGATGCAAGGTAGGCTTCAGGTTTCCCTCCTTTATATCTTACAGAATTTCTTGGAATTAACTAGCAGTTTACTACACATCTCATACATCCTATGCTCGTTAATGGATCTTGCTCCCAGGTAAGTATACCTTCTGAAAAGCTGCCCAAAAGCTAGGAACCCCCCCGCCCCCGAAGCAATACCCTATGAGCTATAAAGAGCTGTTCCTAGAAAAAGAGAAGAACATGTATCTCAATGAAACACTGATTTTTTTTCTGAAGTACATAAATATCAAAAGGATGTGGCAAAAACACAACTATTCTACACTTTTCCCTGAAAACAGCAAATAACACAATGTCTTCATAAAGCTCTGGAGGAAAGGGAACTGAAACACGTACAACATGAACAATATAACAGCTAAATGCAGCTATATTGTTAATTCGTTTTATATTTTTAGTGTATTATATTTTAATTGATGTTTTGTGAGCCGCCCCAAGGCTTCAGCGAATGGGGCAGCATAGAAATTTTCTAACTAACTAACTAACTTGTCCCTGTGTATAAAAAACCCTTAAAAGGCATCCTATGAAGTATCCATGGCCAGCAATGACATATTTTAAAGGCACGTCATGGTTACTGAAATGAGAGCTGGTCACCATAAGGAGGTGAGATAGCCAAGCTCTGCCAATAAGCATCGTTCTTATGAGCCCATTCAAGAGAACAGTGGACTACTTACTGCTGGAAATTGTCATGAATTGAGTTAAGCAAGCTAACCTGGAAAAGACAAAAAAGAATGCATGTTTATGCCAAGTTTCCTTGGTGAAAAGTTAAATGCAAAGTCAAGCAATATGATCTATTCATAAACATTCACAAGGCTTATTTTGCAGTGCTAGATTCCTTTAAGTTTTACTTAACTATGGGCAAAACAACATGTAGACTTTTGAAAGAACAGCAGGACCCCCATATCTGCCTTAGTTACCACCACTGCACTTAACCAAGGTTGATCATCAGTCCTCCACATGTGGACATCTCTAGGGAACTATGCACTCCGGGGATGCCGTTCTCTTTATCTCGGTACTAGCTAGCCTCATATGTTTATCTTTTAGTGGGCGTGAAGACTAGAAAGTTGCAGTTTTTCCTTAGAGATAGTCAGTTTTTCCACTTTGGTGGGGCTCCTGTGTCCCTTACCCCCATGAATGCAGTTTGCTACTGTCCGTGGTTCCAGGCATCTGCTGGGGGGCTTGGAACCTATCCCTCGCAGATATGGGGGCCCTGCTGTATGAAGGCACTTTTACATGAGAGCTTTTCTTGGTGGCTATGACAGTACACCTGAACATACCCCAAGTTATCAAAAGTAGGCAGGTATGCTTGGACCAGCAGTGTGCTACCCTAATGCAACAAAGAAATGCAACAATGCGCATGCATGCATTTGGAGTGCCACAAACAAAGTATGTCTTGACAAGAAAACGTTATTGCTGTAAAGAAAAAATGGGGGGGGGGCATCTGTTGTTATCAGTTATATATTTTGTTTTGGTTGTGAGCCGCCCCGAGGCTTTGTTGCAATGGGGGTGGCATAGAAATGCTATAAATAAGTAAGTAAGTAAGTAAGTAAGTAAGTAAGTAAGTAAGGACATGTTGGCACTATTTGTGAAGTACTGGGTACATTTATAAAACATACATTGCCTCCTATTAACTTTTCCCTATATAAATACCCTTGGCAGACCCATCAGGAGAAACCTAACGACTGAACAGTCTCTTTAATTTGCTCAAACAGCTTGAAACCAATCCAGAAAATGGGCTTACAAAGTTAAAAAGGAATGGGAATGTAACTCACGTAGTAATATTTATCCATTCACCCACCCAGTGCAGACTTACAAGACATACTTATGGTAAATTTGGATGGTAAGGCCATTAAGCAGCTGAGAAGTTGGTTTTACACAGGCCAGAGAAAAATATTTTGTTAACTGATCTCAATTTGATTTAAAAAAACATATTGAGGCCATAATATTCTGTGTTTCTTCAAAGGCCAAGATCTGAAAGTAGCAGCAAATTGCCACCCTGATTAAAAATACCTAGAAAGCGGGACTGTGTAGCACCAACATTTTATGTTGCATTGTCATGGCTGTGCACCCCATCCTGAGAAAATGAAGGGTGGGCACCAGTCCTCCAGCGGCCGCTTCAGGATGCTACCACCCTGACTCCGAACTCCTTCTCCCTCTTGAACTTGTTCAATCCTTCGTGAAATAACTGATCTTGTTACTGGAAGATAAAGTGTGCCCACGTGGCAGTTACAATTTCTCTCACTGATCCTCACGTAATAAGCATAATGCAGAGTACATTTAAGAACCCGAACACTTTTGCAGATCTATCCTGCTTGTGTGTCAAAGCACCACTTGGCTATTTTAAATATCAATAGGTGTTCAGATCATTCTCCTGTGCCAGGCTGTGCAGAGCTTAAGATTAGGCCAGCCCTCTTCTTGCACTTGCACTGCAACAGCTGCTGGAAATGATTGCGGTTATCTGTGCAGCAGAACAATCCAAGGCAGGGCAAGTCTCAAAGCGCACCCACTTGACAAAATGCAGAAATGAAGAGACACATTGCTGAATTCAACAGGGCAATCCTGTGGAAGAGCAAACAGGAAATTTTTGTAATTGCCTGGTTGCTCTGCACGCTACCTTTGAAGTTCTGCTTTGGCCTATGCTCTTTGTTGTTGTTGTCATTGTTCAAAAGTGTGCATTTCAAACAGGAAAACACACTTTTTTGGGGGGGAGGGAGTGCACTTAAATGAATACATCCCCCATAAAGTAAAGCCTGAAAATGCATTCATTTAAAATTGCAAATTCAAGCTTGGGAATTTGCAAGCATGTTCAGAGAAGCTGCACTCCTACTTGCAGTCAAGGCTGTGAACTGTACATGCCCGCAGTTTACAAGCATACATTCTCATACATCCCCTTCCTTAACTCTACCCAAGATCTTGAAGAATTGCCGCCTGTCAGAGCACCCAAAACTGGGAGAGGTGGAGTAAAGGTAGATCCAGATCTACACTGTTTTAGCTGAAGCCTTGAAGCACTCCAACCCTGCTGGGATTAGACAAGGAGCCCCGCAGCAGAACGGCCTGTCGGGTTTGGCTATCTACCACCTTGGTGTCCTTGCCCCATGAGTGGCTTCAAAGGGTTTCCTGCATAAGAAGGCAGCACTTCTACATGTGTCCTCCCCTTACCCACTAGCAGTGTTCTCTGTATCACTTCTTACATTGTTCTTTAGGATATCCCAGCCCCCAAAGGGTGGCAGCAGAGGTAAACGGGGCAAACCTTCTCCTTCCAGCAGAACTTGGCTCAGGAGCCAACCTGTACCTCCTTTCTCAACCTTCTCACACAATCTTCAATTCACTTGCTTTTCTCCCAGAATGTAGCAGTATTTACGATTAACTAATGAAGCAAGTCCAAGAAGAAATTAGATCATGCAGCACCATGAGTTTGTTAGGTGTGCAAAAAAAAAGTTTACACAAGGCAACCTGAGCAACAGGAAGCTTGGCTGAGTTTCTCACTAGACGGGGGTTGGCAAAATGCTGCCTGTAGATAGCAGGGCTTCCCTGGAAACCTTCCAAGGAAAACTTCCTTGGTGTCAGCCAAAATACGTAGACACGTAGTTTTAGATTTTCTTTCTTGCAGCTGGGACTGCTTCTGAATGACATGGGAACCTCCAGTTCTGGCTATCAAACTTTCCCATGAATGCCTCTGAGCAGGTTTGTCCATCATTGCCCACCCAAGCAGGCCTGAGAGTTACTCAAATTTCCAGATGTAGCCATTGCCTCGAAAGATTGCCTGCCTCTGCATCAGGCCAGCATGAAGAACTTGAGGTTTATTCCCTGACCCTGGGCTTTTTTTAGACCTTTGGTCTCACTTCAAGGCTGGATACATCTGCCAATTTGCCTGTTTAAAGAACCAAAGAAAGGACTTGGACTACTAAATAACATTCAGTTTTTTCAAAACTCACAGGTAATGTGAACAAGGTAAGACATCCTACCTCTGCCAAGCAATTCTGTAGCCACACTAAAGTGTAAGGGAGTCTTTAACACAAGAAATCTTGTTTTGTAAATATCGTAAGAAAAACGTCAAAACACAGAAGGGAAACAAAGGCAGAAAGTGTGATGCTAACAGGCGGCTTCCAAACAAATTCAGTAAATAACTAAACAAACTCAAAGATATTCTCCAGAGCTCCACTAATACAGAAAATAACCTCATGTGAGTTTGGTATATTTATTTATAACCAGATTTATTTATAACCATAGCTTAACATGTAGCACAAGTACAAATATTAAAATTATTAAAAATAATATATCAGCAGCTTACCTCTTTCTCCAAATATACCTTCTTATCATCCAGTGTGTTATAGAGGGTAAAGAACTGCTTGGTTTCTTTGTGAGTTGCTGATACTGCAAACAATTAAAAGACTTTAGCCAAGTGGACCTAAAATCCTTCACCCCAAACATACACTGTTAAGTTGAACAGCTCTTTCTGGACTTAAATGAAAGCCAACTTTCTTGGGGCTCCAACCAAGTCAACCACAGTAAAACACAACCCTGTACAGGTTTACTGACTTCAGTGTGACTTGATCTTGTGTTAAGGATTACAGCTTCAGGGTTTCCCCTTACAGTCACTGTGTTCCATAAATGTTCCTTGTGTTTGTTTCCCTTGGCTTCTGCAATGCCCAAACCTAAGCTGTCCTGTAACAAATTTTCATTTTCCTTTTTTATTTTTTTGCATTTCATTCTATCTTTTTCACATATTATATCAGGCTCCCCATCCTGGCATCCTCTTGATGTTTTGAATTTCAACTCCCATCAGCCCCAATAAGCATGGCCAATGATCAGGAATGCTGGCACTAGCAGCCCAAAATATCTGGAATGCACCAGGTTAGTGAGCCTGCTCTATATGATTTAAAATAAAACCTTATAAAATGCTATTAAGGAAACCCAACAGTAACAAGTAGTCCATCAACTGAGACATTAGAATCTCCCACTATGAGAATTATTATAGTTTGGGGCCATCTGAGGATCAAAACTACTGGAGAGTTCAAATAGGAACTCCTGACATTTCTTTTTTAGCTAGTTAAAATAATCTTTAAGATACTGTGAGGGTAAAACTCACTCAAAGTGGCATATGGGATTAAAAACACACACAAGTTTACAAATATGTAATGAGAATATATATAGTAAAATATTATTTAAAACTTTAAATGACCAATTATATCACTAAAACCCAATTCCATAGATTATGGGAGGGCCAATGAAAACAAGAGGGGGCTCAGAGCTTTCCTGAGGACCTGCAAAAGAGGGTCCTGCATGGAAGCCAATGCCACCAGGCTCTCTCCTGCACCAGCAGTAGCACTGGACAAGTTTCTGCGACAAACAGGAGCCACACCAGTGACAGGATCTGGACATGGAGGGGAAAAGTGCAAGCTTAATTAGGAAGGGCACAAGCCTGCCATGCGTGCACTGTAGTTTATCAACCCTCCCCTGCATTGTCCTTCCCCAGCCACCAATTCCTCCTGTGTAATCACTCCAAACACGTGGGGGATCCTTTGAGCTGGCATTGTGTGGAAAGGAAAACTGGCCAAGTCTCTTCTGACCATGAGAAAGCACTGCCAGAGCACGCACGGCCCCCCTGGAATCCCAGCCAAACTCTAGAAAATGCCAGTTTTGCCAGAGTTCGTTTAAGTTTCCAACATGTTATAAAAATGTAGAGAGGGAAAGAGCACACTCCCAGCTACTCAGCCAGCCTACAGAAGCCAGGCAATATATCTTAACATAAAACCAACATTCTGTGAATTGTAGCTCACATAAATTTATTGGAAGTGACAGGACTTCAGCTTGTAAAGCAAAAAGGGTTATTCTAAATGATTTGCAATGCTCGTTTAGCATAGATCAGGCAGGCAAAAGGTAGAATTCTCCTAAACCATCAATTCAGTACATTAAGCATGGCTGGGGCAGTGATACAATGATGGTTCCGTCCTAAAGAGAGGTAATGCACTTTCTGACACAGAACACTCTTTATAGCCATTAACAGTACTGAATAGCAGTAAAACCCATATATTATTTTGCTGTAGCTACCGATAAAGCATCAGCATACACACACGCACGCACACATAGCACAAAGTAGATTTTATGGAGAAAAACAACGAAGTGACAAATTACTCTGCTATGCTAACAAAAAAACACAGACTGAAAGTATAGCAACAGAGACGGAAAAAAATGTTCAGTACCAAGGAAAAGATTGCTAATTTTTCACAAAGACAAATTTGAGTAATAATTACAAGGATTAAATAAATATCTAATAAATAAATAAAACAAAAAAATAAAGTTCTAAATAATAAATAAATAAAAAAATTTTTAAAAATGCATGCCAATAGTTATCCAGACCTCAAAGTCTTCCACTGAAAATTGGGGTTATATAACAACTGCAACATGCCTATCATTCAAACTGTAACTTTCATAATCAGAAGCACTATGGAAAAACATAGACAAATTCCAAGTGTGAGCACCAGCATTACTGGGCATGGGAAAAAAATCTTAGTTAATGTTCAACCCAAGGGCTGCTCTGGTCCTCCTGACTGTATGGCAAAAACCTGCAACTGTAAATTTCAAGCTATGGTTAAGAAAGAGACTGAGCCTTTCCTCCCTTTCATAGTTCATAATACTCCAGTCTTGCTCATAGCAAAGAGATTAAAAGCAAGGAATAGTTCATCCAAGGCAAGCAGTCTCCCTGTATAGGCAAGGAAGCTCTTAAGTTTTGTTGTACACTATGAAAATTCTAAACCCATCTATGGGGCTTTTAAGATGTACAAAAACTACAGAGAACTTCAGAACAACCCCGATCAGCTCCTACATCCTCCTCTTCCACTCATTATGTCTCATGGTGCCACTGGGAATCAACCAAGGGAAACCTAGCCAACAAAGGAAACATCAATGGAGCTATAGCAAGAACAGAAGATTTCTTTTTAAATAGAAAAAAAATACCTGGGGTTATTGCAAAATTAAATAGCATGGTGATGTTCACTGTTTAAATATACATTTCAAATTAAATGCCCGATTTTACACTCCAAAATGCTTGAGACGCTGATGGACATAAGCAGAATATCAAGTCTTTGAAATTTACATCTTTAAGTGAGACATGATAAATGAGCATTGCTGTCTCCTGAAATTTATTTCTTGCACACATGGAAGGTTCTGTGCAGTGCTGCAACTCCATCTGCTGGAGGCAGACTATCCACAGAACCAGGGGGATATTCATTCCCCCTTCCTGGCCTCACCCTGCCCAGGCACCTCTCTGGAAAATCCACCAGAATAAATTTCAGGGCTACTTGGGAGGACAGGGTTGAAGAAAGTTCAGTGGTGTAGGGGACCTCCAGAAGCCCAGAGGTGCACAACCTCAGGCCTGGGGTCACATGGGGCCTGCCTGGGGTCCCCTTCAGGGCCACCACACCCCCCCCCCACAATCACCAATTATTTGATGGCTTTCTCTGTTTTGTGCTGTTTTTTCCTCCATTCTAAAAGGCTAGTATTTTGTAAGTTTGGCCTTAGCTCTTCATATGCAGCCTGGACTTTTTTTGCCTTCAATTTCATACAGTATTGGATTATGGCCTTTATCTGAAATGAAATCCAGGTGTTGTGCTGAAAGATTTTCATTCGTGTCCTAGCATAACTGATTTAACCCAGAGTTAATACAGACAACCAGCAACTCAGAAGATACCATGGTCATAGGAAGCTGGCTGCCTTCTAGAGTTCTCATCCACAGAGAGATCCAACCAACAATGGATGAATGAGCTTGCTCACCAGTCCACCCCAGTTCCAATGATCCAGCAGTAGCTTTCTTATACTTGGTCCTGTAGATGACACCTGCCCCTCCATCTTTGGAAACAGGGAGGAAGGGATAGAACACCTGGCTTCTAGAGTGCAGAACTCAATGAACAGAAAAGGGTACATGAAAAAGTAGACTAGGTAGACCAAACTGCTACAGCCTGTAGATGGAAAACCAGGGCAAAAGTTATTTGTCCTTGTCAACCCATCTTGGAATGGGCTTTCATCTGGGTAACTAAGTCAAGAACCACTTTCATCAGAAGAAGTATCCCTTTTTATTTCCTCTACAAATGTCATCTGTGTTCCCTTTACTTTTTTGCTTGGAAGCCCCATCATATGAGGAGGCCCTCCAGGAATTAAGTGTGACCACCTGAGTAGCAAGCATTTGAAGAGTGGCTCTAGAAGTGGGCTCCTGTCAGCCTGCACACTAGTGATTATCGAATACAGAACAGAGGACCCTTTCCGGGCATCTTGGTGGTGTTGCTGCTGGAGTTTCCACTAAAATGGTCAGCCACTAACGTATCTAAGCCATCGGAGGACATATCCACTGGGGCAGAAGGGCTACAAGGCTTCCCCAGCTTACCATCCACTGCACATCCATATCCAAGGGCTTGTGCATGCACACACACAATGGGCAACGTCCACTGCAGCTACTGTGCCTCTGCTGTGTTTGTGTCGCACCAGCCATGCAAATGAAGCCAGCACTTCCTACAGCAGCACTGGAAACATGCTGAAACGCAGTTTGCAGAACAAGACAGGCCAGTGGGCCTCCCTTTCTGCCTCGCTTTGCTGATCTGTTCCATTCCAGAAATGAACGTTTTGGTTCATTTCTGGTTGCTTCAGAAAGCGTTGCCTTCTGGTTGCACCAGGGGCGTGTCCTGCTGGCAGTCAGGCAGCCTTTGGTACTGCCTGCTACTCCCTCCTTTTACGGAAGTGGACGAATAGCAGGGGCTGGATGCGGCCCTGCACGTGCCAAATGACATGACCTGTGGCAGGTGGGGATAGCCCTGATAATCCACTGCATGTTCTGGGAATGGAGCTTAGTAATGGCATAACTATACTGGCTTCAAGAGTCAGTTTCTATATACGAGTTGTTTCTCCAAGTGGCTTAGCCGGCTACACACGTATGAAAACCCATTCCAAAGGATCACAACATCAAATCTTCCACCTCGAGGGAATTTTTATAGGCGCTGTTTAAAACCTTGCAAGCAGGCACATCTAAGGTGAATGTTAAGGAGCTGTCAATACAACTGCATTAGCAAGGTGGAGGCGTCATGCTCCATAGGTTTAACGCACTTTGCTGCTAGGAATACACCTCCACTTGATATACATACCCTGACCGTAAAGTTCAATAAATCTCTTCTGGTACTGTGTTAACTCAGCTCTGCTGGGCACTTCATCAATCTTGCGTTGTAAAATGGCTATTTCTCTATTTCGCCGGGCCTGTGGGTGGGGAAGTAAAACAAAAAAAACAAAAACAAGAACTGATTAGGTTTTTAAAAATAAGACTGATGTTTAAAAGCAACCTAACAATGGGGCCAACTGCTACAATGCAGCTGCCTCTCCCTGACAGCTCTTCTGCTACACAGGTAACATTTCATATGATTACTCCATTTAAGCTTTGAAATATTCATTACAAATATAGTGTGACATGCATACATAAACCACAAATTAAGATTGTACAGAACAGGAACGCATTTAAGCAAGTACATTCCCCAACCCAAACTCACCAGAAGGAGTCTGATTTTTTGCAACTTCTCTCTCTCAGATTTGTACTGTTGGTCTATAATTTTAGCAGGTTCCTGACATTCAAGGCATAAAGAAAAAAGACAAGATCTTATATACTGATAAAACAAATTTAACCAAAATCAACTATTTTAATTAAAAGTTCGTTGTTTCAATAATGTACAAGAATACCACATTTTTGAATTCTACTATTTTCTCTTGCCTAGGGTATTGCTGTTCTACAATTCTGGTAGATTAAGATTAAGGCAGGGGTGGGGAACTTTTTCCAGTCACAGGACTGAATTCTCTTTCTGCATTCCACTGATAAATGAACCAAAGGCAAAAAGTTTAGGGCCCAAAATACCAGCATATTTCATCTTAAAGTTCTTCCTGTCAGAGGCATTTCAACTTTTTAGAATGGAGCAAAACTACACAAAAGCTGAAAAACCACCAAATGCAAGGGACACGTGAATCTGCACAGGAATACAAGAAGAACAATTTAGTAGTCCCACTGAAAGCTTCTGGCTTAATTTAAAGGAAGAAAAAATAAGAAAAACATACTTATTGGTGTCAATTACTGACCACCCAGTCAAAAAAAGAGGACAAGGATGCAACCTTTAAAAAGCAACTTGCTAGTGTTTCAAAGAAGAATGATGCAGTCATCATGATGGACTTCAATGTCATGCTGGGAGACCATTTCTGCCAAACATGGCCCCTCAGAGATTCCTGACATGCATTGCCAACAACTCTCTCCAAGAAGGCAGAGAAAGGAACAGAAGGAACAGCTATCCCAGATTTAATTCTAACAGGGAAGACCTACTGGACAAAATAGCAGCCATGGAAACCTTTGGGAAAAGAGACCATGCAATACTTGAATTCTCTTCTTTTAATAAAATTTTATTTTTAAGAGTACAAATATAAAAAAATCATATAATAAAAGAAAACAACACAAAATACACCAAAAATGTTTTTAAAAAACCACAGGGCACCCCTCCACCAGGACCATGGCTTGCTAGTAATTTTTCCTTCATTTTTACACTCTCTCAGGAATACCCCCTGCCATCCAAAACTGCATTATATCCACTGAAGCTTTAATACTCTCCCCTTTTATTAATACATATTCAATAAACCAACCCTGTATTTTGCTAAAATCATTATTTTCCGGTCCTTTTTTCACCTTGCTCTCACACATCAACTTAGCATTAACCTCTGTATTCCAAACCTCTTTATACAATTCAATTAAGTGAAGATCTCATTTCTTCTTCCAGTTCTTTGCTATTATCAATTTGGCTGCTGTTACCGAGTTTACTATTAATTCTTTGATGTTCCATTTCTTTTCACAAAATATTAACAACACTTCTATTTCAGGATCTGCTTCAATGTTTAAGTTCAATATCTTGATAATCTCCTTAAAATTATTATCCAAAATTTCTTAATATTTTTGCAATCCCACAACATATGGAAATAGGTACTCATATTTTGTCCTCACCTCAAGCATTAATTAGAATATTTATTACCCATATAAAATAATTTCACTGGCAGCATATACCACTTCCATACTAATTTATAGAAGTTTCCTTAATTTTAATTGACATACTTTTTAACATTCTTGTATCCCATATTTTCTCCATTCTTCCTTGTCCATATCCTTCCCTAAATCCATTTCCTTATAATCCCCCTTGTTCACATTCTGCCTTGTGTCTCCCTATTCATTACAATGTCCTCAAATCTGGTAAGGTCTCTACAACCATTTTTCTTCAGCTATTCCCTAGTCCATTGTTCCAATCGTGTAACATTAAAGCAAATTAATTCTTCTTTTCCAAGTAGTGCCATTATCCTTTCCTTATTATCCATTTTCTTCATCCAATCTTTTACTCTAAATATTTGTTTTTCTTTTAATACCTTTTTTAAGCTAGCTCTCAAATTTTCTGGAAATCCTCTAATCTCTGTAACAGAAATTATTGGTGAGATAGTTGACATAAGTTCTTCCCTATATTTCACCCAAACTTGCACAAAATTTCTTAAGAAGGGATTTGCTATAAAGATTAACTGCAACCAGACATGAACCTTGGACTTCATGAAAGCCAACCTTAGCAAATTCGGAACAATGATAAGTGAGGTGCCATGGCAACTCACTCTTAAGGGAAAAGGAGTCCAAGAGGGGTTGGAAATCTTGAACGAGAGAGAGAGAGAGAGAGAGAGAGAGAGAGAGAGAGAGAGAGAGAGAATCTCCAAGCACAACTACAAACAATTCCAACAAGAAAAAAGTTAGCAGACGACAGAGGAAGCCCCTATGACGACCTGACAACCTGAAATAAAAAAGAACATGTATAGGAGGTGGAAGAAGGGCCAGGCCACAAAGGAAGAATATAAACAAATAGCAAGAAATTGAAGGGATGGCGTCAAGAAGGCTAAAGCAGAAAATGAACTGAGAATAGCAAGGGATGTTAGGAGCAACAAGAAAGCCTTCATCCAAAACAAAATACATGTGAAAGAAAAAGGTGTCCACCTGCTTAAAGTGGATGGCAAAGCAACAACAGATGGCAAGGAAAAGACAGGTCCTCAATTTCTACATCACCTCAGTCTTTTCCCACAAGAAAATCTACAACAAAGAGGATGTTCAAGCTCAAAGTGAGAGACAGCAGCCCAAGAATGGCAGACAAAGAAAATCTAGATAAAACAAACACATTCAAATCTCCAGGGCTAGATTAACTCCATCCCAGAGTCATAAAAGAGCTAACAGAGGAACTCTCAGAAACACTCTCTTTTAATCTTGATAAAACCTGGAAAACAGGAGAAATGCCACTGCAGAAGGACTAAAATTGTCCCCATCTTCCCCCCTCCAAAAAACCAACCAACCAACCAGAAAAAGACAAACCTGGGAACTACAGACCAGTTAGTCTGACATCAATCCCTAAAAAATTCAGGAGAAAATTATTTTAAAAATCAGTCTAAGCACCTTGAAGAAAATGCACTGATTAAACAAACAAACAAATGTCAGACTAATCTAGTCTCATTTTTTGACTGGGTAACCTCCCAAAAGGACAGAGGGAACACTGTGGACATAATCTACCTCAATTTTAGCAAAGTTTTTGACACAGTGACCCACAACATCCTGATAAGCAAATTAGCAAAAAGTGGACTAGCTAAAAAAAACTTAGGTGGATTCAAAGTTGGCTGCTAAATTGAACACAAAGAGTGCTCATCAAGGGCACCTTCTCAAACCAGAGGGAGGTCACTAGTGGGGTGCCACCAGGTTCAGTCCTAGGCCTGGTGCTCTTCAACATCTTTATTAATGTCTAGATGGAAAAGTACAAAGAATGATAATCAGAGTTGCAGACAATACAAAACTGGGCAGAATAGCAAACACCCTCGAAGACAGAATGAAGATCCAGGGTGATCTTGATAAACTTCAATGCTGGGCTGAAAGCAACAGAATGAGATTCAACAGGGACAAGTGCCAAGTCCTCCACCTAGCAAAAAGAAACCAAAGGCATCGATACGAGATGGGGAATACATGACTCAACAGAACGGAAAAAGAAAAAGACGTCAGAGTCATTGTGAACAACAGACTAAATATGAGCCAACAACGTGATGCAGCTGCCAAAAGGGCAAATGCTATTTTGGGATGCATTCATAGAAGAATTACTTTCAAATCACAAGAAGTAGTAGTAGTCCCCCTTTACTCCTCACTAGTCAGACCCCATCTGTAATATTGTGTCCAGTTCTGAGCACCAAGATTTAAGAAAAAGAAAAAGAAAAAGAAAAAGAAAAAGAAAAAGAAAAAGAAAAGAAAAAGAGGAGGGCAGAGGAGGGCAACAAAAATGATCCAGGTTTTGGAAACACCACCCTATGAAGAGAGACTGAGAGAAATGGGCATGTTCAGTCTTGAGAAGAGAATACTGAGGGGGCAGGGACATGATACCCCTCTATAAGTACCTCAGAGGCTGACACAAGAAGGAAGGTCAAGATCTCTTCTCACTAATAACAGAGCGTAGTACACAAAATAGCCAAGTCAAGTTGGCAACAACCAAGGTTCAGGCTAGATGTCGGGAAAAACTTGCTCACTGTCAGAGCAATACAACAGTGGAAGCCAGATGCCTACAGAGGTGGTGGGCTCTCTCACACTGGAGACATTCAAAAAGCAACTGGGCAGCTGTCTGAGTGGTATGGTGGAAACTGGTGAGCTGCAACAGCAGGGGGCTGACCCAATGACCTTCTTGGCCCCTTCCCACCCTACTACTCTATGAAACAATGAGTGCTTGGAAGGAGGTGGGGAAGGTTGGGGAAGGGCTCTGGCCTTTTGGGTACCATGGAAGGCCATTTTTGTCCCCTGGACCTGAGGTTCTACTCCCCTGGTTTAAGGTCTGTTTCCTTCTATTTGTATAAAACCAGGAAAGAGACTACCTAGATAAACTAGATACAACCAGCAGCAATTACTAGCGGGGGGGGGAGGGAGGGGGAATGTTTGACAGTTCTACCAGAAGTACATTGGTTAAAAGAAGTATACTGATTAAGTCTTCCTTGTGGGGAAGCATATCCTCTTGATATCTTTTGGGGGTTCTGGTTTGCTCTACTTTGTGAACAGGAAATATCATACAGCTCATCAGAAATAAGCAGGCTTGAGCTTCCACTTCTCCCTCTCCTATGTGGCTTTGTGTTATGCGCCAACCATGATTTCCTGTGGCATCCTCATTGGCAAGCTGTGGTTAGCATTTCTTCAAACTGTAGTTGGAAACCATATTCCGACCATGTAGCATGATTATCTCTAAACGGGAAAGCAAAAGGGAGGTGGTTTGCAGAGGTGGGCCAGGAGAAAGCATGAGGTCGGAAATCATTGCTGAGATCAGCAGTCTTCTTCAGGAAGAGTCAAGACGCATGCCTACTTTCTGTACTTTTAAGGTGCTACTTGTGAGGGAAGCATCCTGTTCAGCAATCCAGATATTTAGGCCAACTTGCTTGCCATGCCTATTGTGAAATACGCACCATGTGTTTTTATAGAAACTAGAAAACGATGGACCCCTCTGACCTGCAGAGCAAATGAGAGAGGGAGAACCAAAGACACACGAACCAGCCTGTCCCACACCATGCTAGGCTCACACTGGAAGGACAGAAGGTGGTAGAAGGGCACTGATTTCCCACATTTGGCATTCCTGAAATGCCTTCTCCCCAGTGATTCTACCTTAAGGGAAATAGAACTGTGAGGCAGCTCCAGGGCTGAACTATTCTCGCCCTCATTCTACAGGCATGCTAGGAAATAGGGAGGGGTTAGCTCTTACGCATCCACAGCCCGTCTCCCATTTGTCCTCTTCAACTCTGGAACGGGGGAGTACCAGCTGCTGATCTCTTAGTACAATTATGAAGTCTAGTCTTTCTCTTTCCTATGTCACTCTTCCGTTCCTCCCCAGGATAGCTTCCTAGGAACCACAGGACTGCAGTCCCAGTATATTTTAAATGGGAAACTCTGTCCATTTTTTTAAAATACATGCACCCTAGGAAATGATGTAGCACTTAAGCAGGCTGGCATGCAGTACACTAATTTTTGTACAAGCAACTGCCCCCAGTAAGAACAAGACAGGAATTAATAAATGCACTTGTGTTAAATAAAGCAGAGCATTCATTTGAAAATGGCATGAGATGGAGTTGCATCAAAGCAGATTAGAAAGACAAAAATGCTTTCAGCGTTCTAAACAAGAATGCTACTTGTGCACCAAGGGGGCTGGATTTTACAATTCTAACAAATTAAAGGATAAAGATTTCATAGTACTGCTTCATAAGAATGCCCAGATATTTTCCATTTACCTTTTCTTCCCCATTTTCGGCTGCTTCTGCCTTCAGATGTTCAATGTTTTGCTGGAGGCGTACCATCTCTTCCTTGAAGATCAAGAAACACAATAATTGTATATTTTCATAAAAAGCACAAGGCTCTTTTAGGGAAACTGAAGCCAGGGATGTCTGCCTGTCATAAATTATGCATCCCAAAGAGCCAGAGACATGCATGCACTGGCAACCAAATAAATTGGGGAGTTCTGTGCTCAGGGCACCAGAGGCAAAGGTTGTTCATTATGTAAAACAGCGTGTGGTATTGTAAGTGGTTTCATATTGTGGCAAGAGGGAAAGGAAGCCTACCTTCTATTTCGCATGCAAATGAGGCTGGAAAGAAAGGGGGCGAAGAATGTAAGTTTTCGCATGCCACCTTTCCAACAAAACGTTACCCCACCACCACCACCACCACCACCACCACCACCACCACAGTGTATGAAAAGGACTGAAAAAGGGGTGTGTGTGTGTACGCAGACACACACATTTGAATAATTGCTTTCCAACAGTATATATTTCTCACCTGAGACATATTAAGCTACTAGCAATGAAAACTTGACTTGCACGTTTGCCCCATTTAAGTTCTTTCCTCTTACATTTCAGCTAAGCCCCTTCCTGAACGAAATTATTTTTTCAAGCATCCCAGCTGCCCAGCGGAAAGGACAGATTAAAATTTCAGCCTGATTCATATATCCGGTTGGCAAGGTGTGGACTGCCAGTGCACCATCACACCTGGCATTTGTGGCATGTGAGTATCCAAGCCTGCCTTAAGCCAACACAGATCATCATCCCATTTAGCCCAGTACTGTCAACACTGACTGGCAGCGACTCTCCAGAGTTTCTGACAGGAATTTTTCCATCTCTATCTGGAGATGGCAGGGATTGAACCTGGGGCCACTGGCATGGGATGCATGTGACCCATGTGACTTATGCAACCAACATTTTAAAAAAATGCATGAGCAGCAATTCAGGGGGATCTGGGAGACACTTTTAATGTTCCAGACACCCTGCTACCACAAACTGCACTCCCATGCTAATGACTTTGTCTGCGGCAGCAAAAAACCAAGAACAGCGGTTGCCACCAAATTTTGGCAATAAACCAATACAGGCAGATAAAATAGATACATTTAGCTTCAGATTAAATGTGCCCATTTTGGCCTTTGCAAGAGTTCATTGCTTTACATCTACAAGGTTTCCAGAATGCATTGTATAGCAGGGGTTTCAGCATTAGACTTCTCAGTTCTAACTTTGATTTTTTACTAGAACATCAATATCCACCAATCAGAGCCAAGAGGAAAGGACTTAGAAATAAAGCAAATGGTTTCTGATTTATTTTAAGTACCAGAACTGAACTGAGCTCACACTTCTTTCACCCAATTGTCCATTTCCTTTCCCCCCAAGTTTACTTCAGACTAATTTAAGCAAAACCTGATGACTACTGTTAACCAATGGGAGTCAGAAGCCTGTTGCCCAGTCCGTGCATAGGCACCTGAAGCAGCTTGAGGCCTGACTGGCCATTTGGAAGGTAGCTTTTGATGCTTCCTAAATTGCAAACAAACCCAGGCAACAGATCTGACCACGGGTCCTACTTTGTCCAGACAAGCACAGGAGCCCACCTTGACATCCTTGACAGAAATCCTATGCAGATCCTTCCTAAAACTTACCCTGCAATGTGATCTAAATTCTTGCTCTTGGCTTTTGAGGTTTTCATTCATTGCTACCAGTGCCCGCAGCTTCTGCAATACACTAAATAAAAGCAATTCTTTATTCTTGGGAGTTTAGAGAAAGCAATATGAGAAAATTTAAGATTTGAAGGGGGAAACTCTTTCCAATTATGTTAAAGAAGTTACTTAGACCATGCTGCAAAATGTAAGGCAACAACTGTGCTGAATAAAATACAAGGGTGAAAAAACAACAGCCTGCAGTGCACCTGTTCACAAATTGGATCTCATCCAGTATAGTATCAAGGGTATTTAAAAAAAAAAGATGGAGACGGGCCAAATATGGGATCATCTACTTTGAATATATATAGCTTAAAGAAGAAGATCCAGTGGGCAGGGCTCAATGTAACTTAAAAGTACTTAAATCCCACTGGTTTCAAGGGAAGAAACTTAAGTGCACACTTAGTTCAAACAAGCCTTAAAGTTGCCTTCAACAAGAAACTGGAGCTGCCATCCTATGCAGACTGACCTGGAGTCAGCCCCATTGAACCCAATGAGGCTTATTGCTCAACAGGCACACATAGGATTGCACTCAGGCAGAGCAGTCCTATGGGATGGAGAGGCCGTAAGTTGGTGGAATTCCCTTTTTCTAAGGCTGGGCAGAAGTGTTTCCCCTCTTCCCCTTGGTCTTTTATGGTTGTTTTTGAAGTTTTTCCTTCAACTTTCAATGGAAGTGAACTAAACAGACATAGTTCTTTCCCCTTCTCATTAGGGTCTGTGTCATGGGAATGGCCACACCAGCATGCCTCCTTTTGGCCTTCTGCAATGTCCGGGATGCAGGAAAGATGTATGTGTGGTCAAATCTCTCTCCCTGAGGGCTTGCTCTCTTTCCTTGCTTTCAGAGACTGGAATCCACAAATTCCTACAACAACCCAAGGATCACAGCATCGTGCCCCCAAGTCTCCCCTCTGTAATATTAGACTCATATCATAGGGATTACTGAACTAATACAGTGCCTTGCAGAAATATTCACGCACACACACCTTGACTTGTCCATATTTTCCATAACCTGCAACTGAAATGGGTTTAATTGGCATGTTTACCACTTGATATTCATAAGATACTCAATCCTGGTTTTGTCTCAGCTTTGCGATCTAAGCTCTACACAAAGAGCTTTTCATTTTCATCTTTTCCAATACACAAGTCCTAGATAGAGCTATACTACAACAATCTAGCCCGAATACAACCAGGAGATAGAGCACCGTTTTTTAAGATGCTCGATCTTTTCAGTGTCTCCTAGAAGGTGCTCTGAAAAAACAAACAAAAAAAAACGAAAGAAAACTGGAGGATGACCACCGAATACAGAGTTCACAAGCAACTGTGAGTAAGGAATCACAGGCATACAGTCAGTGTTCAAGTAGAAAACCCCAAAACTGGAAATTTAGCCCAATTTATACAAAGCAAGCCATACAGTTTATACAAAGTAAGCCCGGGTGAAGAGGAACTGAAGACATACTTTGAATCTGCTTGGGATTCCACTATTTCTAAAGCTGCCAACTCCTTGTCCAGTTTCTCGCTGTGGTTCTTAACCTAAAAGGTTGGAAGCAATAATGTAATAATAATGTAAATATAAAAGCAATGTAAACAAGACTGAGTAGTCAAAATATGCTATCAACTTAACCTGGAGGCAAATTCCTCTAAGGTTTATGCATGACTCCCAAAGGTGCATGTAGCTTTTTTCTCAACAAAGACTCTGCAGTGGCTCACAGGACCTAGCACGAGGCCTCATCATTGGCATAAGCAGATTTAGGAACTCCAGGAGCAGCTGTGTCCTGAGCCAGCTCTTTGGTCCATCTAGGCCAAATACTGTCAACACAGGCAGGCAATGGCCCTCCAGGGTTTCAGAATTTCAGAAGGATTTTTTCCAGCCCTTGCTAGAGGCTCTGGGGGTTGCGCTAGAGACCTTCTGCATACAAAGTATGCACTCTGCCACTGAGCCATACCCTCTTTGTTAAGCCTTGCCATCAGGAGCTGAGTTGAGCCCAAGCCCGAGCCCGAGGGTTGCGGGAGAAAACAAAAATGTTACCTCATTGAGAGTTTTCTTGGCCTCACTACATTCTGCTTGTAGGTCTGCACATTTAGCCTGCAACTGTTATCAAAAAGAAAATGACAGAGGAAAAGCCAAATGAAGTAATAATGAATTGGGTTAGCCAGATCTTTAGTTAAGTACAGAAAGTGTTCTTGACTAAAAGAATGTTTGGATAATGGATAAATGGCATTTGTATATTGAGAAAACTGTACCAGAATTATTCCTAATGGTTCTTCTTATAATCAGTGTTCTAATAGGCCTATTTAGTCAAAAAACATGCATTAGAGCATTTAAACCTTAACAAATACATAAAGTATAGATACAACTAAAGTAGTTGTGCTGGTTCATTGCAGTACATTTTTCAGTAGAATGTAACATTTGTTAGGGCCAACAACATAATCTTTCAGGATATACAGTTAGGGCTGGATTGTCAGGAAAATAATTTCAGCAAGTGGAAAGAAATTAAGAAACAGGTACTTCCCCCTTTTATTCCTTGAACATTCAGTCTGAGGAAGAATTCAGTGTAAAATGCACATATTGCATAATGCACATTGATTGGTCATAGTAGAAAGGTTGCATTTTAGTGCCTCTCAAGACATGGACACTTCTCACATTCACGTTTTATATCCTGAGGCAGGCCTCCTGAACCCGGTGCCTTCTAAAGGTGCTAGACTACAGCTTCCACAAGGCAAGCCAGTGTGGGCAACAGTCAAGGATGGTGAGAGTTATAATACAAGCAACTACAAAAGTGATTCACACTAGCAGAAGAGACTACCACTCACACAAGGCAAAGCATTTTAACTCATTTCCTTAATCTACTGCAGCCATCATACAGGGGGACATCATGAGAAGGCAAGACTCCCTGAAGGTGGCAGTCACGCTAGGGAAAGTCAAAGGCAGAAGAAGAAAAGGACAACCGAATATGAGATGGACCGACTGCATCAAGGAAGCCACTGCTCTGATGTCCAAGAGCTGAGCAGGGCCATCATAGATAGGGCATTTTGAAGGGTCTTCATCCATAGGGCCATCTTAAGCCAGAGACAACTTGACAGCACGTACCAACTGCTGCAGCCCTATCTGCTATATTCTCTACGGTTCCAGAGGATTTCCCCAACCATCAGGAATAGCTGTTCAGGAGTTACCAGCAGGGGCTGCAGCAGGTGGAGGTGCAAAACTTAGCGAAGCTTGGTAATGCTGAGTTCCACACACAGAAGTACTTTCCCTTAGTGCAAATCAAGCATTGTATATAACCCAAAAGTCTGCTCGTCTCAACCCTTCCATCACTCTGAGCACTCAAATTAAAAAAAGAAAAATGCTAGCAGAAATGAACAAATAAAGAAGGTGCAAAGGAAATACCACACAGAAAAGTCATTCTGGAAAAACAGGCTGACTACAGTAAATCATATTCCATTGTGCTTCATGGAAACATTAGCATGGGGGAAAAGGCAGATGGTGCAGAGTAAATGGCAATGAAGTTTGAAACTTCACAGATTGTGGCATGTACAGCAATCATTTTAGTGATGGCCTGGTAAAGTCAAGTATAATATTTTACAGGAATGAGTAGTAAGTTGTCACAGGGGAGCCTCCTAGCGTTTGGGAAGGATTTATACAACCAAACAATTCTATAAGCTTGTAAGGCCTGCAGGATTTTATACTTATCCTATACAGTTAACAACTTTAATTCTGACTTTCTGGCAGCTGGTAAACAGCACAGTTACTTATGCAGAGGTCATTAAGGAGAATATGTCTATTTCTCTGTTTGTATAAAGGCAAGAATAAATCCTTTTAATGAATGCTTGTTCAGACACTGATTTCTGATCTATTGATTCTCCTTGACTGACTCTGAAGCTACAAGCAATGTATCCCCATAAGTTTGGAGTGGACAAATTATAAACATTTTTTAAACCATTATTAAAAAGAAAAAAAGCATACTTCATCCAGCTGTTTCGTTTTCTGGAGGATCTGCTTGTTCAGAGATGCCACCTTCCTTCTGTGTTGCTGGGCCGCTCCAAGCCTTTCTGGACGCTCCTCTGCCACAAGTTCTGATTGCTGGGGGAGGAAAATGGGGATAGAGGAGAAGAGAAAGTGCACCAACACATTACTATTGGGCATTTTTTCCATTCCTGGGGATAGTCACTAGGCTAATCTTTGTGCAGGTCTGCCTACAAAGCACTGGATAGCTTCCTACAAGAACGCAGAGCTTTGCAGGTAGAGAACAGGTTAAGAGATTATGGTGCTGCTTCATTTTGTTTACCACATTTGCATGCCACTCAACAAACCTGTCTGAGTAGTTTACAAAGATTCAAACACTTAAGATTGCAGTATTGTACATGTATAAAAGCCAGTTGCATAAAAACATTTAAATCTTTCAGAGGCACTTGGAGAAGGGCTTAGATGATTAACATAGCATTAACCACCCCTGTGTGTGCCTCCTGATTTCCCTAATTACCTTCACTAATTGTTACAGGTGGCTTATGTGTAACTCTGACAAGGTGGCTGGATTGGGTAGTTAATGAAACAGCCTGAAGCCACGCTGGCCTGATTTGCAGGTAGCAAGAAGCCTCTGCAGGTCAATTTCCCTGTGACACTTTATCCTGAATTGTGGCAGGGGCAGGCCATGGCTTCGCATTACCAGTGAATCCTGTGAAAGTGGCCGGCTTTAGTGGGGGCTTGTTACCCACCCCAATAACCAACCTCAGCAGGTTCACACATCACAACTGTGGCACCCAGCAAAGATAATGAGGAAGATGTGCCAGTACAGGCGATTGATTGCTAAGCCACTGTAGTTGCTAACTCCCTGTGTGTCATACAAGCTGGGTTTGTGAGTCTTTGTTACAGAAAGCAAGCAAGAGCCAACATCGGCACTGAGTTATTCTAGTAATAAAGCCTTTCGAACAACTCTATGCTACAAGGAGCGGACATAGTTTGATTATTCTATTTGGAGCACTTTTACACATCTGACCAGTCATTTCCAGAGTCCTAGCATTGCAAATCGTTTTCAGAATCCCTATGGCTCAACAGAGACAAGATGCTCCCACTAGGAGAAAAATGGCCAAGCTTACAAGCAAAGCACTTCGTTCACTGTAAACTGCTTTAGAAACTTATTTTCTTTTATTCATGAGGCTCCCTATTTAGGTATAGATTCCAAATTCTCAGTTTAATTGCTATATTATACACCTCCAGGCTAAATGCATGTGACTGGACTTGCACTCACGCAACAGGACTTCCAACTCTCGTTCCTTCAGCCCACGTCTACTTGCATGTTGCCACCACATCTTTTCCAGGAACCCCATATCTGTTATATTATTTGTTTGTTTGTTTATTTATTTTCGATTTATATCCTGCCTTTTTCCTACAAAGGGCTCAAGGCAGCTTATACCTCCTCCTCCATCTTATCCCCACAACAACAACCCTGTGAGAGTCTGTGACTGGCCCAAAGTCACCCAGTTGGCTCCATGGCTGAGCGGGGACTAGAACCCAGATTGTCTGAGTCCCAGTCCCATGCTCTTCACCACTGCACCACACTTGATTATAGGCTATATCTGTCACACAAGCACACTTGTTCCTGCCCTCCAGCCTCTTGCATCCCACCATTAGAACCTCCAGAGTAGACAACAACAGGGATGGAGAGAAGAACTTGTTTCACCAACAGTGTCCATTCTGCTGGAAGACAAACATCACTGGATGCAATACAACATCTGGCCTTCCAGTGATTTCCCAAAAACCTGTCAAGCATTTTCCCTATTGCTCCTAGGCAGAGATACAGACCTGTATGGCACCATTGGTCCCTCTCAGATCAAACAAGACTAAATTTATCCTGATGCTTTCTTTCTCAAATAACTTCTACTTCTTTAGATTCAATAATGGCCACAAACAGATGGAATGCCTTGCATTTAAGGTGTAATGAAGTGACAGCCCTCTATTAGCCAACATGCTCAAAGACACAAAGAACAAAACAAAACATCCCACTGTTTTAAACCATCTTCATTACACTCTGATGAAAAATCCATTTCATCGGCCCCAAAGCCAAAAATAGCACAGCCAGATTCCTAAAATCTGTAACTACAGAAAGATTGGAAGCATGGGCTAGGGAAATAAATGAAGAAAATGGCAGGGCTGCTTTACTGAGCAGCCGCATCAGTCCGCTTCCACACGGGAAGCTCCACAGGCCGCTCTTCTGCCCAAGTCCATAATCAGCCGCAGCACCAGACATCTGCTTTTGACAGTTCCTCTGCACACTTAATATGCCTCAGTGGGTACAACATCTCTCTCTCCCTCGCTATCTCTATAGTTCAGGAAACGCACCAATGGAGACATCTAGAGCAGGGAGGGTGTTATCGCCAGAAACTGTTCTACATTCCTGGAACCGTCCTGAGGCAGCCTTCTCCAACATGATGCCTCCTAGTGCTCCAAACGTCAACTGCCCTCAGCCACAGCCTGCATTGCCAACCATCAGGAATGCTGGACCTTGTAGTGCAAAACATCTGGAGAGCATCGGATGGGAAAGGCTGCTTTAGGATCTGGAAATAAATGCATTTTACTCTATAAATGGTCCAGTTCTGCAGTTTAAAAGCTGGCTATATATTTTAATATATAAATATTATTTTTACATTTCTATGATATTTTATAACATGATTATAAAAATTAATACTGATGTATGCAATATTAATATCAACGTTTTAAATGTGATTTTAGTGTATATGAGCAAACCACTCGGGTCCTTATTATACTTAACAATATTTAGAAATCAATAAGTAAAATATTTTATTTATTGATTTATACTTTCATTTAGATGTTGCCTACTACTGCAGTCTCAAGTGGCATATAATACATCTGAGACACAACAATTGTAATATTTATTTTTACTACAAGTTTCAAACAAAACTGCAAAAAGAAAAAAATGAATATTTAATTATATATATTAACATATATAAAATACATATAAGTTTCAACAAAGGCAAACCAAATATACATGTATATATTCATTTGAGAGTGACGTTTATTTGTCAAAATAACCCAATCTTGTTGGCAACATTTTGCAGCAGGGGCTGGACATTTTGGAGCACATGTGCTCAGTCTTAACTAGCTAGTGCATGATGCACACAGACACATATCTAGACAAACACGCTCAGCACATTCAGTACCCCTGGGTCTTACAACTTGGTTTCTGATGGGCAAACGCAGGATGTCCATTTGAGGAGTTGAAAAGAGACTTTGCGGAGCCATCTGCATTATAGTGAGGGAGGCCACTGATCCATCTGCTCCTATTCCATTTACTCTGACAGGCAACAACTCTTCAGAGACTCAGGCAGAGATCTTTTATCTGGAGATGCCAGGCAATGAGGCAGGAATCACAGGCATCCAAAACCTGTGTACTGACCCCACCCCCCTTCCTAAGTGCCTCTTGTCAAGGGCTGGTACAGAGGAATAAAAGTTCCTTCTAGATTCTTGTTAAGAACAGAAAGACTATAGCTCCAAACAGAACGCATCTGCCTCCCACAGACATTCCACTGAAACTAGTAGTCACTCTCAAACCAGACAAATCTATGGTATGACCCAGTCACACTTGAAGGGGACACCAGCAGTCATTTAAAAGCGTAGAAAGAAGGATGGATGAAAGACAGAAATATTCCCCCATGCATTTTTCCCACTCCGCAACCACCTCTGTTCAGCTGATTTCCTTCAGTTGAGGCCACTTCCAGTAACGGGCAAAAATGTTTAACAAACGGAATGAAACAGAAATCATTAGGCACAGCAAGAGGAAAATGTTGAGTACTTGACATCTATCTCTGCTGAGCTTTAAGATCACCCTCACTTTACACGTGATTTTTTTTCAAGATCCAGGCTCTACTTCATCAATTTATTTGCAAGAACTGCCCTGGGTAGATTATGGGTATTTGATTGCTGATGGTGCCTTTGCATTTTTGCTGAGTTTTGACTGAACAGCGGTTTTGGAGAAATGCTTTTCTAGTTATCAAAATGCTATTGAAAGGTCAGTATTATATGCCAAAATGTATTGAAATGTTATTGGTATTGATGGATTCTTTTTTATGTATTGCCATTACTGATATTCTGCCCATGTTGTTTGTCTTAAGCCACCTGATAGACTATTTCTTTTGTGGGAAGACAGAAAAGAAAGAAAATTCTAATTGAAAATAATCTTAAACAACCTTGCTTCTGTGATGTGCAAAAAAGAGGGAACAAACTCTCTTCTCTTCAACATCATACACAGATTCATGAATCCATCTGAATTTCATTGTACTGGATCCAGATTATGCTTCCACTGCTGAGGGCTAGAAGGGACCCTCCTTGAGAAGGGTGAAATATGTGACATTTATATTTTATATTTAAAAGCAGAATAAAAAAAGCCAAAGCCCAGATAGTTGAAGCTTTTAATAAGCAATTGTTCAAGCATTGTTTGCTTAAGACAAAAGGTATAAACCTCCTACCTTTTCAGCATACTCAGAGACGATCTGCTTGATCTCATCAGACTGTAGTCCAACTATCTGTCCTACAGTGCTTGCAGTCAGTCTGCCCTGAAAGGACAACACCGGTCTCATTTATTTATTTCTTTATTTATTTGAGTGATAGCCCACCTTTTCCTTAGAACAAACGGAAAGCAGCTTGCATCATTCTCCCCTCTCTGCTCTGTCAACCCTACAACCACCACCACCCCGTGAGGTAAGTAGAGCTGAGTCTGGGACTAAGCCAACGTCACCCAGTGGCTCCATGGCTGAGCGAGCACTAGAACCAGGTCACCCGAGTCCCAGTCCTGCACTGTTAACCACTGCACCACACTCTCTCTTGTTAAGCACACGTGGGCTGCTTGCTGTAAGCCAGTGTAGCCTGAGGTAAAATGCAAGCTCTGTTTCAAGTGAGTGCCATGCTGGCTTCCATGAAAGCAGATGGAAAAGTAGTACATGGGGTGGGTGGAAGAGAAGAAGCAGGATAAAGATGGACTGGAGAGTAGCCTACAGCCACCAAACCTTCACTGATGTTCTGAATCTGTTTACAACGGGGGGCGTAAGTAGCTCCAGAGGCCATTTCTAGCCCCCAGACACTCCCAGTGGGCACTAGAAAATAAAATAGCTTACAGAATTTCAAATGAAGTCTGTAGCAGGCCATTTCCCCTGGCTCCTTCCACGGAGGCAAAGAAAAGGCACAGAGTGAGGGAAGTCCCAGACCACCTGGCACTGCACTTCCTTAGGAGTGGGGCTTGAGAAGCTACATGTGCAGGATGACAAGAGTCCCTCAGCCAGAAAGCCAACCTTTATGACACTCTTGCCCAGAGACTTCCTTCTTTCAGCTTTGCCACTGACCGACTATATCATTCAGGTTTGGACAACACAACAGGTCACTTAGGGCTTACTAAACCCCGGAACAAGCCATGGCTTCTTGGGAGGGTCGCTGGAATCAGGTGGGGTTCACACGACATGCTAATCCACCCTACCCACCCCACCCCGTGACACTCTGCGCAAACCTCCATGGAACTCTTTTCAGCAAATGAATGACATAAAAGGATTATGACAACAGCACCTATAAGAATGATGAGGATGAGTTTGGAAGTCTTTGCAGGCGAGAATGTGCCACTTCCCATTATTTATTTAAAACAAACAGTATGGCAGTGGCCCACTAGCCCACAGTCGTTAAACAGGTTAGAAGAAAGCCAGGTAGTTTTGTCCTCATGTCTATTTACAGGGTAGCTTAATGCCTCAGGCAATCTCACCTCAGTTAACCCTATTTCAAGGGTCATGACAGCCTTCAAGTCAACGTGCAGGTGCAGAGGGGGAACCACAGGGATGCAAGTGAGTTGTCTGGGCTGTGCTACCAAACTGATTTAACCAGTACAAAGCACAACTCGATAGATTTCCTCTATAAAGTCACAGTTTAAACTGATTTCAATTCATTGCCTGATGAAGAAGGAACCTTTCAGGAACCTTGCTTGTGCATCCCTATTAAACTGCCAGATCATTTAGGTGTGTTCTGGAAAACTACTAAAAACGTAAAAAGCAGAGGTAGCATCAACAAACCAAGAACTGCTTACCTCTTCTGTTCCCATAGCAGCCATCTCAGTCATCAATGTTTTGATACGAAGCTGGTGAAAAATAAACGACAATGTCAGAAAAGTCGATTTCTTAACTCCATGCTTATTAGATAATCACGTGTGGCAGTCTTTCCAGTCTGATGTACAAAGCTTACCAAATTGACATTGTGTAGTTAAATTTACACAGAATTTCCCAACAGGTTTTTAAACCAAAGTAAAAACTATGTTTATACTTAGGAAGCACAATACATGTTGCATCATTTATCATTATGATTTATTTGTGAAATTGATGCATTTTTCTCTAATTGACAAGAGTGGTAAATAATAAAAAGAAATGTGATGGGGTGGAGGGAAGGGGAGAATCCAAAAATTAAAAGAGAATTAAAATATTTAAATCTAAACCACAACAGATCAGTCAGGTAAGGCTTGTTTAATGAAAAATGCCTCCAAGCAGGCACTGACACCAAAACATAGAGTACAAACATGAGGAAGGTGCTACACTATGGATGTCCCCTGTGTAACCCAGGCATTCTCATGACATTTGAGTGCTACATGAAGAAGGCATGCAATAGTGCAGGGATGCATAACCACTGGCCCACGGGCCATCTCCAGCTGACATACTGGCCAAGTCCAGCCAGTCAGCTTATGCTTCCCACACGGCCAGGCCTCTTTTCCTTGTCTTCCTTCCCCACAGTCAGTCCGGCATGGACTAACTTTTGATAGATTCCTGACTTTTGTGCAGTTCCCATCTACCCATTATTCGAAAGGTTGAAATGTCTGTCCCAAGGCTTAGTTACTGGCAGGAAGGGCTTTCAGCTGGTGTTTCTGACTCAATCCCATTTGCCTTTGTTCCCAACAGAATTGCTGGGATTTTGGTAGTGTCCGTCACTTCTGCTACCAGCTACTTTCAGTGGTGGTGGAGCTGCAGTGTGAGCCCACAGGTCTCCAAGGGGTCCAGTTTAGTCCCCCAACCCTGTGGCAAATAAATTACTCTGGATCAAGCAATCCCTATTTATTTGTTTTGTGCACCTCTTCCGCAGCTTGGAGGTCGTCCTCAGTATAGGTCTCAGTCTTCCCTACTGATAAAAGCCCAGCAGGCACTGCTATTTTCTTGTCTTCGGCCTGTTAAAAGGGAGAAAATGTAAGCTTAAGATATACGCCCAAGGCAACAAAGTAGAGGAATACGGTATCTACAACTAACAAGGGGAAAAATACAAACAGGAAACAATCACATAAACATGGACTACATAAATACATTGTAGATACGAGTTTGAATTCAGAAAAAGGCAAATGGTGTTTCTACGTTTGGAATGAGGCTGCCCACAAGAACTTACACATAAGATGCTATAGGAGCAACCAACACAGAGCAGGGAAATAAATGCTAACCATACCATGCAGCACCAAGCTATCTGCCTGCACAAGATTCTGAACTCCACCGCCAAGTGACTTAGGTTGAGATGACAAGTTCTGGCTCTCTGAGGTACAAGTATACAACATCAATAAGATATGGCTGTGAAGAACTCCCCTTTCTTGTCATGTCTGGGTAACCTGTGAATTTCTCCTTCACAAGATTAAATGTAGTGATAAAGTTACTGATAAAGATAACTGTAAGTTTTCTTGGGATGCCTGCAGCCCAAATGTCAGAAGAAGACCCAGTTAACTGGACTGAACTATCTCAGCCCTAGCAACCTTTCATTCCTGCCTAGACTGTGCGGAACAAGGGCAGCCCCCTTCCGCCCTTCACAACGGGCCCCTTTCACAACATTGCAACACTTGGACCTTTTGCACATGTAAAAGATAACACAACTTGTTTTAGTCTCTGCAGGATTAAAAACCATAAGCAAGAAAAGGCACATTCACTTAAATTAACTAACCATCTAAGGCAGGCGAGGCCAACTTTGTGCTCGCCAGAAACTTTGGACTGCATCTCCTAGCGTCCCTGATGATTATTTGTGCTAGCTGGAGCTGATGGGAGTTGAAGTCCAAAACAGCTGAAGAACACTGGGTTGGAGAATGCTATTCTTGGGTGAAAAGCACTGTTTTTTCCAATACCTCATTAGGCGTTTGAACAAGAAACAACTTACCTTCCCAGTTTTAACTTGCTTGCTGAACCCATACCTCCTGTAGCACATAAAGGGGAAGGGGTCCGGCAGAAGAGAAAGAGACAAAACAAGTGTTGTGGTTGGATTCACTTCATTTTCACAAAACATGCCCTTTTACACATGCGTGGGTCAGCTTTCAAACACTGTTAGAGCAAAACTGAGACAAGATATCAGCTAAAGGTTAGTTGTATGCTGTGAAAAGGTGCCCTGTTGTTCATACAGAGTGACTGGACTTTAATTTTCTCTCCTACTGCCTTTGGTCAACATAGAAAACTCTTAGGGTGCTTTCCAAACCTTTGCAGGACTGCAGGATGCCAAAAACAAGACAATATCCCAAGTCTACACATGGGAGAATGCAGCCCAGATTGCTGAAAAGGGAAACTAAATTTCAAACACTGCCCACAGCTTTGGCGTGCAAATGCAAGACACCGGAGAACAAGGCTCAGAGGCTTATTGCTGATTTGCTTTCCCACGGCATTTGGCTTTCGTCCTCTAAGGGACTAACAGCCCCATCTTCTTAGTCTTATTCATGTGGCCTCTATCCTGTAATTTCCTCCTCCAGCTGCTGCAGCTATATTTCACCTTCCCACAAAGGAATATTTCCACTATATGCAAGCAGTCAAGCAATACGTTGCAAGGGCTATTAAAAAGTGGAGCAGAAAGAGCTGTGTTTCATGTCCAGTAGCTCCAGGAAAGCTTAGCAAAGGTGCAGAAAAGAACAACCAAAACAGTCAAGAGAGTTGGAGCAACTCCAGTACAAGGAGGAATCACCAAGCCCGGCACTCGATAGCATAGAAAAAAAGATACTGGCATTATTTAGAATAGAATGCAGAATGTGTCAAAAGTGCAGTGAGTTTCTTCCTCCCTCCTTCCTTCTCCCATAATACTAGAGTCATGCCATGAAGCTGAATGGTGAGAAATTCAGCGCACATAAAAGGAATGTCTTCTTCACTTAGCATGTAGTTCGCTACCATGAGGTATCGTGATGGTCACCAACTTTAGAAGGGAACCTGACACTACTTCTGGGTACAGAAGCAACTGGCTTCTGAATACCAGTTGCTGTGGAACAACCACAGAGAAAGGCCACAGCAATCAATTGAGGGCTTCCCATAAACATCTGGCTGGTCACTGTGGGAAGTGTGGTGCTAAGCTAGATAAGTCATTGGTCATGGACCTAAGGCAGTTGGCCCACTGCTCTGAGTTGGTGCAAGACAGCTTCCATGTCCCTACTTCTGTAATAACTGTTCAGATAAAAATATCTCAACATGTTTTTAAACAGCTTTTCTTGTCTCTCTTTCAGTGCTGTTAAGGTAAAGGTTTCCCTGTGACATTAAAGCCCAGTTATGTCTGACTCTAGCGGGAGGTGCTCATCTCCGTTTCCTAGCCAAGGGAGCCAGCATTTGTCCGCAGACAGTTTCCATGGTCATGTGGCCAGCATGACTAAACACCGAGGTGCACAGAACACTGTTCCCTTCCCACTGAAGTGGTACCAATTTATCTACTTGCATTTGTATGCTTTTGAACTGCAAGGTTGGCAGGAGCTGGGACAAAGCACGGGAACTCACCCCATCTGTGGATTTGAACTGTCGACCTTTCAATCAACCAGCTCAGCAGTTTAAACCACTGCACCACCCGCAGTCCCTCAGTGCTATACATTGCTGTTATTATTCTTAATAATAATCACAACAGCCGCAGCAAATACCAAAGGCAAAACCATCATAGTGGCACTGACACAGCTAGAATACACTGTGCAGCAAGAATGACAGAAACATATTGAGCTAACTTTCACAGCTCAGTGACCGCATTCTCACATTTTACCAAGCCGTGGTTTATGCTAACTACCGATTGCTGCTGTGTAGCCATGAACTGCACTGCACAAGCAGACAAGCCAGCATTTGTTTCCCCTCTTCTCATTTGTGTCTCTCGCGCTCATTTTGTCAACCTTCAAGCAGTTTCATTTTCAGGCTGCTCTGGCTGAGGTGCCTGTTTCAAGGCAGAACAGCAGTGCAAACAAGCCAGGGTTCAGGGTCCAGCTACCACAACAAGGCGTGGTATAAACTAGTGTGGGGTAGTGGTTAAGAGCATGGGACTGGGACTCAGAGGATTTGGGTTCTAGTCCCCGCTCGGCCATGGAGCCAACTGGGTGACTTTGGCCCAGTCACAGACTCTCAGCCCAGCCTACCTCACAGGATTGTTGTTGTGGGGATAAGATGGAGGAGGAGAGATGATGTAAGCTGCCTTGAGCCCTTTATAGGAAAAAGGCAGGATATAAATGGCAATATAAATAAAAAATAAATAAATAAACAAGGCAGTCGCATTGCACTGCCTGCTCATGCCTGGCCTAGGATTATTTCCTCTTCACATGCACTGCTGCCATGCCAAGCCTCCCTGATCCCATATTTGTGCCTGTGATTTTCTGTACCTACATTCAGGACAGCACGTTTTATCTGATGGATTCCACCCAGCTGGTTTTCACCCAGGGTTCCAGCCTGTTTCACTCAGTTGACAGCCAGCATTAGCATTACCGACAAGATAAAGGGGTGCCATTCTGTCAGCACAGCTGAGCGCTTGGATGCAAATCTAAGTGTGGCTGAATATTTGGATGAGTTCATTCTGATTTGCTTCGGAATATAAATTTTGGCAGGACTAACAGCTTAAGAATGAATACAATGCAGGATTTGTTTGCGTTTGATGACAAAGCTGCATAATGAACTCAAACTGCTTTTGCCTTGTAATAGTATCATATTTACTATGTGATGCAGTGACCTACTGGGGAATGCTCGTATCAACACTTATGAACTGCTCATTCCTCCTCACCCCACAAGAAAGGGGTGGAGGGTGGCATTTTTTAACTTTGTCCCACCTCCCATAGCAACTTTCACGCAAAAAACTGAACTTTCATTTAATAATACTATTAAATATCAAACTTAAAGGCATGTTAACAAGAAAATAATGCAAAACTCAAGTGAAAGAAAACACACACACACTCACAAGAAATACTCACAAGTAATAATCACTGAAACTAAGAGAAGGGATAACAAAACAAGATGTAATTGAATATAGGATTGAGACAACCACAGTAGAAAACCTATTAAGGCAATATATTGATTTTTTCTTCAAGAAAGACAGGAAAAAATTAAAAACACACGTTAAAAATACTTGCTAAATTAATTTCTTGGCCTTTGACAAAATGCTTACTTTTCCTGCAGAACACTGGAATTAGCAAGTGCATTAGATATGCTCACCTTCAAGAAACCTGAAAGAAGACACTCACTGTATGAGTGGCTTACGTTTCCTTAAGTGCCGAGCAATTAGTGCACCTTTCCGTACCTACATCATCATCACTGGTAGACTTCTTCTCTGTTCGGGGCTACCTTTAAAGACTGCTCAGAAGCTGCAGCTAGTGCAAACTGAGGTAGCCAGATTAGAATCTGGTGCATTTTAACACTAATTCTGGCCCAATTGCATTGGCAGACTCTATGCTTCTGAGCCCAATTCAAGGTGCTGGTTTAATCTGGGGAAAGCACTGTATAAACAGGCACAACTGCTTGTTGCCCAGATCCCACACCATGCCATATCCACAGTGGGAAACCAGGTTCCTGTTCGTGAACTACTGATGGTATATGTACTGACCCACTGTACCAACAATCAAACAGGAAGTGAGGGCCAAGCATGAGATGCAAGGAATCAGTATATGTGGTTCTTTAGTTAAACATAAAGAAAACAGCATATAAAAAAATTAAAACATTTGTACCCCTCCCTCCTCTTTTCTTTCCCAAACTTTTACAGGTATGAAAAGGCTTACAACGCTTGTAAGATATATGAACCCATGTCCCAGCCATCTGACTAATTATTGTTCTTACTATTATATTATTATTATTTCCATTTCTATGCTAGCCAGTATCTGAAGCTCTCGGGACAGTTCCCAACAATTCACAACTGTTAACACTATTCACACAGGAGGTTTCAAGGACATGCTACCAAAAGAAACTCTTCCAAACCAGGCTAATTCACACCTCATGGTAGCAAAGTGCACGTCCCTTGATTCGTTGAGACACCGGCCATTTTTACACTCTGTAACCAACTTCTGATTGATGTGATCAGAGGTATCAGCATGACATGCAAAGCTGGACAGGTGGGCCATTTTGCTCTGAGCTGTTTGCAGTTAACCCATGGTTTGTTATTAAATAACTCAAGATTTGCTGCCATGACATGTGGACATGCTCTTTGACTTAATGACTGAGGAACTCTGTGGTATTGTTACAGAAAATCCTACGGTGTATCCTAGAGGATTTCTGTAGAGCATCAGCTGAACTTCATAGGCTCACCATCCGTCCAGGTGAACAGAGCATGCAACCAAAACACATTCATTGCTCTACTGCAGCTAAACTTGGGATGGGGAGCTCAGAAGAGCTGGGTAAGCAGTCTTCCAGAGCTCTCTTGTCACTACTGATCTTCTTAATCACTAGGGAATTCTTGAAAAGCCTTTGAGGTATCCGAGGGTTCTCCGGAACACAATTTTAAAAGTCACTGCTATTCACAAAATTAATTTACCTGCCATATTCCAAAAGTGTAGCATGAACTTTAGATTCCTCATCCACTAACTTTTCTGCTCCTGCTTGCCGTTGGTATTTCCTTTGTGGCTTGTAAACATCCTGAAAGACAGCAAGTGAGCATAATATTTTAAACTTCAAATGGTTCAAGGCAATGAAAGTACCAATCTCAGCCTTTGGATTTTCTCTTGGGGTTGAGGCTCATTAAAGCCAAACTCCAGGAAAGACCAAAAGCTTAAATGTTGCAGACAACATCTAACTTAAGTGGGTGTACATTCACTTCTGTAATGGGCATTTAACCTTCTCTTGTTCCCCCAAATCTCTCAGTTTTCTTGAGCAGGTCTTGAGGATACAAAGGGGATCACTCCTACCCACCGCATTGATGGAAGAACTTTCATAGGCAGAAGATGGTAACTGGGTGCCATACTTAGAGGAGATACACTAGATGACAGAAATGTAGAAGCTATTAAATCTCTGTTTTGCTGTTACACAACTGGTAGGTGCTAGTTATTACCAGAATTCACAATTTATTCAACCTGTCTGCAGTCATATCTGCAAGACAACTGAAAACAGTAAGGAAAAAAACCCCCACTGGTATATTTTTAGAAAATAACCTTGCATGATTAAACAGAAAAGTCTTAATTTTGAGTCACTGAAGCTCTCATTAATTGTACTTCTAGTTCCTTATTGAATAATTATGCTTAATTGCCAACCATTTAATGATAGCTGCTTTAGCCAGTCACACAAGAAAGGAAAATTGATTTTAGCATAACTAGGGTGGAGGAATAAAGAAAAATGCTTCTAGCTTGTCATTAACTGTCAAAAGCAATAAAGAAAGAGCTAGAATATTTAAACTCAACGCAATACCCAAATTTGACCCACATCTTGAATCCCATGCATCTATTTTACTTTGAGAGTATGCAAGTTATAACTCACTGGGCAACATTCTAACTCTTGACAATAGAACCCAGTCTTTTTTATTATATTTATATCTCATTTTTTGTTTCCTTTCAAGGAACTCAAGGGGGCTTACTTAATTCTCTTCCTTCTCGCAATCTTCTCCTCACAACAGCCCTGTGAGGTAAGTTGGGCTGAGAGTCTGTGACTGGCCCAAAGTCACCAAGTGAGCTCCATGAGTGAGTGGGGTCTAGAACCCAGGTCACCTGAGTCCCAGTCCCACAGTTTTAACCACTGCAGCACACTGGCTCTCACATTTGTAATAACCTCACATTCACTCCAGGGCTCAGATTTACAGACCCCAGGCATACTTTTACTGAAGTAAATACTGCATTCAATCCACATACAACAGAATTAGTGGTTGTCTTTAGGCTGCAATAAGCAACATGTAAAGGACACAGTTGTTTGATTCAGAGTGAATGGAAGGGTGCAATGGGAGAGAGGAGGAAATACTAAAAGAAAAAACAAAACACAAGAATAAGTTGAAGGAAAGCCTTTAAAAACCCAGTTTCCATACAAACAACAGTTCTTGTATAGTGCTACAAGAGTGAACACCACTAATGCAAAACACCCTGTATAAGAAAGATGAGAAGAGGAACATCTGAATCCCTTCTAATGACATTCCATTCTTTCCACCAGACATAGCGACCCAGACAGTTTACTTTCTCCAAGTTACAGTGTCAGACAAAACCACTGTTTGCACAACTTAGCTTCTCTACTCTGTTGACTCTACCTGAGGAAGAGTGTCAAAAGCTTTTTACCTTTTATACCCTGCCTTTTTTGTATCATTGGCTTTTGTTTTGCTTTTGGGAAACTGGTCTTGATCAATGTTGGCAGTTTCACAAGTGAGAAATCTTTTTAAACAATAGCATACCAGCTAAGATGTAAAAGCCATTCAAAACCCTGCATCTCTGAGTTCACAGCAGCAGCAGTTTTTATTTTATATGGTATTTTAAACTGACATCACTTGACGGAAACAGAAACAAGAGGGAAAACTATATACGAACAAACAAGTGAAATGCTTTTAGCTAGAATTTAAAGAATGGGATTTCAATTTATCATTTTTAAAAACACGTTTTAATCCACATCTTTTAAAAAACCCCTAAAGATGCCAAGTACCACTTTAGGAACAAAGGAAGCCAAGTTAAATTAATGGTTCATCCTGCTTTGTATTGGCCACACTGAGTGGAGACAGCATTCCTGGCTTCAGCACTGGGGTTCTGGAAATCAAACCGGGGACCTTCTGCTCACAGGTTTGGTGTTTTACCAATAATTCCCACCTTAGAAGAGGCACCCCCCTTTTCTGTTGGGGGGAGGTAATCCCTCTAATGTTATCCCAGCTATGACATGTGGCTTTAGTTAAGAATATCGTGTGCTTCTTGTTTCAGAAACATGTTCATCCATATGTAAATTTTACACACACACACACACACACACACACACATCCATATGTAAATTTTACACACACACACACACACAGAGCTTTCTCTTTCTCTCTTTCTTTGCAGCTGCCATAGAAGTAAGCCCCCATATCTTCAGTAGGACTTACTCCTAAGTAGGCTTGCATGGGAGTGGAGCCTAAGACAACCTGACAAAGCAGTTTCTAAAGCAGCACTTCACTTCTCCCACTGTATGCTTGAATCCCATGAGGGAGAGAACAAGAACAGGCTGGTGAATAGGCAAGGTGGTCTAGCCCATCCTAGCCCAGTCTTGCAGGCCGGAAAGCAGAATTCAACAACATCTCCAGATATTTGCTCTAAGGCAACAGCTTCTCTGGGCAGGAGAAGGGCAAACTGCACACCTGCAAGCCCCACTCATTCATTTCAAGCTGTAATTTAAAAAGCAACTATCATTTAACATTCCAGTGGAAAAAAGATTCCTTTTCTTCTTGTACTTCATCATACATGACTCCAAACTGAGAGTGACCAGCTCACAAGCTTGTAGCTCTTAGACCTTGTGACATTTTAGTCTGCTTGAGTATGCTAAACAATTCATACATCACATCAGAGGTAATGTGACCACCTTACAAAGGGCTACTGCTGTCCTCTATCAATTGCAAAGCGGCATTCTTACACAGCAGTCCTGTATCTCAACTCAAAACTAAGTCCTGCTGAGCTCTGTGGTGCCTATTTTTAAGCAAGAGGTTAGAATTGCAGTCTCACAAAGCAATCTTGTGTTACTACCAGACGTAAGTCTCACTGAGTGCAGAGGGATTTCACTGCAGAGAAGTGAGTATGAATTGCAGTCTTACATTTCCAATACATGGTCTGACTTCAGCTACAAGTCAAGATATTACACACAGCATCTAAACAAGGCTGCCTTCTGTTGTAACCCAGGAGGAATGCTCATTAGAAGGCTGCACTTTAATTACTGTTAATGAGTGCTGGGATTCTCTTCAGCATTTCACAAACAATGCCAATAATGGGGGATGGAAAATTTTCTACCATCTGTGACAAAAGATATTTCTAAAAAACCCAAAAAACAAATGCTTTCATAAAATGAATTAGGACATGACAAACAGATACAACTCAGTCAAATTGGGCAGTTTCAACTTGTCATTCACCTGAAAAAAAATGTGGTTCCTGGGAAAGAGAAAAATTGATATATCATACTTGCCTGGTCTATTTATCTGTAAAGAGGAGGGGGAATAAACAGGAGGGGTCAATTGAAATGAAAGGTGCACATAAATCAGATTTCAATCAATCTGGAGCAGGGTGGAAGCAGCATCTTCCAGAACACCCACATCCTGGCGTCTTTTACTTACACAGATCTCACTAACTGTTTTGATAGCCTTCTCTTTTCTTTGCATGAAGTCATCATCCTGCAAAGCAATTAAGACAACTGTAAGCGGCAGTCATGCTTGTATGCACAGTCGGGGACTGAAGTTCAATCGTGCTGACAAAGATGTGTCACTTCACAGGTCAACATCGCATAGCTGTGATGTTCAGGTGTACAAAGGGAGAAGATGCGTCAGTGCTGCATATTCACAGCAAGTCTTACCAAAGAGCCACTTAGCTGGCTATAAAACCCGCTGAACCCAAATGGGGCTTACGTCTCAGCTTGAGTGCCTGTGCACAGGATTGCTCTGCCAGTGTTTCATGTCTACATCAGAGAAACGGTGCTTGCAGAAAACATGAAAAGGGACTTGGTCCAACAAGAAGTAAGAATGTATGATTATAGCTCCAATGCATTCAACAAACGAGACACGAAAAGATGCTGACTGGCTGCACAAACAGGACAGAGCATTCTCTCATACAGACTAAGTTATGTTCATAAAAGTTTCTAAAAATCTGAATAACAGATTTTAAATTTTAAAAAAATCTTTTACTCCAATGGGCAAATATGTTAAGATGTTCATTACCAAGAGCCAATCGCCTTTTCCTCATAGAGAAACATTTCTTCTGGACTTCCATTCCTTGAGTATTTTTCCTCCAAAAAAGTGGGTAAGCTACCCATAAGCATGGGACACGTTAGTGCTTTATGTCCATTCCAGATCATCCTATGAACATACTTCAGTGCACTACAAAATCCATCCATCCTCATGATATATACAACCAAACATGTAAAAGTTAAAGAATGTGATGAATTACCTGATGGAAATTTTCTGCTCCAAAACCAGCTCATTAAGTTTTATCCATCAGGACATGTCCTAAAACCTGTGAGCCAAATCAGCTTTGCACTGGTTTTAAGATGCTTATGACAATCAGTTTTGTCTCTAATTCTGAATTACAACAAATGTAACCAATGTTTACCTCAGGTAGTCTGTGTGTCTTTTGAAACTGAGCTATGGAATATGAGCGAATATAATCTCCCATTTCTTCACGTGTTTCTATTGCACGTTTCACCAGCCACTGGGAACAGGAAGAAGAGAGGAAAGGAAGTGAAAATACTGACATTGGAGCAACAAACTGCAGATACAGTATTTTCCATTCTTGTGTACATCTATCAAGGAAAACAAAACCAACGATTATTATAAAAGAAAACATTTAGAAGGAAGGCTTGGATCCCCGTAGCCCTGGAGTATCCAATGCCTTGCCAGGCCGCTGCCTGTAGGGTGGTAGGAATGACAGAGGCCAGTTTCATCTCTTCGTTCTCATTTCATGAAATTAGCCTCTGAGCCCGAGAGAAGCATGATGGAGAGGCCAGGGCTGTCCTTCCTCTTCCTCACCATCTGGAACAGCTCTTTTTCCTTCCCTCCAAGGTAGCACTGCAGACCTCAGCAGCACCACTGTGACCTTTTCCATGGCAACTGCAAGGGAGGGGGACTGGAACTCAGAGCTCCCCTCTCAAGGTCAAGGCAGTGTCTGCAGCCCTGAGACGCTCTCCCAGGCACCACAGGATTGCTTGGAAATATATTATGCCTGTATCTTCTTCATATTTGTGAAGCTGCCCCGAGGCTTTGTTGCGATGGGGGCGGCATAGAAATGTTTTAAATAAATAAAATAAATAAATATTTTGAAATGTTGGGGCACTGACTCAAGAGATGCTTGTCCAGGATCTGGAGGTCTTCTAAGTAACCTTGCCTAGATTTCATATTTGGGATGCTATTAGAAAAAGCTGTTGCACAATCAGTCATGCTTACTTCAGGCAGAAGCTTGGTGTGCTCCTTTGGGAGAAGACATTTCATTCACATCTGATGAGACATGTTTCCTGCTATAAATGGGCAATAGTAGAATTGGGGTAGCCATTATCTTTCAGCCTTAACCACTTTGTCTTTGTCCGCTCCCACCAGAGGAATGCGAACCCACGAGTTTCTCCAAAAAAGAACCCAGAGCTTGGGCTGAAAGTGTTCCTTCTCCTTGATCAAGACATCAGTTTTCAGCAAACTTGCACTGGGCACAGACAGGGTATCAAGAGTCACTGTGACATAGACAGTGTGGTATAGTGGTTAAGAGTGCTGGATTGGGATTTGCGAGATCTGGGTTCCAGTCTTCACTTAGACATGACTTGGGCCAGACACAAACTCTCAGCCCACCCTACCACACAGGGTTGTTGTTTTGAGGATAAGCCATTTGGGGTTCCTTGCAAGAGGAAAAAAGGTGGGATAGAATATATAATTACTTGGAATGAAAACAAAAATAGCACTGAGACAGGAGAGACCTGGATTTAAATTTCAATCAGTCATAAAGCTGAGGATGTGGCAATGGCCCATTCACTCTTCTAAGCTAATCTCCCTCGTGTTATCCTGGAGATTGTGAAATAAATATGGAAAGTGAGAGTGCAACCTAGCATGACTCATGTTAGGTCTACCTGCTAGATATTGCAGATCAGTGTTGTCTAACGTTGTGCCTTCACATTCCCATCAGCCCCAGTCTGTATGGCCAGTGGTCAGTGCTGGAAGCTGGCTGGGAAAATCTGGTATGGATTAATCCAGTCTAATGAAGGAATTCTTCCACAGAGGAACTGGGCTAGATGGAATTCTGAATCCCACTTTACTGTGATGCATCACCAACATAAAACTCATGCGCACTGGGCAAAACCTAAGCACTCAGGGATGACAACCTGAATGCCTAGATCTAAGACGCCATTTGCATGGCAGGTTGCCTGAAGTCCGAGTAGGCTAACAAAGCTGCAATGGGAACACACTCCCAGTACACAGGACATGAGGCTTAAATGTGAACTAAACAGAAAATCTTAAGCCATGTTGTCACCATGTTGTCAAACCCAGCCCTTTAACTGGTGCTGTTAGGTCACCTACCCTCTTCCCCAGTTGTCGATACAGAAAGAAACAGAAGGTGAGGATGAAAAAGATGAAAAAGAGGTATGCAAAGAGACCTTGTCTTTAACCACTACTAGGGATATTGGCTCCCTTCTAATCTCTCTCCATTCTGGAAAACCAGTTCTTGACTAAGCTATTGGTGTGAAAATGAAAGCCACCCCTTCACCCTGACTTGGAGTACATACCAGTGGTGGGGAAGCCCTTATACCTTCCCTTTAAGGAAAATGTTTCTCCAGATAAAATAAATATCAGTATTCACCCACTAAAAAGAAATGCATACTGTGACAACACAATAACCCTCACTCAAGTGTTGTATATGAGTTGTCATTGAACCATGGGTTGTTGCTGAAACGTGGATTATCATGTTGTCTGAACACAACTGTGTTAACAAACTGTGGTTAACTATGAACAACCCATGAAGAGAACCCATGCTTTGTTCTTGGCCTGTGAACAGTGGGCTGTTCCTCATGGTTGATTTATCTTGGCTGTGTTCAAACAATACAATAACCCATGTTTCAGCAACAATCCATGGATCAATGACAATCCACACACGACCCAACTTCAGTCCTTGAGTGTGGGTTATGCTGCATGAAGTACTGAACTGAAATACCTATATCACTTAAATCAGTTTACCTGAAACCTCAGCAGTCCAATTAAGCACTATCAGTTAATAGCAGGACAGTCTATCATATGTAGAACTATAAAGAAATGGCCGTCTTTGCCATAGAAGACCGTAGAAGACAATCTGAATTCACATGCCTTGTTACATGTCTTGAACATAATCATTTATTTTACATAACATGGGTCGGTAATGTTTCAATAACATTTTTAAGGGTCCACATTAAATAGCCCATTTAGAAAATGCAGCTCACTTAGTATCCCTTCAGGATCTAAACCTAGAGAGAAGTTTACAGCACCTGCAGATGCATCTAATGCATTTTGCATGCAACAGTGCAAAGAGCTCTCATTCTACACAGTTCTGAGATTAACCAATTGACAAGCATTTGTTTGCCATTAGGGAAACACATCCTAACTCATCGCTTTACTTCCACCTATGCTATTTCTCCAGTCAAATCACTCGGAGATGATTAGGTATGGGTATCCCTCATTTTCAATCTGGTGCTTCCCATTTGCATCAGCTGGAGTACTGGAGCAGGGTGGCCCCAAGGAGCACCTACCTGCACAACTGGAAATATGTGAATGAAGTCCAGTCCCTGTATTTGATGAGGCTCCAGGCGATGTGGGCACTTCATTCTGGGTAAGACTGATACGATTTTCTCAGTTAAGGCGCTGGAAATAAGTCAAGGATGAAAAGTTAGTGTGCAAACAAACAAACCAGGTACTAGCCTGAATCTGCCCTCTAGTGGCCAAAATCAAAAAGAAGGTTTAAAAAAGCTGGGGGAGAAACACACGGAGCATTTAAAAACTGTTGTCATAAAAGAACAGTGCTGGATACGCCGTTTTGCAGGGGGATATGCTGTTTCATTTGCTGGACACGCTGTTTCATTCATCAGAAAGCCAGATGACCTACACAAAGGCTTGAAAGCTCTGAGTGAATACCTACATCTTGCAAACGTTCAAGGGCTTAGGACTACAGTTCCCAGAGGTATGCTGGGATCACCCAGCACTGTAACATTCATGATACTAAGCAAGCTAAATGGATTCAGTCCAGGGCTTCGAAGAGAAACAAATGGGAGCCCTTTGGAATCTGTTCCTGTTTTTATTATCTTAAATAAAGTACGTGGTACAATCTAAGTAGTTTAAAAGTTTACTGTGGTGACATCAAGATCATTCCCTAGAGTCCTCTTCTGTTGTCCAGTAAGACCAAGGGCGTAGCTACAAGGATGAGGTCTGTTTCAGCAGCAGTACCATGTTTGTGGAAGGCTCTCCTCTGAGAGGCTTGTCTAGCGGCCCCATTATGATCTTTCTGATACCAAGTGAAGAACTTTTCTTTTTCCTGGTAATTTAAAAACCATTTGAGTGCTTTTATTTTTGCTGCTAGATTCAATTAATTCAGTTTCATAATGTTGCTAAAACTTCATGATACTGCAGTGCCTGATTCTGGTTTGATTTGGTGCAGTTTTTTATTTTTTGTTTGCATGTTATAGTGTTATGTTTTTAATATACTGTAAACTAGAAAACTTCAGCCAGAGAGTTTAAAAGTATTTTAAATAAATATATGAATAATAAAAAATAGGTAAAAACAAATAAAGAAATGCAGCAGCCTCTGGCATGTGTAAGCTTATTTTTACCATTCCAGTTAGCATTTTGCATTATTTCCATGCCTGCTCTAAAGAAAAGGACAAGAAAATGCTTTATAACTGGGTAAGAGGCATTGGAGCAGCTGAAAGACCAAGAGACAAAATAGCCTGGAAAAAAGTATTTTTAAGATAAGAGGCTTCTAGGACGGTCCGGATACTTCAATTGGTTCAAGATAGAGCTGCCAGGCTGCTGACGGGGACTGGGCATTATGTTCACATGACTCCAGTTCTCCGTCAGCTTCACTGGCTTCCCACTGAAGTACGGCCCAATTCAAGGTGTTTGTTATGATCTATAAAGCCCTTAACGGCTTGGATCCTGGTTACCCGAAGGAGCGCTTACATCCATATATGCCCGCCTGCACCTTGAGATCAGCGGGAGAGGCCCTTCTCCGGGAACCCTCCGTGAAGGATATTACAAGGGTAAGTACTCAGAGGAGGGCTTTCTCTGCAGTGGCGCCCAATCTATGGAATGCGCTCCCCAGAGAGGTCCGCCGGGCGCTGTCGTTATTTGTTTTTCGGCACCAGGCGAAGACCTTTTTATTTAAGTGTTATTTTAATTGTTAATATTATTTATTTATTTTATTCTTTGGCCAGGTCGACTCAAATTATATTGTTTTTATATTGTGATTATTTATTTATTGTTGTGAGCCGCCCTGAGGCTTTGGCGAATGGGGCAGCATAGAAGCTTCCCAAATAAATAAATAGGACTACAGGTGACTTCCTGAAAAGTTTTGCTTATAAATGTGATTTATGCTGAACATGTCACTCAACTCAAGGAAAAAAGATATGTCCAGTTTCCTGCCAACTTACATTTTTTGACCAATGGTTGAGTTTTCTTGGAACAGTAAGTCAACATCAATGTCAAAATTGCATGTTGTGATACACCAAGTCATGCCACCAACCACCTAGAATAAGGTAAACAGACTCATTTTAATACTGATGAATACTGAAGGGAAGAATTAAAAAAGACCACAAATATATTTTTAAGAATTAAAAAAGAAAAACAAACCACTGCATCTTCAGTCTAATTTCTCCAGGAATGTGAACATTATACTAACATAGGGATACATAATGCAAATCATTCTGAAGGCATCTTTACTAATTCAGGAGTTCTGTGTGCCCACATTAAACAGGGAGAAGCATTTCTGGCACCAGTGTGCTTTTAAACCCCATTTCTATGAAACCTCTTTCTCTCTGCACCAGGAGGCAGACACTCATCTCTGGAGACCACTAGCAAGCCTTCTTTTCCCCTCTCCATTTCACAACATGCTCAGCATCCCATAATTCAGGAACTCTTTTCTCTGTCTGCACCATGTCATGGCTGTGCACCTTGGCAGTGCAATAACAGGTCATGCGAAAGCTCGGACAAGTCGCGGCTAATGAGTCATGGCTCGTGATGTCATTGCCTGGCGCCGCTACTTCTTTCCGAGCATGCGGATGGCCCCTAAGTGCGCTGTTACCTGATACTCGGCTGCTGCGGTGATGCTGGGGTGACTTGGCTCGCATGATGGCAGAGAGGGCTCTGCATGCCTGCTGTGGCATGTATGCCATAGGTTCACCACCATTGCCCTAGCCCTACCCTGGTGCACTCCCCTAACCCTAATATAGGGCTAAAATACCATTGAAAAAGACGATTTTGAAAAGGCCTTCCTTGAGTAGCGTTTTCTGCAGAGCTCATCCTTTCTTCCCATTCTAAACACATTCCAACCATCAAAATAATGCCAGGACACCTTGTTTTTCTAACCCTAACCCTACCCTGGTGCACACCCCTAACCCTAATATATGTGTGAAATACCATTCGAAATAGGGCAATTTTGAAAAAGCCTGCCTTGTGTACCTTTTCCTGTGCAGCTCATCATTTCTGCCCATTCTAAACACATTCCAACCATCCAAATCATGCCAGGACACTTAATTTTTCTAACCCTAACCCTGCTCTGGTGCACACCCCTAACCCTAATATAGGGCTAACATTCCATAGAAAAGAGGGCGATTTTGAAAAAGCCTTCCTTGAGTAGCTTTTTTTTGCACAGCTTATCATTTCTGCCCATTCTAAACACATTCCAACCATCAAAATCGTACCAGGACATCTTGTTTTTCTAACCCTAACCCAGTGATGGTGAACCTTTTAGAGATCGAGTGTCCAAACCACAACCCAAAACCCACTTATTTATCGCAAAGTGTCAACACTGCAATAAAACCTGAAAACTGAGGTTTTAGTTTAGAAAAAACAACTTACAGCCAGTCAAAGCAAATGTATATATATCCTTGGCAGCACACTGATCGGCCATGTAAAAGCTCGTGATGTCATCGCCTGGCGTCGCTACTCCTTTCCAAGCATGCGCATGGCCCCTAAGTACACTGTTATCCGATACTCGTCTGCTGGGGCGATGCTAGGGTGACTTGGCTCATGTGCTGACAGAGAGGGCTCTGCGTGCCCCCATGGCGTGCGTGCCATAGGTTCGCCACCAATGTATTAGCTCCTTTGTGCAGGTTTCTTTCCCATAGGAATCCCTCTCTCTTAAGTTCCTCCTTTTACTTCTCTCCTCGAGCTTTTGGATTGCTTTTTCATTCCCGCTTTCCCCTTCTCTTTATTTTTCCTGACTGGCAACAGTGCAAGAGGGTTTCCCTCTCTCAGCATTACATGTTGGTCGCAAGCAGCCCAATGCAACGCATCTGACTGTCTGCATTAGCCTAGAAGTGATGCCACCACTACCATATTTTTTGGAATCTACGGAGAGCAAGAGCGATGCTGAAAGGGTGAAACAGACATTCCCCCAGCCACACTCTCAACAGGCTTCGGCAAACTCTGAAGCACTTTTCCTATGTTGCTCTGAAGGAACAGAGGTCAGCAGTGCTATACCAGCTTGGAACTCCTAGCCCCATCCCAAATGCATGGTCAGTGGACAATTGGAAGCCTATAGAGTCCTCAGCCAGAGTCTGTGCTATGTACATCATTCAACAGGCATTTTGCACATTTATTTATTTAAATATTTATATGCCGTCCTGTCACAAAAAGCCTCAGGATGGCTTACAACATAAAATATAACATAAACAAATTCCCGACCCACACTGGCTGCAGTTAAAAACATAGAAAAGACAATATTAAAACTTACTAAAATATTGCTGGAATAAAAAGGTCTTAACCTGGCGCCAAAAAACAAATAATGACGGCGCCAGGCAGACCTCTCTGGGGAGCGCATTCCATAGATGGGGTGCCACCACAGAGAAAGCCCTCCTCCGGGTACTTTGCCTCCTAATATCAATTCTTCCACAAGAAATTCTTCCACATCTTCTGCTGCGCATGGGGCAGAGCCAACCACCACGGTTCCACACTCCCTTTGATACACGCGCAAGTGAGTGTGGGAAAAGCACTTTGGATATTGTCAAAGAACGGGCTGCAAACACATACCTTTATTTTCCAGTCCCACAGCCTCATGCCTGGATTTTTGCCAGGAGCTCAGAAAGCATCCTCAGAAAGCGCTGGTGTTTATGCAGCCCTCCTGTGTTTTCCCACTGCTTCTTTCATCTTTTTTCTTGCCAGAAGAAATCCACAATGGGGAAAAAGACAGAATGGCTGCACAATCCCTTCTGACTGTTTGTGCTAGATGCTCACTGTCCAGAAGCACCTCCGGGGAGTACAGGCAGAACTGTTTTCAATTTCATTGCTTAATTCCCACACTTTCTTTCCTAGCACACTACTGAACAGCTCTGTTTGAGAGTCATGCATGCCTGTGGAATGACTGAGTTGCCCATACTCTGATGATCCTTCCACATATTACAGCTGCTACATGCAGCACTGCACCAGAGATACAAATACAGGAAGGAAGAGTGGGAACTTGGCTCCAGAACAGCAAACATCCTTTCCGAAAGAGGGGCTTAATGGACAGACTGTGGATTGCAGAGACAGAGCTATGACCTTAGAGGTGAAATTCTTCATGTTCTCCAACTAATGCAGAAAGCTCCATGGGGACTCCCCATATGAGGACGAGGAGAGGGGAAAGGAGATGTGCTGGGGAGTAGGGGGCTCCTCTACTGCTCCTCCTGCCCTGCCATCAGCAGCCTGGCAAAGCACTGAGATCTCAGCAGCCCCCAGTGTAAAAGAACACTTTCCAGCAGCTGGCAGCCCAACAGAGTTGCATCCTAAACTTCAAATGCCTGCACAAAGAATATTTCCTGCTCTCCTCGGGCTCTGCATGGGGTGAGCATCCCAGATCAGTGTGAATCAGGACACACCAGGGCCACAAGTTCGGAGATAGGAAGCTGGACTTCTCAAAATCATTAACCAAGCTCCCTTTCTTAGAGAAAGATCCCCTACTTAGCACTTGACCCTGATTGTTTTTATCAGCTGCACACATTCACCTGTTAATGGATTAAAGAATTAAAACGCTGACTTTTAACCACTCAAGCACATTTACGTTCATCTGTGCATTACTCGTCATTACTAGGTATCTTTTTGAGATCATGAATACCTTTTAATAAACACACCTATCCCTTTTTGTTACAGGGAAGGCCAGTTTCAATGTTTCATTTGGTCTTCCCACAGATGGTCCAGGACATTTTGATGCCTGAGGCAGAAAATCCAGTTGGCACCTATTACCTCCCACTGGTGGTAGCAGCAAGCATATAACTGGCTGCTCTTGAATGGTACCTCAGCTTCTGTCACCCAAGGATGGCCTACCTGACAGTAGTAGGGCCTGTTAATTCTCTAGTACTCCAGAGGACAAAGTATGAAGCCATTGCACTCTTAATCCGCACATCAACTGGCTAACATTTGCTGCCATAGGTAAGGTTGGCCCCTACTAAACTAAAAAGTCAGCTGATGGAGGAATCGTTTCGATAGGACCCCCCCCCCCCCCGATAACTGCCAACATTCAGCAGGCTAGCTGGGAAATGCTGAGAGTTGTGGAAGACTTTTTCTGTAAACATGCATAGGATTACGTGCTAATTTACCCAAGACCACCCAAGCAATACACAGTAAAAAGCTTACCTTGTCAAAGGGGGACAGCCCTTTAATTCTTGCCCTGAAGTATCCAGCTGCCACCAAGAGCTCTAAAATTTCACTCAGCTTAATGTTTTGCTCCTCATCTTCTCGGGTTTCAACCTAAAAAAGGTAATAAAATGACTATATTTTTAAAAGTCTTTTAGAGCAGGAGTGAACGGATTTTTCCCCTCCTATGTTTTGGCCAGGACTCTTTTCTAAATCTAAAGGGAGTTGCAGGCCAAACATCTGGAGGAAACCAAGTTGCTCACCTCTGCAATGCATATAGTATCAGAATTCTGGAAACTGTTTCCTCATAGCAGACACATTACAAATGTGCATCACCCCCTCCTTTTTTTGCAACCTCCGCAAGAAACTGAAGAACCAGCTCAAAAGAAGGACCACAGACTTAAAATCACATGTCCATTATAAAGATTATAGAACCAAGTTCCCTTAAAAGAAAAAAAAGGCTTCACAGCTCTGCCCAACCCTTAAAATCCTGTTTTTAAAAACCCACTATGGTGTAAGCAGGAGTGTGCCTTTCTATTTCTAAATAATAAAAAGTCAATAGTGCCACTTAAGAGAGTTCATGTTGATATGTTTGGCATTTGTTTTGTGAAACCTGAATCTGGGATGGAAGCTTTTGACCCAATGCAAGCATACCTCTCTCCTGTCCTTTCAGCCTTTTAACAATTCCATAAGGTTGGGCAGAGGAGGGAGGGAGATTTGGGTATCAGTGGGGCTGCTCGTCCTTTACAGCTTTTCTTTTGAGTTTTGTTGCAGCCATGGTGCTGACCTCCAGCACAAAGAAGATTACCACCATGCATAGCTCTTATAAAGCTCAAAGGACAAGCTGTAGCAGAGGAGAAGCCCCCCAACATAGGAGTCTCCTGCCTCTTTGAGGGCAGTTTAGGGCGCTCAAGGCCATCCAGAGAGCTCTAGAGCTCAATGGAGGCTTGAACACAGATCTTCGCAACCCTGCTGTGGCACACTAACCACATCAGCTCTCTCTCACTTCTCTGACTCAAGTTTTAAGCTTTTCTATTGAGAATTAACTTGCCTTTCCTAAAATGACTTGTGATACAGTAATAGTCAGAAATGCTTTTCTGACTCCTTAAACAGGCTATCAGTGGGTGCCAACAGTGCCTATTCCTACAGAGGACTTATCTGGCTACAGTCACACAAGCCTTAGTTACACCCCATTTGGACTACTGGAATGTATTCAATGAGAGGCTGCCTTCACAAACTGCTCAGAAATTTCAGAAAGCAGGGTGTATACATCTCCCTTGTTACAACAGCTTCACTGCTTCTGGCAGAATTCAAAGTGCTGTCTTTAAAACCTTATGGAGCTCAGAAGAAGGCTACTTAAAAGACCGCCTTCGCCCACGAGCTTGCCCCGTCTTCTGCACATGCCCTTCTTCCTACAGAGGGCCTCTGGAGTAGTGTTTGGTGCTGATGCAAGAGGGCCTTCTCACTGGCTGCCCCCAGGCTCTGGAACTCCCTGCCAGGGGATGCAAAGTTTGCTCCCCTTTTGCCATACTTCCACCAGCAGGAAAAAATACCTTTTTATTCATGTAGACCTTCGTTATGTAAGCAGGTCTTTTGGGCTGGATGTTATTTATATTCTGTGATTGTCATGTTTTTATTTATTTCTATTATTTTATTATTTTAATCATGTTTTACTAGTAATTGTAAGTGGCCCTGAGCGTCATTTTTAAGCAGGGCACAAATCAAATCAAATGAATAAAAATAAAAGATCTTCCCTCAATCAGAATTAACAAACATATGGGCAGGGCAATCCTAAATAAATTGTATCCAGGGGATGTCCCAGACTCTGCACTTAGATGGCCAATACCAGCTGTTTATCTGCTTTTCAAAGAAAGTAGGGTATGAAGGTGACCTTTGCCCCCAAATTCTTCCCATCTTGCACAGGATACCCATAATCCTCTGAGTTCAGAGGGTTGCAGATATCCCCATGGAACTGCATCCTGAGAAACTGAATAGCACAATGCCCCAACTTCTTATTATTTGCAACTATGCATTTCACAGCATGTCTGCCACCCTTTTGGGTTGATGAAGATTTTAGGCAACTGAGCAATCATTTTGGAAAAAGCCCTCCTCTAGATACAACATGTTCTGTATTTATTCAGGTCAAAGCTGATATGTAGTAAATTTCGTACCTATCTACGGCCAATGTTAATGTTACAGTTTCATGCAATACGGATGAAATAATGCATATTATTTGCAATAATGCATGTAAATGCACATAAATTTGTGTACAAAGGCATGCGGGCTTGGTTACGTTATCAATCCCAATCATGCATTAAATATTCAGAGGCAGGAAATTCCAAGTTGAAAAACACATGCTCAGAGATGTACAACTCCATAACCGAAAAAGTGGCATAAACCACTGAAGAATGTCAATAAACTTGGAACCTTATACAATCCCATTCTCAGGCCCTCATTGCATTTGGGTGGCAGAGTTTGATCTCAAGTTAGGGCCTGCCTGACCCAAGCCAAAGCAATGCTATTCCATACTAATCTCCAACCAAAATCACTTGAAATGTTAACCAACATTCCAAAATCTAAAAAAATCCAAAATATCAGTTAAGGCAGTAACTCTTTTAAAATCTGGATTTCTTATTAATTGAGGGACATGGTTATCTCTATTAATTGAGAGCCAATGGGGTGTGTTGAGGGGGGCTCAAGTTCCCACTCTCAGGGTGACATGGGCCCAGTCAGCAACACACTGCCCAATTCACAGAGGTGTTGTTGTGAAGATAAAATGGAGTGGAGGAGCACCCGGTTCCTTGCAACTGCCCTGTAGCCCTAACGATTCATAAAAAGTGCCTCGAGCAGAGGCAGAATGAGACACCCAGATCAGATCAGTTCCCTTCCCTTCCACTCCAACTCAAACCACACCCAGAGCCAGGATTTCCAGGCAGCCCAGGCTCCTCGCTGGAGTCAACCTGCGTTATGTATCTGGCAGAGGGGAGCTTCGGAAGGAAGCCAGGCTCGATCAGAGGGGGCTCAGCCCCAGACTCTGCGCGCTGACGGCAGTCTGCACCTCTCCTGTTAGAAAGCGACCCTGCTTTGAAAGGACGCACCCTGCAGTAGCGCCCCACCACGAACCACGCGCCTCCCGCTCTAGCGGGTGCCCCGTTTTTAAATCTGCCTCAGGGTGGTTCCCCCTTCGCTCTAAAACTGCATTCTGCACGTAAGACCAAAAGCAAGGGAGGGGAAATAACAACCGCACAGGGCCAAGGTGCCTTAAGAGAGTGGGTGCAGTCCAGAAAAAGCAACACCACGGCCGTCTCTGCCAAGCACCTTCTTCCCCTTTTACCTCCTGGGGAGGCTGATGCTCCTGTCCCTTAAGGGCACCCATGCCCACTCTGCCTTTCCAGCAGCCCGATCACTCTCCTTTCTCTGTCACATCAGCGCTTTATCGTGCAAAGACTCGCCCAGCTCCGTGCAAGACAGAAAAGCTTTTCTCCTTCCGCAAAATAAATCTCTCCCCTTTCCGTTCATTGGTTGGTCCCTCTTTCTCTTCCCGCTACGCAGCACGCCGGGCACATTCAGATAGTACCATTCTGCCGAAAGGGGGGGGGGGAGAGGCATCACAAGCTGCTCATGTGACTGTTTGCAACGGAAAACGTCGAAGGGGCGGCGTTTGGGGTTAGCAGCGGCCAGCTGGTCTGGTCATCAGAGCAGCCAAGAGTCTGCTGCAAGGACAGTGTTTACATTTGAGGAAAATTACTTGCCCGCCGGACTGCAATTATTTTAGCATCGTGCATAAGCCAGACCGCTTTTCATAAATAAGTGTCCAAACAGATGTTTGTTGGTTCTAAGAGCCATGACGCCCCGTGGACACCGGGGTAATAAGGAACTTAATATTTTAAAGCAAGGGTGTTTGCGGACCACGGGCTCCGGAATTTGAGAGACTGTTGTGAGCAGCACCACAAAAATCAGTGGCTCACGGCTTTGGCGTCTGCCTGTCGCGGCGTCTTAACCATCAAAACCTGTTGTTTCATGTTTATTGGGTACTGTAATGTCTGCTTAATAAGGGATTGTCTAGTTCAGCGAATTGTGGTGCAATACAGCCAATGCTTCTTTAAAGCCTACGTTTTGCAATGTCCAGTAGCTGCTTCTTTTTGAGGTAAGGTAATTACACAGATAAGTAATATACTGGAACAGTATTTAATATTCACTGATGTTCACACACTCTACATTATTTACCTGTGTCACGGAAATTAACGAATAAGGGGGAAATGGATTATCTGCACCCTTCTGAAAGCTAAAGGACTGATAGTACAAAATTAGAAGGAAAAGCACACCTCCAATGATGCAATGGATTGAGAACTTTATGTCCCTTTGGGTATATGAACAGGTAGTATTGTGGATGCCAATTCCAGATGGAACCTTGTTAGAATATTTGGTCCAGTTTTGTAGAAACCTATGTTTCATTGCTAAGAAATGCTATGCATTTCATAAAAATCATTGTATGCCTATTTTTAAAATAGGGGGAGTATTTGGATGCCTGTAAGCAGCATGTTGGAGACCCATGGCATCTGTGGGTACCACATTGCTGCCCCATGTTCTAGAGAGTACACTAGGCTCTGCAGACTCTTTAATGTCCTTAAGGTGGCACGTCTTGGGATGGCCACGTTAGCTATTGTAGTTGTGAGGTTCACAGCTTAGATTCTCCCTCCTCCTAACACCAGGGTATTGGACTGGAACCTGGAAGATCTGAGTTCTAGTCCCCACTTGACCATGAAGCTCAGTAGGTGACTCTGGGCCAGTCACTGATTCTCAGCCTAACTTACTTCACAGGATAGTTGCTGTGAGGATAAAATGGACTGGAGGATGACTATGTTAGTTGCCTTGGGTTCCTCACATGGGAAAAAGGTAGGATATAAATGAAATATAGTAATAGTAGTAGTAGTAATAGGTGGCAAAGGTCCAAGCCCTAGTAGTTCCACTGGCTTTCCTGGTGGAGATGTACTATAGTGAAACAGCTCAAATACACAAGGAGAACAGTTCAATTTTACCCATTCTGGAAAAAACTGTCCAAACATAGGATAGTGCTCTGAAAAACAAACAAAACTTGAGGATCACAACATCATCTAAACATCTGTAAACATCTGTACATAAGGACTCGAGTGGACAATAAACACCTCATGTGTAAAAGTAACTCTTAGGAGAAGCATTTCAACCTTTTATGATGCTGTGCGGGAGAGAACAAAAAAGCCAGGAAAACACCAAAAAATTGATGGTTGGGGGAAAGGGAATAGAAATTGAAGAAGAGGGGGTGTGGCAAACTGGGGACCACTGGAGGGCCTGATTCAGTCCCTGGCTTGAGGTTACACACCAGTTTTGAAGGCTGTTCCTTCATCTCAGAAAGTGCAGCTCAATAAGGATTGGCACTTATTTTTGTCCGTTTTCGCTGCTCCCACCACAGCTCAGCAAGTGGTAGGGACCAGGATGCTTCCTTCTTTTGGCAGGATTGGTAAGTTTCTGACTTCAATGTATGTTATAAGGACTAACAGAACACCCAAGAATTGCAAAGAAATAAAACAATACATTTCTAAGAGGTCTTTACTTTTTAAATGTCACCATAACAACAAAAGTATGTTAAAACTTATTCTTGACTTCTCCCACCTAGCACCTTCTCAATTTGTTAAATTGCACCTTCCATCATCCTCACCAGTTTGCCAGCTGGGACTGATGGAAGTTGTAAACCAGCATACCCGAAAGGTCCCAAGCTGGGAAAGGATGCCCTATTCTAGCCCACTAATATTACTTTGGCTTACTCTAAAGATGTAAGAAAGTGCAATCTTAAACTTACATTCATCCAGACTGACAGTATAATTTTACAGGATTCACAACCAGGTGTCATCCATATGTTTTGGATTTGTTCTCCATTATATATTTTTCTTTAAGATCTTCTGCAGGGCAATCTGTGATGGCTGTTTCACAAATAGAAGTTGCCATCTGACCTTGCAGTCAGCACCTGAACAACACGTCTGTGTGAACTCAACCTTTCCTTTCCAAGCAGATGCTTTTAGGACAATAGTAAATGATCATATGCTGCCATCATTTCTCTTACATGAAGGAGATGCAGCATGGGATCAGGAGGGGGCAAAAGACATGTGCTCCATTAAGAGTGAATCTTTCTTAGATCAAGAAACATGTAGAAATAGGAGAGATTTTCCTGCATATTTGTCTACTGTATGTATTTGGCATATTTGTCTACTGTATGTAAACTTGTTTGCGAGGGTGTAAGCTGAACCCAAAGGCATTCTGGGAGCATAATGGTTGTGGGTGGCTACAACCTAGTTGTGGGTACAACTTGATTTTACAGTGCCAGGATGACTGTTGCTGGTTGACCACCCTAGTAAAATCAACAAAAAAGCAGGGGGGTGCCTGTCCCTGCTTCCAACTCCTAGCACTTGGTAATCCTACCAAGAAGGGCTCACCTATCTGGCACTTACACACACAAGAGGAGGACCTGAAGAACATTTAGCCCAAGATCTTGTCAAAGCTGACACCTGCCCTGAATAGACACTGCTCACTTTGATAGTGCCACCATGAATACAGCTTTGGTTACTGCTGTGCAAGATGGTTTTGGGGGCAATGCCAGTTCTAGTGACATACACAAAATCTCTCCCTTATACCCTGGGTTGTAACTCATGCAGACTCGGCTTGCATTGCCTCATTCTGCAGCCATAATCATCACTCCATATTTGACTCCTCTGTTCACCCCATAAGCATGCACTGAAAAAGTGGAAGGGGAAAAGCTACCCTTTAACTATGTTAACCATACTGGTTGTGAATACTAGTAAGCTGCAAGTCCAACAAGGTGGCTAAAGTTTCAGACATTACAAAGCAGCGTCGTGATTCGGAGTGCAAATTTTTACACAAAGCATAGAAGTGGATAGAAAAGTTAAGGCTTATTGTCTGAGTTGGTACCAAAACTATTAATTTAGGCTGTAATTTTAGGCATTCTTATACAGTGGAGCGTACTTCTGAGTAAGTACGTAAAAGACTGTATAACTGTAATTAAAAAAAAGTATGTGCAGGGGAGCTAGACTGATTATTTCTACTTTTAAAAATTCAATCAGAATACTGCTTAGTATTATCAATACATGCATTTGTACTGAGGTGCCAAGTGCTTTTTAAAAATTATCTAAAAGCAGATGTATGCCATTTCAACATTCCATAGTTATGTTCCATATTTACATTTTGCTCATTTTGTAAGATTATTTCTAACTACACCCAGAGCAGAAATCATTCTAGTATCGGAAAATCGAGCTGTGTTCTTGCCACTTCATGGCTCACCACTTGCTATCAGCAGCGCCTGTAATTCTGATTTGGAAAAAAGCAACATGACAGCAATTTCCTTGTTGGTGCATGGAAAAGGTATGATAAACTATCTCCCACTCTTCTGCAGTGATGCCAACTTCTGTTCTCTTCAGTAATAACAGTTGTTTGTTAGTAAGCCAAGCAGGTAGCAGGAGCTGCTGTGCCAGATCTGGCTCACATCTTGCAACTGGAAGGAGCTGATACCTGCCACTTCAAAGGGAAACAAAGAAACAACACACACAGCACAAAGTCTTGCTAATGCATGCCTTTACCTTTGAGGGTTGTAACCTCAGCTATGTAATCTTGGGAAAAAGTAATACCAGCTGTTCCAACTGCGGGTACAGCAGCCTTCCCCAATTGCAGTGCCCTCCAGGTATTTCGACTGCAGCTCCCATCATTCTGATAATTGATCATGCTGGCAGGGCCCGAGGGAGTTGTAGTATGAAATATCTGGATGGCATCGAATTGGAGTACATGAGGCTAGAATTCTGGGGAAAATCAGCCTACATACCTGCATGTGTGGGTACCTAACACAAATGGTCCTAACCCAGAGAACATTGGTGTGGATTAAAATTATTTTCAAATTATCTTGCTGTTGGTGCAAGCAGTACCAGCTGTAAGGAAATTGCTTGCTGATGTTATTTCCTCACTGGATGTGCAGATGCTTTTTTTCATTTCACCAGAAAGTACATGTACACTTAGACAAAACACACACACACACCCTGACACATTCACAGTGTAGGCAGTATATAGACCCAGACAGACAAGATGATTGCAAAACTGCTACAATAAAACTAAGTAAGGTTATACCCATTTGAAATAATTAGAAATTAGTTTATGAATCTTTCTAGCACCTGATGTAGAACTAACCAAGCTGGGAAATAGATTTGTACTTGGATGTGCATCTTCAGTATGTTGCTATTTAACTAAAGCAAGTAATTTCCAAGTTTTCTATTTTATCAGGTTTCTTTTCTGCCTTCCAGTGTCTTGCAAATGTCAACCATGCTGCGATGAACATATAAAAAAATAGATCTGTGTGATGCTGAAGCCACTTGAGAAGGTGTGTTGCTAGTATGATGTGGGGGGTGCAACTGGTGGAGATCCGGTTCCACCACTTGCACCCCCACATCCACTCTGCCATGGAGCTCACTGGGTGACTTTGGGCTATTCA